CGAAAGTATAAGAGCTAGAATAACCAAACTTGGTATACAGATTCTCCTGAGACCGAGAAAGGACGAGTTTGTTCATTTTTTTTGATCCACCCCCCCACTCCACCCCTATTAACGATTTTCTATAACTCCCGTAATTCTAGGAATTTTTAACTAAAATTTGGTTGTCACATTAGGTTAGTAATTATATAACCGTATACCAAGTCTCATTATGATAGAATGATCGGAAAAAAAGTTATAGCCATATAACCAGGCTCAATGCACACATACATACATATGTACAAGTACACAAACACGCATAGACACGATTCTGATGTAATTGTAAATGTATGTATGCATGCATGGAATATTTTATATTTAATTAGTTAATATTTAGTTAATTAATTAAATTAATTTAGTTAATTAATTTAATTAAATTAATTAATTAATTTAATTACTTTTTTGTGGGGTGGTACAGGGTATTTAAGAGTTGAGCCTGCTCGACTTTAGCATTCCTTTCTTGTTTTTGAGTTAAGTTGTTAAGTAAAGCTCAAAAGTAAGCATTCAATTTTGATAGAATGAATAAAATTTAAAATGTTTAAATCATGGTAAAAATGCATAGATAATCCTTAAAAAAAAGGACATTAATTAATTGTTACTAAAGGTGAATGATTTTTTCTTAAAAAAAAAAAAATAAGACATTGTGTGGTGCAATATTTCGATACCTATATATTTCTATACCCTGCACTGATAGGTATATATGTACGAACAATAATGAAAAAAACAAACTTTTCAAAATTAATCGAAAATGAAGAAGAGAAGAATGCTTCATCATTTAATTTGCAACCTTTTCCTGGCCAGTTTAGGGAAATACTCTCATATGCATATAAACGGATTCCTATTGACTGCACAATAAGATTGGAGCTCGTTGCATGCAGCACTTGAAATGAAAGGGTCACTCACTATCAGAATTCTGCCAGAGACTGCAGACATCGGAGGAGAGCGAGCGGGGGGAGTCAAACGAAAAGCCTCACTTAACATCTTTGCCAAGACCCGGGCAACGACGAAAATTATTGTGCTTGCGCTAAAATATAAACTCGAAACTCGTTGCCAGGACAATTTTGCAGTACACGCCAGCGACAACAGCAGCAACAACAATTTTGATGATGACGATGAAGGCGATATGGCTATGCAGACGACGGCGACGACAAGCGACGATTGAAGAATGGTGGCTCCCGCTGCTAGGGTTTTTTTTTTTTTTATATATATATATATATATATATATATATATATAGTTTTATCGCAGCTGTAAACAGCAGCAGGCGAGCAAGTCAGTCAGTTAGTTAGGTGGGCAGGGGGTAGAGTAAAGCAGGGCGCCTGTTAAATTCTTTTACGCTTTGTTTTGCTGTCGATAATGGCGACGATTGCTAGACACACACACACACACACATACACACACACTCACACAATCAATCCCACAGAGCAGTCAACGAATCTCGCTCATCGACTATGACGACGACGATGTCGACGGTTGCGACTACTTTGATGCATGCTTATGCTTATGTTCCTCGTTTATCCTACGCCTTCGCTTATTTTTTGTTTTACATATTTTCATGTGCCACCCAGCCCTCCACCCCTGCGCCCCTGCACCCCTCTACTTCTGTCGTCTGCCGCCCCTTGCCTGCCTCGTAATCTTTCATTTGGTGCGCCTTTTGTGTCTGCCTCGAAATCGTCTCGTCTCGTCTCTACTTCTACTCTGCTGGATTCTGTTTCATTTTTTTCCTCTTTTTTCATCCATATGCAAATTAATGTTGGCTGTTTATGCTTCTTGCCATAGCTGCTGTTCTTATTGTTGTTGTTGTGAGTTTGGAGGAGGCGAGGGAGAACAGCTCCATCGACATGTACATATATGCGCAGCTTCAAGATTTTTTTTATACTGAGATCGACTCATCATCTTGTGGGTATTATGCAAATTTTTTTCATACTTTGCTTGTTTGTTGTTGATTTTTCATTTCATTTTCTAAACAATATACAAAAAAAAACACAGGGACTGGAAAGGGAAAATGTTGCATATTGTTTTTATTTTAGAGTTGAGCTTTTACCAACATACGAGTACTCGTAGCATATGCTGAAAAATTGCAACAACAACAAAGTTGAAGTTTTAATTGAAAAACTACTTCACCCACACCTCGAGTTATTTTAAAGCCGCTTTCAATGAGAGCAAGCACGTGCTATGAAAACTTTTGCTTGCCTGTGCAACAAACTCTCAAAAACAAACAAACGTATGTATGCCCAACGCCTTCACCTATGTACGTGTATAGTATGTGCATAGGTCTCCCATAAGCCCCTAGCTCTGATATGAGTGCAGAGGGCTAGTATGTGATCAACTATTATTATTATTTTTATTTTTTTTCCTTCAATTTGAATTTAAAAGACTTCTCCAGAATATTTTTCTGTGTTATACAAATATTAGCGGCTTCTGTTTCCAGCTATCCCCCTGTGGCCCCTATGAATAGCTATTTTATGAGCAAATGAAATGGACCTATTTGAAGCATCGTACTATTTTGAGATTGTAAACTATTCCAAACATGTCTTAAAATCTACAAAGCTGTATTAATGTTTTAAGATTTAACAATTACGGTTAATAATGGTACGGATTATGCAGGCTTAACTCTAAAAAATTAAATAAAATTCTGAAAGCATTAAGATTTCAAAACATACTACCAAAATTAGATGTTCAAAACCACAAATCGGTTTCATATTCAAATAACTCTTGATTTGAATCTTCTAAGTCTCATTTAATCTTGTATTTTGTAAGATTCCACTACTCAAGGCAAATTAACTAATTTAAAAATTATCCTTTTAGGACAGATCTTATATAAAGCAACAATTAACAAGAACTCTTAAATAACAGGGTATTTAACGACAAAAAAAAAAAATTTATTAAAAAAATTAATTAATAAAATTAAATATAAAAAAGTCCATACATACAGAACCGTGCATTACATAATTAAGCCACAGCAGCAACAAATACACCTGCGGACACAGCTTGGGTCTGGTTATATGGCTATAACTTTCTTTCTAATCAACCTATCATAATGAAACTTGGTATACGGATATACATATAATCACAAAGTGGATGTGACTACCAAATTTTAGTTCAAAGTTCCAAGTTATTGAAAATCGTGAATAGGGGGGAGTGTGTGGGGTGCATCTGAAAAAATGAACAAACTCGTCCTTTCTCGGTCTCAGGAGAATCTGGATATCAAGTTTGGTTATTCTAGCTCTTATACTTTCTGAGATCCTTGCGTTCATACAGACAGACAGACGGACATGACTATATCGACTCGGCTTGTCATGCAGATCCACAATGTATATACTTTGTGGGGTCTGCCACGCCTCCTTCTGTGTGTTCCATGTACACTCGCACAAAACTAATATACCCTTTGGGTATAGGGTATAAAAATATATATGTGTACTGATGATGTTATTAGAGAACGTTTATAATCATTTTTAACACTAATAGAGTACAATTCTGTTCTTGCCACTCTTTGAAGAATGATCTAGAATCCTTATTTGTCTGTCGAGTCTGCTAGGGAAAAGGACCTTTGCTAACCTTTCAACACTAAACTTCAAGGTGAGGGGCCAAATTGTAAAACTATTTGGAAAGGTATTACAAAAAAAAGGCAAAAAATCTATAGAGGCAAAGAATAAACTCGTAGTAGAAGCATCTGTTCACTTGTTTAGCACATTAGAGCACATTAGTCAGGAATGAGAATTTCAGCTGAGTATTCAAAACTAATACTTTTGAATTCCAAAAGTGTGGCATGGAAATAAAAGCAATTAGCATATGCAGTAACTGATAACCCTATAACACACATATATTTGGAAAAATTTGGTTGTTACATCAACTCAAAAGCTAATCGAAGCTTTAAACTGATAAGAACATATAGTATAGTACATATAATAAATTGACCTTTGACTTAAATATTTTGTAGCTCGAGGCTAATCAAGAGTATTCTACAGATAGACATTTCCATTTATTGCACAGATCTATACAATGTTTGCCAGTACATACAAGTACTTTTGAAAGCCTAGAAGAGAGAAATTTGACCAGAATCGGAGGCAATCGTGTGCTACGAGTACAAGTACGGTCCGAAACGAGTGCAGAACAAAGCCGAAATGAAGAAGTGCAAAGAACTCTCAAAACACTAATGAAACTGGTTTGTTTTTGCTGGACTGGACCTGCTGCTGGCCAGGCCAACTGTCTGTCTGTTTGTCTTCACGTGCTAGTATGTGTGTGTGTGTGTGTATGTCTGTTTGTATTAGTTCTCTCTCTGTGTGTGAGTGTGTGTGTGTGTCTGAGTGCGTGCGTGTAAACGAGTTGGGGGCTTGGGTCTTCAGCTGGTGCCGTTGCTGAGGAAATGTGCTAAGTTGCCTCGTTTTGTATGCACAAAAGCAAGTGATGTGCGCTACATGAGGCGCATCAGTTAGAGGATATGGTGCAGAGCGATTCGGTGAGGTTCTAAGGGGGGCGGACTGCGGGGAGGGTGTCGACGCAGGCGGCAGCAAATTGAAGCTCAAAATAAACAACTTTGAAATGGCGCGCAATTTTACCCACTTATGTCCGCCTCTCTGTCTCTATACACATGTGTCTGTCTGTGTGTGTGTGCCTGTGTGTGTTTGTATAAATGTGTAAAGAGACTTTGTTGCAACGCATTTCTTCAGGTTCGCTTTTGGACCCCACTCTGAACCTCGTGAGCTCATTGGTCACGTACAAAATTGTGAGCAAAATTATTGGCGATACATTTCTGGGTTTGTTGTTGATTGCATGTTCTTTGGATATTTGATATTTTGCCAGATGCCAGTTGTTTGTTGTTTGTTGGCCAATGTTTACGGGCTCCGTCTGTAGTAGTCGTCGTCGTTTCTGGGTCAAATGTTGGAAAGCTAAAAACACAAATCCCTGCAATTTAGCCCAATTGTATAAATCTAATCATCATTTGTATTCTTCTTTTTCTTTGCAGGAATATTGTCTCCTCCGGGTCCGTTTTTAACGCCCAGTCCATCACCATCGATCTCAGCTAGTCCACGCCTGCAACCGTCACCATCTCTATCGCCATTCCCACAGGATGTGGTGCTTGTAGCTGGTGGTAACGCATTAACCGCCAACAGCAATCCACAGGAACACGTGAGTTTATCAATCTATTTCTCTATCTTACTGCTGATTTGTCTAATCAACCGGGTTTTTCTTTTTGGTATTGCAGGAGCGCAAGGCGGCGACGCCTGGCAGGCGACAATCGATTCACCAGTTTACAAATGGAAGTCCAAATGCTGGAACCGTTGTCTTTCAGCCGAGCCCCTCACAATCGCCGGCCGCTGCCACCACGGTCATTGGCGTGACAGCTGGCGGCATTATAACCGCGGCTACAACCGCCCCCGGACAGCACAATGCCCTTGGCAATGAGCTCAATGCAACGCTCGTGGGTTCCAATAATATACAGTTAAACAAAGTGAGTAAACGGCACAGCTGTACAATACTTAACTGTAACTGCAGACAAATGTGGGTATAGTGGATACTCTGCATCCATTTGGAATCTAGGCTATGGCTATTTAACTAGGGCAAATAATAAAAAACTAGAATTATTGAATCATCCCTTTGATTGACAAATAAGATTCTTAACAAGTATCATCTTTCTTTAACAACCATTACCAACAATGTTGAGTTATCCCTGAATGCTGAATGACCATTTCAAGGAGCACTTTCCTACCCTTTGGATTATTGGAATTGGCACTTGGGAGATCCCTCTCTAACCTTTGGATGCTTATGTTGTCCTCTAGCTGGATGGCCTTGTTTAGGAGGAGCTTGTCTGCCAGTGCAGCCGCAGCAATCTGATTTGCCCGAGCCGCCACATGAACAAGGAACTTCAGCTTGACAGGGGCTACTTGGAATAGCTGATATGCAATGTACTCTTCCAGTACAGCTGCAGGGACAGGGGGTATCAGTTGTTTCCTCGGCATCTGGATCATTGGAACACACCACCTCAGTTGCTTCGGTATTAGTGTCACAAAAGCCTTCTGCTGTCTCTTCATTTGTCCCGTCGGGACATTCTTCTTCTTTTTCTTCAATATTGGTATCGCAAGAGTCTTCTTTAGCGAGACATTCTTCAATTGTTGGTTGTTGATCACATGAATCTCTTGTTCTAGTGCAAGGTATGCCAAAGACACCACCAATAGTTAGACAAGCAACTAAAATATATGTTCATTTGAGCTTCTGATCTAGTTTCTTGAAGATGTTACGGAGGTACTTACGAATGATAACTACATTTCGCAGCAGAGGCATTTTGAAGTTCCAGTAAATCGAAATTTAATTGCCCGAATTGGCTGCCAACTGAGCACCGCAGCTTTTATAGTAGAACTTCGTTGCCCGACATGTTTACACAATTGTTAGCATATGGATTTATTTTCGTTATGTGGCAGGTCGTTGCAATTTGCATATGGTTTTTCGATTCTCATGTACACTTAAGTGTGCGGCTTGCCTCCGCTGTGCCCCCCTCAAAGGTTAACAGATATCTGACCCCTTTCCCTCTTTCCTCTTTCATTGCAGAAGGGCAATAAGCGTGTGGGACAGCAACAGCAGCTCCACCAGCAGCCGCACCAGCTCGCGCATCAAATATTCAGCACTAACGCCGCGGTTCCCAGCTCCACAGCAGCCGGCGGCTATGGGCAATCCAACGCAACGGCTATCAACACGACGCCCACTTCGTTTGCGACAGCAAATGTGGCTAGTAGCCCAAAAGGTCAAGCGAAAAAAGGAGCGAATAGTGCGCATGCGCCCGGATCCACACTTCTCAGTCAGCAGCAACAGTTCCAGCAGTATCAAAGCAGCAGCCCCTTAATTGCCGACAGTCCTATACCCAGTCCGAGCAACGCGATAGCAGCCGCCGCCATTAAACCGCCCACGCCGCAGCCCCAATCGGTGCAAATGTTGCAGCAACAGTTTACGATAACAACGGGCAGCATGCCGCCCCAGACGCAAACCATTGGCGGCCATCCACAACAGCAGCAACAACAGCAGCAGCAGGTGTTTCAGTTTATACAGGGGCCGCAGGGGCAGATCATTGCAACTGCCCAGCCAACGTTGCAGCAGCAGCACCACCATCATCAGCAGCAACAACACCAGCAACTGCAGCAGCAACAACAGCAACAACGATTTGTTAGCAATGCCAGCATAGCTTTGCCGCAAGCTGCAGCCACCAAGTCGACGAAGGCGCCACAACAAATACTGCCCAAGCCGCAGCAGCAGCAACATCAACACGAACTCGCCCCACAATCCAAGTCCAAAAATGGCAGCAATGCCAATAGCAATCACAACAACAACAATAGCAACAACGTCGGCAACAATTTGTCACATATTCCACAAATATCGCAATCACCGCAACCCCAGCAGGTGCAACTGAGCGCCACCACCAACAATCCTGGCGGACAGACGCAGCAACAGATCCTATTACCGACGGGTGCCACCGCCAGTTTGGCAGCACAGCCACAGCAGTTGCTGCTCAATCAAATGCCCGTTCTGGTGCAGCAGAATCCGCAGGGCGTTCAGTTAATCCTCCGGCCGCCAACGCCTCAGCTAACAGGAACACCATCTCTGGTTATTCAGAATCCACGCGGTCAGGCTCAACTGCAGCAACAGCCACAGCAGCAACTCCTACGCATTGTGAACACCAATGGTACCACCATGCAACTGGCTGCTGCGACGCCAACCTTCATAGTCTCCTCGCAGGCCAATCTCATACAGCAGACGGCTGCGGGACAGCTGCTGTCCAAGTCCAATCAAACAGGGCCCGCCATCACACAGCTCAGCGGACTGCATGCGGCACTCGCCCAGGCGCAGGCGCCACGATCTCAGCCGTTCACCACAACGGCCACCATCAACACCCAACTGCTTGGCCAGAGCGTAGCGCAGCAGTTGCAAAATCTTCAGCTTGCCGCTGCCAACGGCATCACACAAATCCAAATGCCCAATGGTTTGACTGCCATCTCGAACTTGCCGGCACAGCTACAACAAAGTCTGGGCGGTGCCATCAATCTGAATCAGCTGAGTGGTGCGCATCTACAGCAAATAGCGGCAGCGTTTCAAACACCCCAGCCGCCCTCGGCTGGGCCCGGAAATGCTGGACATACAGCAGGCACTGCTGAACTCTTCGCCCAATCATCCCCAGCTCATGTGCCGCTCGCCGTAACGCCGGAACCACTGCGTCAGTCCACACCAGTGCTACAGCAGCATCAGCAGCAGCAAGCCATGGCCACCATACAACTGCAGCATCAGCAGCAGCAACAGCAGCAGGCTCAGATACAGCAGTTGCAGCAACAGCTGCAGCAAACCCAGTCACAGGTGCAGCAAGCGCAGCAACAACAACAGCAGCAGCACCATCAGGTGGCAATCACCACGACAACAGCGGCCGTGGCGGAGCCTAAGAAAAAGGCGCGACCTAGAAAGAAAAAGGTTCCGGCTAGCACTGCAAACGCTAACACCATAACTGTTCCCGTCAACAACACGACGACAACGCCAACGATCAATGTGGTGCAGCAAAAGATGGCCATGACTGCCACGTCAACGTCGCAACCTCAGTCTCTTCCGTCAGCATCTACCATAACCACCCACACAACAACCTCGGTGGTATTGTCGCAACCGCAAGCGCTACAACAACCGCAGACACAAACACGCGCCAAATCGCCCTCACCCCCGCCCACAACAATCCAACGGGCCAGCAATGGCAAACTTGATCTCGGTGATGTGATGAAATTCTGCGGCATTACAGAAGACGACGATGACGATGAGGACTATGGCATGGATATGCTAACGGCTCCTTCTCACTCAAGCAGTAGTGCGAATCATGCTGAGGAGACGGCGACAACAAGCGCAGCGAGCACGACGCCTGCTCAAGCAGCAGCAACAACAGTCGGGGGTAGCACCAACGACATCATGATCTCTATACCGAACCAAAACGGCAGTGATGGCTTGCCCTTCACACTGACCATACCAGCGGCATCGGCCCCCTCACTAACAGGCAACGAATCAGCCACCGAAATACCAAATATTCTAATCAAGATTGATCCCAACGATGCGAGCGCCACTGCATCAGGCGCCACAGCAATACCACCGTACACAATATCAACGCCCCGTCTGCCCACGGCCGAAGAGATTCAGAAGCAGGCACAGCAGCATTTGGCCCAACAGGCAGCAGCTGCAGCAGCAGCAGCCGCAGCTGCCGTGGCCAAGAACACAAGTAATAGCAACATCGGCAATAATAATACTGTCACAGGACCCACCATAAGTTTCAGTCTGCCTGCCGGCCTAGGCGGTGGACACGTCCAGCAGACAATTGGCAATGTGACGCTGCAGCCAACGGCCACTGTGGTGAGCTCAGCATCTAATGTTGCTGTTCCCATTTCGGCCAGCATTACATTGGCTAGCTCGACGGCGCCGCCTACAGTGGCCACGGCTACAGCACCGGCGGTGGCGGTCACTGCAGCGGTGAAGCCACGTCGAAAACCCGCCGTGCGACGTAACACAAAGAAACAGGAAACGGTTTCCATCAGCAGCAGCAGCACAACCACCACAAGCAATACATTTACACTAACAACACCATCTCTTACCGGTGGAGCGACCAATTCTGTTACCACCAGCACCACTCTTATGCTGCCCCAGAGCATGACCGCCACACCGGTGACTGCCGTGCCCAGCCAAATCGGCAACATTCAAATCTCGCAGGTGCAAAATCATCATCCCACCTTGCCCACAGCCGTGAGCAATGCAGTCGAGAATAAAATACAAATAATGCCCATTATGCCGCCGGGTGCTAGTGTCATGGGTGGCAATCCCACTGGAGGCACTGCGTCATTGCAATTGCAGCCGGCGACGACCACGGCTCCTCAGCAGACACAACTGGTGTTCCAGCCCACCACTCAACAGTCAGAATCGACAACCATTAAGTTGTCCAGCGATGGTAGGCAGATGCAATTAGTTGCCATTCCACAGGCGACGCCACCGGCCGCGCCCACAGCGACGCTTACGGCCACGGCAACGCCGACTGCATTGCAACCTCAGACTACGCTGGGCAGTGCTGGCATTACCGCTGGCGGTGCAACTATTCTGCCGCCACAGTTAACAGGCATGCCCGGCAATGTATCCATTTCGGTGGGATCACCGGCTTCGGCTGCGGCCTTGGTGCCACAGCTCACTGGAAGTCTCACTCTCACTGTGTCCGAGCACTGTGAACGTCTGATATTGCGTCACGATCCCAATCATCCGCAGGATCATCAGTCACAGCTCATTCTACAGGCACTGCTCAAGGGAACGCTACAAAATGTCACCATCATCAACGAGCCAACGCGGGTGGAGCCCAACAAACAACCACCAGCGCCGCCCACGCAGATGACGACACAGCAACAACAGACGCAACTGTTGAACGTCGCGAAGGCAACGAGCACAGGAGCTGTAGCTAAGGGCGACAAAGGTAAGACGAAGTTTAACAAGAATAGGAATTTTAATTTTAAACGGGGAGGATAATGAAATTTTTAATGAATCCGTCTTAATCATACCACCGAGAGGTGTATTAGCTTATAGCAAGGCTAGGAAAATGAGGCTGGCTGGCATACACAAAAAATAAAATAGAGAAACGCCTACAGTTTTTTCAACTCACAATCTCAATACTCAACCAAAAGTCACGAACAAGCCAATAGGGCCAAAATTTTAATAGCAATTTAGTGCCGAAGGAATTACGTCCGAATTACTTGTATTCACAATTTCATCTGCTTGGATAAAGATAATTGGATTGTAATGTTGGTTGGAACCACCAGGCACTTAAATGGGTCCTTACTGACGGCCATAAAACTCTTGTGAACTCCAATATAGTCGAAAGTTGTAGAACGTCAAGAACACCGAAATGGTTCAAAGCCATCGCTGTATAGTGGATACTAACCCTGGCACACTGCCAGCCCCTTACTACAGAAGCTATAATCTAAATCTAAACCTTTTTCTCGAATCCTGCTTCCTTAGATATTTACCCGAATATGTGACAACAAATAACAGATACTTTTCCCCTCCACTCTCTTGCAGTTGGTCAAAACCGAAAGGCGGCAACAATTTCAGCTGGAACTACTGTTTTAAACAATGTGACAACCACTGCTAACAACATGCTGTCTACAACGACCAATGCGTCGAGTACCAACGTTGCTGGCACCACCACCTCCATTAAACCACCGACAATGCCAACAAAGACCAACGAAACCCTGACATTCCCACAGCTGCCACAAATGATCAGCCAGCAGCAGCAACTGGCATCGCAGCCACAGCAAACACTAACCACCACATTGCCACTGCTCAATAGTGGGACACTGCCTACGATGCCGGTGCAACAGCCACAATTCTATTGCAATCTGCCACCCATTGATCACAATACGCTGCAATACTTTTGTCTGAATAGTGCCACGAATCAGATAACGGCCATCAGTCCTGGACAAACGACCGCCTCGATAACGCCCAACGAGCGTCTGTTAATTGGTCCGGCGGGCATCAAGGCACACCAGCTGGCCCAATGCATGCAACTAGGTCAACTACATTTCAACGAAGTGAATCTGCTGCCACCTACGCCCATTGCACCACCGCAACTGCAGACACAGCAGACGGCGCCGGCGCCGCTGTCCAATGCAATTATTTCGAACACCACGCAGGTGCGTCTGCAGCCGCCACAACAGCAAATTGTGCACCCCATACAGCCCATAAGTAATGGACTGGCCATAACCACAACGACAACGGCGACAACGACCACCAGCACCACCACAACAACCACGACAACGATAACAAAACAGGTGGCTAATGTTGCGCCCATTATCGATCAGAGCAAAGCCAAGCTGGAGCCAGCTAAGGTGGCGGGTGTGAGTGGCGCAAACTCCACGACTGCCTCCACAGGAGCTGTGGCTAAAAAGAAACCAGTGCGTAAGCCCAAGGCCACGCCCACAGCAGCCGAACTGGCCAGCCTCAAGAATGCCAGTGTGGTCAAGCCGATGCCTAAGCTGGATCCGTTGTCCCAAAAGCCCAACAACAATCCTGTGCAGATTGTGCAACCAAATGTGGCGAGTGGCAAGCAAATTGTCGTCGTCTGTTCAATGGGCAGCAACAGCCAAACCACAACAACAACCACCAGCACGATGAGCAACAGCATACAGCCCTTCCAGACAACGAGCGGTACAAAGCTAGTGGGCGTGACAGCGCCCATGCAACAACAGCAACCGCCCACATTGCAGCAGCAACAGGCGGCAACAGCGGCGTTGCAGCAACGCAACAACTTCAGTGTTACGGCAACGGTGGCGGCAACATCAATGGCCAGCAGCAGCAGCAACAACAACACCAATGGAAACGCTGTTCTGACCACGAATGCATCCATGACACAACTGCAGCTACTGCCGGCAACAACGACATTACAACAGCAGCAGCAACCGCACCAGCAGCAGCAACAGCATCAACAGCAGCAGCAACAACAACGACAGCAACCAGCGCCACCACAGAAGGAGCCAATTTCGCGCACCATTCAATTGACGCCACAGCAGCAACAGGCGTTCAAATCGGTGCAGATGCAAATCCAATTCCTCACTGTTAAGCTGCAGAATAAATCCTTTCTGCCTACCCTGCCGCCAAACTTTGATGCAGCCGCCATTGCTGCTTACAATAAGCCCATGAGCGATGCAGATATAAATTTGGTATTGCGTGGCCTATTCGAGGAACAGCAACGCATTCTGGCCATGGGCAAGGAGGTTCCCACACCGGAGAACCTAATGCATGCAACGAATCTGAATGGAAGTTTCAGTTTGTTGCCGCCACAGTTTCAGCAACAACAATCCCAGCAACAGCAGCAACAAACAACAAATGCAGCAGAGCCGCTCAAAGCGGCCAATGCGATACCCGCCAATGTGGTGCAGCCAAATAATCATTCGTCCACAGCAGCAGGCGCAAGCGGAACCAGTGGCAATGCCCAACAGCAGCAGCAACAGCAACAAAATGTAGCACAGCGCATACACATCTATCCCATGCAGCATCAGCAACAAACGAACAAGCAGAAGGCGCAGCAGAAACAAACGCAACAGCAGGCACAATCAAAAGCCAAAGAATCGCCTTGCCGCGCCACCAATAAGCAGAATGCAGCAATGGTCAGCATTGCTCAACAACATCAGCAGCAGCAGCAGCAACAGCAGCAGCAACAACAGCCACAGCAAGCAGCCATGCAGCAGCCACATAAAGCAAACATGCTGACTGCAGTCAATGTTACCAATATGCCACAGCAGCCGCAACAACAACAACAACAGCAGCAGCAGCATCAGCAGTTGATAAACAAGCCGCATGTTGTAAACAACAACAACAAAAATGGACCACCCCCACTAATATTTGCCAGTTCCACAAATCTATTGATAAACAGCAGCAACAACAGCAATAGCAGCAGCAGCAGCAGTAACAACAGCAACAGCAATGCGAACAACAGCAATAACTCCATGCACATCAACAACGTGTTGCCCATGCCGCCGCTGCAGCCGCAGCAGCCAACACCACAACAACCACAACAGCAGGCACAGCCACAGCACCAACAATCCCAGCCGCTGTCGCTGTCGCAGCCACAGCAATCACATTCTCAACAGCAACACCAACCACAACTACAACAACCGCCAGCACTACCACAACAACAGGCACAACATCAACAACAACAACAGCAGCAGCAGCAGCAGCAACAACCACCTCTCCTTGCAACACCCACACCAGCGATAGCAGCAACCCCAGTCGGAAATTTAATTACACCAGCGCTGACACCTTTGCCCGGCTACTTGAGCACCGCCTTAACGCCTGGTCTTCCCATCGCGTTGCCCAAGCTGGATGAACTGCTGCCCACACCAAAACCGAAAATTGCACGCCTCTCCTTGTGAGTAGTTGGTTGAAAAATGCCGATTTCAGATTAGCTTGGGACTAACATTTGATATTCTGAACAATTGCCATTAACACCATTTATTTTCACAGATTTGTGCGCCAACTGGAAGTGGATCAAGAGAGTTGTCTCAATCCGGACTATGTGAAACCATTTAGAACCAAAGAGGAGGCCGTAAAACGTCTTATAAGGTAATAGAGACAACGACAGTGTAGTAGATATAGATATATGTATATATCTATTTTAGATACCATTGTATGCACGAGAACGATACTGAGTTTCATTCTGATGAAGATGAGGAGTTCGAGGCTACGGCGCTACAAATCCAGCACAAGTTCAAGCAACTGAGTGGCAGATTTCAGGAAATTTTGCTGCAAGAATCTACGGTAGGCATCGATGAAATGCGATGGTCCAGACAAGCAAATAGTTAGCGCAATGAAAAGTAAATTCGAAATGCGGTTTGTGTATAAATTATTTGCTTATCTGACCACAATTTAATCCAATCTAGAACGCTTATTAAATTTGTATAAACAACTTTTTACAGCTCCAGCATCGCACCTCGGAACTGTTGCAAGTGCAACACCTGATAATCGACGATCTGAAGGGCGAAATAAATGATATACGCACTGCCGAGAAGGAGCTACAGGAACAGCAGCAGCAACAGAAGGATCAAATAATGCAGCCTAAGGAAGAGCAGAACAATGATGAGCAGCAGCAGACAAAACAGTGCGCAAAACAGGAACTGCTAGAGAGTCAGGAAATAACAAAAGTCAAGGAGGAAATTAAAGTGGAGCCGCTTGATAAAGCCGCTCCAGCAACGCCGGCAGCGGTTGTCGATAAGTTCGATCTGCTCAAGAACAGCGCCGATGTGAACAAGGCTTTTAGCAAACAGCAGCAACAACAACAATCACAGTCCTTACCGAACAAGCAGAGCGTCAAGCTAGAAGCTCGTGATGACAAATCTGAATGGTTAAATGCCAATCAAAATGCCAGCAAAGGAAACAACTCCAGTTCCAGCCAAACCCAATTTAATGGCGCACTGAAGAAGGAGAACAATGCATCAAAAGAAGCAGCAGGTTTCATCAAGAAAGACTTTGATAATTTTGACATTGAATCGGAGCTAACGACGAGCTTCATCCTGAAGAAAGTAGAGCACAAGGTGGAGACAGCAGCAGCAGCAGCGGCAGCAGCAACAACAAACGGTCCGACAATGGACAGCAATGCCGAGAACGCGAACAATTGCTATGCGGATAATGTACTCTCCCACCAACAGCAGCAGCAGCAGCAGCAAACGAAAGCCAACGAGGATCAAGAAGACGGTTGGTATTGTCTACAAAAGGAACTAAACTTGATGTCCAACGATACGGCACCGATTCAGCAGCCGAACAACGACAACAAACTGCACTTGCAACAACAACATGAACAAATGCAACAGCAACAACACCAACAGGAGCTGCCACTGCATCAGCTGCAACAAACGGAGCCACAGCAACAACAGCCAATGAAATCGTTGAATCTGTTTGATAATGCGGATCTGTTCCCCAATGGCTGTATCGATAAGAGCAATCAGAGCAGCAGCAGCAGCAGTAATAGCAGCATCAGCAGCTGCAGCGGCGGCGGAGCTGCCGGGAACCACAACAATAATAACACCAGCATTGGCAACTCCTCATGCAGTCAGCAGAGACAACAGCCCGTGTCCATGCAGGCAGAACAACAGAATCATCATCCAGCCATCAGTGAGTTCTTCAACAGTGACTCGGATGTGCAGAAGTCTGTGGAGACGCGCCTGGAGGCCATGTTCGGTGAATCGCCGGTGCATTTGGATGTGAAGAATGGCAGCGATGAGCACGACATTGAATCCAATCTGGATGAAATATTTGGCGACTCCAAATCCCCCACACACAATGCCAAAAGCAAGCTCAACATGTGGACACCAGATGCGCACAGCACTGCCTTTATGCGTGACTCCAGTAACATGCCTGGCTACGGTACCGATCACCAGCAATATGCCCACCATCAGCAGCAGCAGCAACAACAACAGCAGCAGCAACATCACATTGAATTGAACTGCAGCAACAACCCAGACTGGATGCAAAACATGGAGGCGCACTATAGCGAGCACTATCTGAACAATCGAAATTCCAGTGATGGACAGACACAGAATATGCTCGTTAACGGAGAGTCACGCAAACGCCACTGGAATGGTCAACTAATGGGCTCGAGCAGCGATCTAGATGAGGAGAATAGCAGCAAGCGTTTGTGCACCGCCTCCTCGTCCACCTCATCGTCCCCGATGTCTCAACCACATGCTGTTGTGGGCGGGCCACAGGAATGCATAATGGCCCAGCAGCACAGCATGCTGGATGCCGAACTCTTGACACTGCACGATGGTATGGGCGTTGAGGGTGTAACAACCAATGGCCCCGGCGGCTTCTCCCAAATGCTCATGGGACAGCAAAATCAACAACAGCAGCAACAACAACAGCAGCAACAGCAACAACACACCTTTGCCAATCATCAGGCATATGCGAACATAATGGATCCACAGCAGCAGCAGCAACACTATCAGCCACACAACATGCAACAGCAACAGCAGCAACAACAGCATATGCATGTCAATCACATGTCCGCCACACCGGTGGTGGCTGGCGAATATGACGATGACATAAGCCGACATGTGGCCAATGCCATAGACAGCATCCTGAATTTGCAGAACAGCGGCGACTCTTTGCAGTTCTCGCTCGGCTCATTCCTAGGGGATAGTATATTGGACGATCAGCGTCAGGCAGCAAGCTTGCCCAGCTGCCAGCAGGAGAGTAATAGGCGTCGGCAGCTGGGCGAGGATATTGGCGATTGTCTGATCAGTGGTGGCAATGCTGCGACTAGCACTGGCGCTGTGGCAGATAACAGCGCCAACATACTGCTGGATCATCACCAACAGCAACAGCAACAGCAGCAGCAGCAGCAACAATTGCTGCAGAACCACAGCAATAATCATCTTCATGCTGCTCACCACAGCATGGGTCAACAGCATCCGCATCAATCGACTGCCGTGTTGCATCCACATCACCACCATCATCATCACAGTCTGTCGCAGACGCAGCAGCCACAACAACAGCAGCAACAACATCATGCACAAATCAATGATTTCAGTTGTGTGACCGCCGGTCTGGATGATGCGGTCAAGTCCATAATGACCTCTTGACTTGGGCTAGCCACAGTGCCTGCAGCAGCAACTGCACTAACAACAACAGCAACAACGACAGATCATGCAACTGGGGCAATAGCAGCAGCAACAGCTGCTGCCAACAGTCTTATATTGGAGTTCAATGCAACCACCTTATGAGCCACACTTGCTAACTAGAAAACAAACAGCAACACATTGATTGTACAGTAAAGATTGTAATTAAATTAGTTCTCGCTTTTAGTTGATCAACAAATGCCTATCTACTATACATATACTTATATAAATATATTTATTATAATTGTAATATTTTAAATTGCGCCCACAAATCGAACTGCGCCCTGCACTGTACAACATGTTTAGATTTAAGTTTTAAAGAACTAAAACATAGCATAAATTGTTTAATTCCTTGTTTTCATTTTTAGTCCAATTTGTTTTGTATTTAAACACACAAACACTAACACACTCAAACACACACACCCACACACCCGAACATAAACAATGTGTACTCTAACGGACAATGATCTAAAAACAAGACCAACTATCTAAAAAAGAAACGCGTTGGCGCACAACAATCGTAGCAAAAAGTCAATAGCAAAGCAATTAAGATGAAGATGAAGAAGAATTGAAACAAGACGACGAATAGCATGAAATGCTTCTTAGAGAAGTACACTGAAAGAAAAGCCTAAATGTAATAAATTATATACATAATAGCTACAATAAAAAACTACATAAGTCAACAAATGAGCATAAAATAAAAAGAAAAACCCAAAAAAAAACAACGCCTAGACAATTTTTTAAATTGATAAAACACTGTTCTACAAAACCGCAAAAACAAACAAATTGGTTGTAAAATTCGCAATTAAGTTGAAAAAAGTTGAATGAATTGAATATCGTCACTATATGCATAAAACCGAATGCATCGATCGAATGCGAATGCCAAAATATGATTGCATTCAACATTGAATTGAAGTTCGTAGCAGCTCTATAAATAAATAAATAAATAAATAGGTTTATTCTATTACATTTATCATCATACTATGCAGAACAATTGTAACAACGTTGCCAATTTTGTTGAATTGAAACCACAATTCAAATCGATAAACAATACAATATTTAACATAATGTGTATTAATTTATTTCTAATTAAGCATTTGTACATACATAGCATGCGCATGTTTCCACACACATTCTAAACAGTAAATAAAAAGCAAACAAACACACACCTTTTTAAATATATCACACACTCACACACTTACAAGAAAATTAAAACTTTGCTCCTAGTGGAAAAATAAAAAAAGAAATAAAAACTAAAAAAAAAAATTGTAAAAGAAAAACCCACACAAAAAAAGCAAGAAAGAGAGCGCCGTAAAATAAAATGCAAAAACAAAAATCTAAGCATCTAAGCATATTTTATTATTTTTTAAACATTTGAAGAAGCGTACTGTACGCCAGTCTGTCTGTCCGTCCGTCCGTCTGTCTCAAAATTATGCTCAATGGAAGAAGGTGTAGGAGTTTCTCCTAACTGTACAAGTTTCGACAGATCGGAGTATGCGTGAAGCAAACGAAGCAAACCAAAAGCAGTTCAAAAATAATGCAACAACAATTTTAGCTAATTTAGTTTACAAAATTTATAAATTATTTACTACATATATATATAAATAAATATATATACATACTACAAATACAAAAAACGAAAACAAATCGTATCAATCGTATCTCGATCTTGCCACAAATCTGATTTGTGATTTGTGCCACGTTTTAAATATCGATGTCTGATTAGCTTGTAAACAAAATATAAATAAATTAAAACAAACAAACAAACAACCATCATATTCTACAAAACTTAATCCAAATATTGTAAATGTTAGGGCAGCCGCATGAGTTTCACGCCACAACCGAAACGTACGCAACGTATTCATTCATACCAATTACTACTAAATACTACTACTAATTTAACAAACAACCGTAATAAATAACAACAAAACAACAACAACAACCACCACCACCACCACACCAACAACAACAGGAACAACAAGAACATAAAACACGAACAGAAACGGAAACAGTAACGAAGTACACTAACTACTAAAAATGTACGTACTACTTAGGTGTAGTTTGTAAGGAGTTAACGAAAGATGTAAGCAGCTGCTGTTTTTGATTGATTTCGATTCGATTCGATTTTAGTGCAAGTTTAGGCCAACCCCCCCTCCCCAACCCCCTACTATAACCCTCTTATCTATAATTGTTATTCAAAGACAAATAATTAAAAGGAAACTTGTGTAAAATTTATATGTAATAGCATAAATTAAGTTAGCGAAGGTAACACAAAGAACAATTGCTTTACGATGATGATGATGATGAGGGCAAACGATAATAATGATATATATTGTAGAATGGAAGAGCAAGAGAGAAACTGAACTTATCACTCGCTAGGAGTCTGCATTAACTTATTATTGATCATATACAAGTATGTATGTATATGTGAATTATATTTTGTAAAAAACAAACTTTTATGCCAGTTCCACCCTCGATCCCCGAACAAAACGTGACGAAATTGAAAATTCAAATTCACATTGAAACTTGAAAATTGTTCAGCTACTGCATATATACGAATATATATATGTATATGTGTGTGTCTAAATGTAAACGAAAAGAAAAACAAAGATTTTTAAAGCAACATTGTGAGTTTTTATTACCGCATTAACGTAAAAAGTGAAATCAACTTTAAATAATTCATAGTTTATTAAGCCCATCCATTCACAGTCGTCATAAACATTAAGTACATAATAATTATAATAATAATAAAAATTTAATTGTATTGAAAACAAAACGCAACAAACAAAACCCGAATTGAAACGGAAAAATATAAAACAAATGAAAAAATTAAAAAAAAAACAACATGCAATCAAGCCCAACGCACAATTTGTGGACTGTTGGGTGCGGCCTGTGTGTTGGGTGCAACGATCGTACGAAACAAAAAAATGGCAAAAATATTCATAAGAATAAAGAAAATCCAAACAATTTTAAAACAACACGTGATTTATTCATACTTTTTGGGGGTATTGGGAACACATACTATGCAGCATAAATAGTTGTAGGAGAGGAATCTATGCTGCAGCTTTGGCAACCCTGAACTGTTTAACGGGTATGGCAGACAATGTCATAAAACATAAAAACCCAGAGGAAATGCGTGAACGGAAGAAATGACATATGTACATATGTTAAGATTTGTGACACAGCCCCGCTTGCATCTTCCTCTGATGTCGAAACATGGGTTTCTATGGCTGTCAACGCGTCTACTACTATTCGAAATAATTAGGTTTTTGAAATAAGTTGTTTTACTTTTAGTGGAAATGCTCGTTTGCTATGTATTTTTCCCAATCAATGATTTCTACAGAAGCTACAAAGGTGAGGAAGAAAAGGAAAGCACACTGCACACCCTTTCGAAACTATCTCTTGGAGTTACTAAAAATTGAGATACTCAAAATAACTAAATTCATTAAAGACACCTATAAACCCAGCCATTGTAGCCTAACCGAACTTTGAAATATTATTTCAAATGTGGTGGCAGGATTGTTTTAATTATATTATTTAGTCAGGCAACAGAATTTTTCAGCTGTTTCCGATTGTATTTTTTTATTTCTAATAAATAGTGCTATCCTCTTGAATCCATTCAATCTATCCGATCGGTTTATACAATTTTAATTTATTACTCCTGCCGATTGAGGTATTTTTGTGTAATAGCTTCGTTATTGTTTTTTTTTAACATGTTAGTACTATACGTTGTCCCCTGCCTTATTTGTTGTTGGCCACAAATTGTTGTGATAACGATTAGCGATGGAGAGCACAAAGTATAATGACAGTTATTCCGTTCTTATATCTGATTTGATTTAAGTACCAATAAATCCCGATTTTTTCGTCTGCGATTCTCATACCTTGGTATTAAGTAGTTGACTTAATTGATCGCAAAAGAGAATTAAATTATGATTTTTCTGATAAATTAAATAAAAATATTGTGGAAATAAATTGCGAAATTTCTGATAAATTAAATTAAATTTATTAAAAATTTGTGGCCGCCCTCCTCTGCGATTCTCATACCAAGTACTTAAGTGATGGCAAATGAGATTTAAATTGTGATTTTTCTGATAAATTAAATAAAAATATTGTGGAAATAAATTGTGAAATTTCTGATAAATTAAATTTTTTAAAATTTGTGGCCGCCCTCCTCTGAGATTCTCATACCAAGTACTTAAGTGATGGCAAATGAGAATTATAGATCTCGAAAGAATGGAAAACAACGCCCCTTCACATAAACGGAATCCAAAATCTTTCAATAATCAGCAACTATTTTACTCTTATTTTTTAAATTCGGCATCTAGTTACAATACTCTATTTGGCTTGGCTCGTATGCACAAAGCAATACTGTTATATGATTTTTGAAGAAACTTTTTATCCTGCGCTGACGAAAAAAACTTCTTGTCAAGTTGAAATTAAGATAAGATGAATTATTTTAGAGACCTTTGATAGTTTTTCGTTTGTAATAAGAACATTAAAAATGCGAGTTAGTTTCCGCAATTTTAAAGTTATACGACCGCCAAATATGCTTTATCATCTGCAGCATATGGTAATGATACAACTGTTATAATTTGGATGCATATTATTATTGTTTATTTAGTTTAAAACGTTCAAATGCTACACATTTTTAAATTTTCGAGTAATTTTTTGTGCTTACTACTTAATATTAACGACTACCAGACAACTTTTATATTAGTGCTGTATTCCACTATGCTTAGATTGTTCTACGAAAATAAACCACATATACATACATACTTAGAGCTATGGTTACTGATGTACAGCTTGTAGTGAATTATTAGTTATCAGTGCCTACAATAGACGAATAAGTTATTATAAAATAATATCAGCTATCAGTACAAATATCATACAAAAAGTTTGATGGTTAGTTGCTGCTTTTTGTTTGTTTCCTTCTATTAATTTGTGCCAAGTGCACGCTAGATTTGTGCAATTCTAAGCTTGGCATTTATTTTTTGGCATTTGCGCTACGCTACGACTAAAAATTGTGAGACATACATTACCAACAAATCTTGAGATTTCTGTAATTGTTGTTGTTTTTTACATGCACAGCACATTTGCACATTTTCCTAAACTAGTCTCTAAGCTTAGGCAATAATATCGTAAAATTATATTTACGTATTTACAATTAGTGCTCACGCACTGGCAGTGGATGAGCCTCCGAATTGAAGACCCACTGCTCCAAGTCGATCTCCTTCCGATTGTCACTGAAGAGCAAATAGAAATACTTTAAGGTCTCACTTAGCCAGAAACTTTCCATTAAATCGCGCAATCGCGTATTTAATGTGTTCTTCACATTTCCGATGGATGTATAACCGGCAGAAACTTTTGCATGTGTTTCGAACGCCTGGAAAATGGTCCACCCCATGTCCTGGTATGTGCGATTGCCAGTTATTGCATAGAAATAATAAAGACTCTCAATGAATTCCGGTCGAAGTAGGTTGTGCGCATCATTGGGCTTCACATAAATGTCTGGTTCATCTTTACTCGGTAGCGCAAAATATGAAATCTCTGGCGCCAGCTGAGTGGGTTGTTTCATGTAAGTCTGATAGCAGGTTTCCAGCAGATCCTTGGCGAGTATCAAATGCGAATCGGGCATGCCATTTTGATGGCCCAGCAGCAGTGTTCCCGGCAAATAGCAGGTAAGATGATCCATTTTTGGTTTAAAATCTTTTCCATTTATCAGCTCGCCAACATAGACCCAATGTTCTTTGGGAGTACGACGCATGAGTTTTGTCAGCACTCCGTCCATGGCCTGCATATAATCTAAGATGAGGCTATATAGAGAGAAATGCAGTAGAGTAATGAATAAATAATGTGGCGAGCTATTAACTTATTTGCATCACATACTTGTCGTTGTCTTTTCGCCCTGTTTGGATCCATTGCTTAAGCAAATATTCGTAGTACGAATCGCCACGTGCGCCTAACGAAATTGTTGCATAATTACTTAATGTAAATGTGCCTGTGTTCGCATTTATGAATATTGGCACCAGGCCATGATTTTTGTCAAGCGCATGCAATTTTTTGCTTACTTCAGACACCATCTGTGAACGTTAATATGTTAAATAAGTATGAGGGTTCTCAATATTTAATGGGCACTCACAGTCTCATAAATAGGAACATTTGTAGAGCGACTGAGATCACGAAACTCAAGTTGAATGGTGGCTACTTCACTAGTTGAACTATCTGGCGACCATTTTGGCGCGTGTGCCGATAAATCGCCCAGATTTACATCGGAATAGGGAATGCCCGATGGCGATAAAAAGCTCGGCAGTAAGCGATTTCCAAGCTCGGCCGCTTTGCCCAGAAACATCTTGTCGCCGCTTAAATGATAGGCAGACAGTAGACCTCCCAGGACCCGTATTGTCACTTCAAATAGATTAACATCTCGCTTAGCCCGGAATGTGAGAGACTTATTGACCCAATCACGTGCCTCATTAAACTCTGCAATACACAATTGTTTAAAATAGATAAGATTGCTGGGGATAGAATGGTGCAGGCACTCACCCTCCTCCAAACCCATTATGTACATTGTGTCAAGCGAGTCCACAATTGTCAGACCCAGGCCAAACCACTCGTGTGAGGTCTGTGATATGGGTTTAAGATTATCGTGTCCCCAGGCGTACTTTTTGTAGCCTGCCCAGGAATGTTTAAAGGCGGCCACCACAGCCGATTGTCGTTCATTGGTTGGGCCACTAAAATGTTGCTTCTTGGCCAAATGTGGTGCGATATTCTTTAGGTGTTCCTCGATGCTAACACCCGCCAAATTGTAGGGATTGTTAATGGCATCCTCTAGCTGAGCACGCTCCGAAAGCGGAACCTGAGAAGTAGCGGGCAATCCAATAGGCTCCTCCCCATTATACAAAATGTCTATCAGGTTGACGGCCTTATCATGGTGTACATCCGCTAGCGCCGTCTCTGGCATTTTGACAACATTTTCCATTTCGACTTTATCGTCCAACTATAAAACAATCAATCAGTACACAATTTTTGTTGCTTCATACATTTCCTTATCAGTACTTAACTGTGTAAACCTAATTACTTGATTAATTGGCTAGTTAACCAAAATTTACCTTATCTTTGGCGTCGATTTCATTTAGAAGTGATTCCGCTTTAATTTCATTGGCTGACACTTCTTTGTTATCGCCGTTAGATTGAAGACTCTGTAGTGTGCTTTCGTGCCGATTCAGGAAGGGAAGACCAGCCTTCTCTTGCATATCTTTTTCACTGGCCGCTATCAATTGGTCACCAGGCAGGTAGAGCAAAATCGTCAGGCAAAATGCTGTTATGGCCAGCAAAATGAGATTCCGCTGACACCGGGGTAGCTGATTCCATGACTACGTCAAAAAGTTACAAAAAAGGAGACACGCGCACGTTGTTTTAATTATCACAAATGTAGACTTTTAGAAAGTGTTCTGTCCACTTACCCGCCGCAGACTTTTGCGCGTGAAACCCGAGCCTGCAAGATTGCTCTCATCGTTCCCAGTACCACCTGTTATGTTCGCTATGGAGGCCGAGGAAAGTGTCAGTGCTATGTGGTCGCTCTTTTCCATTATTAATGCAATTGATTTTAATTCGCGGGTAATTTTTGGTTCAAGGTACGGGAGCGAATGTGTAAAGCACTGGAACACGAAAATTAAAAATCGATTTGGCCCCTGAAAGGTGACCGGGGAACGCGACTGCCACTAAGCGGCACAATATTTTAGCTAACCGAGCAAAGTTGTCTTTATGTGTTCACATGGCATTCTCCGAGGTTATTAACTAAATATATATTTATAAATATTCACTACAACAATTTTATGTGATGTGTACTCTCGTTATTACGAACCAAAAAGTATCGATACTCTCTACGTTGGCGAGGGCTGCAATACAGGAAGAGCATTGTGACTGCACAAGCTAGGTGGCGCCACCAGTAAAATTCAAATTTAAGCATTCTTTAACGGGCCACTATAAAAGAAGAACGGGACATGAAAAGAAAACAAGAACAAGGAAGAAACACAGTCCAATATCGCTTTAAGGGCATTTATTGAATACACAAACGGTAATATAACGTTTATACATATGTCAAAATGATAGCAATACAAAAATAATTTCTGTATAAACTGATAATCAGGCAATTGGAAATGTTTCTGGGTGGCTCTTATATTAAAACTCTTCTTGCTTTGTGACCAATGCAAGCACAGAAACAATAATATTGAAACTAGCTACCTTATTAAATAACTATTAGCACCATATGCTCCATCACTTCGTAGCGTTTATATAGCAAGCGTTGCAAACCCGTACTGGTTTCCCTGGTTGTCCCTGATCGTTGAGCAAGGCAAGCGTATGTTCGGAACAATTCTTACAAAAGATCTCCCCACAGCTGCGGCAATGATGTTTGCGTCTCGTCAAATTAAATTCCCGATCACAAGCAAGGCAATTGGTGGCTATGGAATCGGGTGCCCAAATGCCCGGATTGCTGATCGTGTCTGGTGTTGCGGCCTGCAAAGATTGCGATGAGGCCGACAGCAACTGCAGATTACGTTTCTCGTTGTCCTGCAATTCGGCTATTTTCAGTTTGCTCACACTTAGCTGTATGCCCAGTTCTTCGAGTGTTGTCTGCGCCTCGGACCATTGGGTGCGCACCTTCTCCAAATCGAATTTAAGCTTCTCGTTCTTCTCTTTCTCCTCGTTCAGTTCCTTAAGGCCATTTTGCAATGTTGTGATTTTATCTTTCAGCTTTTTCTCCTTCTCCTGCAGCGAGACACGCCATTCGCGTTCAATTCGGGATTCAGCCTCTGCTCGTGCGGCACGTTCCTCGGATGCGGTCACTTGGGTGGACAGAGTCTGCGATGTATTTTTAAGTATTTCACCCAGGTTGTTCTTATCGCTCGACCATCTGTGGATTTGTAATACGTTATATTATTAGCTTTTAGAAAACCAAATCGGGGGCGTCATAAACAATCAACTTATCAGCGATTTGCCAAATTTCTTTCTAAGGTCTCTTAATGTTTAAGCTACATATAGTACATACATAATTGGACAAAAAGCTCAATTTATGAAAAAAAAAACACTTAAAAATCATTGTGACTATATCCCAGTTACTAACGGTACAACTCTTATTTGGATCACATTTTTATAAACAAAGCTATTTAAAATCCTTTTATATTAATGTTACTTTAAATAAAATCAATGCCAATTCCGTATTAAAATATAGTTTGCATTTATTTAAAGCCTGTTTGTTAAATAAGATAAATCTGAGTGGAAATTATTCTGAGCATAACTACCGATACGAATATGTCCCTATTCAGTAGACTCCTCACAAATGATTCACTAATTTAGATATGAAGAGAAAAAAGCCAATCTTACTTTTGCTCTAATTGTGAAATTGTCGTGGCCATATCTTCCTTTTGACACTCTAATTTCGACATTAGTTCCGTTTTGTGGGTGAGCGTTGTTTTGCAGTCCTGCGATTAGAAATAAAGACAAAAACATTTTGTACACATGTTGGATAAAACAAATGAAACACTTGGAGTTTGGATTAGTTTTATTTCTTTGGTTTTGTCGTTATTATATAAGTAGTTAGTATGTATACATATTTATATAATTACAATGTTAGTATTTACTCAGGTATATATATAAATAATGCATAATTTTTATAAGCAATATAATGGTTACGATTAAATCAAGTATATAGTATGAATCAAAAGCAAATTCAAAATTTGTAGTACACATTAAGTATCTCAACGGCTCAACAATTCTATATTCTTTTTTTTTATGGGGGAGAAAGCATTTCAGCTAACAGCTTAGAATTTGAGAAATTTTCAACAATTTCTAAATATATTTTTATACTTTTATATAAACTGTCGATCTACAAATTGAAGGCATCATAGATTATATACATACATACTTGTTGTATTCATTTCAGATCTAAAATATTTATTTTATAGCTTTTTATTTATTTTAAGTTTATATATATTTTTTTGTATATAGATTATTGTTAAGCGGTTGCACTTTATGTTTCAGTTAAAATGTAAGAGCGCAGATTAAGATATATATACTATAAATATATATAAAGCATATACATATATATTTACTGTTGTATGACTACAGGCGACAATTGCAGGAACAATAATGGTTGGACATTGATCTAAACGACGTGAACTTTAAGCTCATGCCGCATGTACATATAGCCATGACGATTCCATATTGCCTTAGCAATGTGCCAACTATTACGACTATATAGTAGACTAGTAGACTTTTTATTTTATTATAATATTAAGTGTAATTCCTAGCATAAATGCCTTCAACAAAGAACATAAATGATATATAGTGTTTATCTATACAGTATTTATACGATAGCTAGACTCTGGATTAGGCCTCGTCTGTGGATGTCTGCTCACGGGACAGGGTGTAGTCGCTGCGTGAGCCGTCGGCATTACTTTTGAAGTGTTGCGTCACTTCCGCCGCAGCCTCGGCCAGCTCGTCGTTGAGGGATTTGGCCGAGCTGGGAGTCTTGGTGGCCTCTTGGCCGAGTGTGGGCACAGCCTCGATCTCCATGCCAGAGGAAGACGCGGCCGCATTTGAGGGCGACTTGCGATAGTTGTTGGGATTAAAGGGCGGTATTCCGTCCATCTTTAAATGCAAACGCTTCATGGGCGGTCCAATGTCCTGCTTGTGCTTCTTGGTGAGTGCCTCGAACTTCTGCAAATTCTGTTGACGTCGTGTATTGGGCGATCGATCGCCACCATTGGCACCAAATCCAGCTCCGACTCCGGCGCTAACTTGTTGCTGTTCGACGAGCTTAGACTCGTATTTCTTTTCTAGCGATTGTAAAATGTTACCAATTTGAGAGGCTTTCGTTTGCAAACGAGAGACCATTTCGCCTTTTTGTGTGAGTTCATCTTCACATTCCTATTTGAATTTTAAAGGGGAGTTACGATTCGTTTGCTTGTTTGTTTTTTTTTTTTCTCTTCAGGTTTCTTCAATAACAACCTTTGGGTAATTTTAATAAGGAACCAAAAATCTTTACAACTAAAAGTCAAATGAAAAACCAGCTTATGGTTGATGGGATACGAATGTGAGTAGATGAGATTTTGTTGTGTCGAAATGTGTGTGAGTGTTAAATATAATCGAAAATACAAAAACGGAAAATATACAGACCTGCAGCTTACGATACATTTCCAAATTGATTTGCTTGATGTCGTCTAGTTGGCGGCGCAGCGAGACAATCGTGTCCTGCTTCTCATGTATGTCCTTTTCGAGCAATTTCATGGCCATGTCAGATTCCGCTTTTAGTGAGATCTGAAGCTTCAGCTCCTTGTCCAGCTCGCCTGTCTTTTTGCGCTCCTCTGCCAATTGTGCGGTGAGCGCTTCCACGGTCTGGGACTTATCCTTATCCTTCTCCTTTTCACTGCCACTCGAATTGGAGCCGCTGTCCGACTGGTTTCCTGCCTGAGACGCAGTTTGACGCATGGCTTGATTTTCGGCCTGCAAAGCAAGCAAGCTATTGCGCGCTATAGCCAGATCCTCCTTCATCAGTGCATTGGTTGTTGTGAGCGTCTCGACCTTGGCTTGGAGATTGGCAACAGTGGCACTGAAATGTGGGAATACCCTTTAACTAAATTCAACCCTAAACTTGAAACCAGACTGCACACACTTTAGATGTCGATTCAGCTCCTCAATATAATTCTTCTGATCTAGTACTGCTATCATATTACCCTGTCCGGTGGCATCCAGTGAAGCGGGCGCAGTCTCGTCATTGGCGGCCTCCGCATTTCGCGAACTTGAACGCAGGTAGAGCGAAAAGTCAATAACGCCCTGCTGCGAGTCCAGGTCCTCCTCCTTTACGCACAAATTGCAATCAATGACATTCAGGCCCACTAGTATGCCCATTATCACAACAATCTGTAATGCGGCAACAAGTGTTACAAGCTAACCAACCGCCTATACCTACAGATATGTTTATAAGTATGAGCAGCGAATGCACTGATAAATGTAATCATTTGCAATCAAATAATCATCAGTGTGTTTAGTTAAGGAACACAAAGATTTTTATAAAAGTAATTTAGCGGTGAAGGGCTAACCCTTGACTTAAGTTTCAAATTGAAGTACAAAACTCGAAACTGGAGCCCCAGGGTTACACACATTTTCGCAGTGCAATCGCTTCACATATAAACATTATCTTGGCACCACCACACTGACCTCATCGCTCATCATGAGCGCATGCTGTTCATAGTAATCATACAATGAATCCTCGCGATGCTCTATTAAGGCCTGTAGATAGTCGGCAAGCTTCTTCTGCATCAAAGCGATTCGCAACCAGGCGCGTGCACGTCCAATGTGCGTCCGGACCGTAGGTAGATCTCGCACACTGGCGGTTATGTCCTGAGCCTCGGGGCAATAGTTCTCGACGCTTTGCAGCAGGTCCCACAGCTCTTTGCGCGGACCCAAGAGACCCTAGGGATTTGATTTTTTATAAACTATATATCTAATTGCGTACAGTTTGTGTATGCAAACAGACCTTCTTCGGTCGTAGTCCATGTCCTAGCACATGCTCAATGACAATGAAGAAGTGCTGCAGCGGCAGATGATCTGAGTCCAACATACGTCCATAGCGCAATGATTGCTCCAACAGCTCTTTGACAACCAATTTGCAAATATTTACAAGATTACTGCGCTCAATTTCAGCCGTGTCGCGTGCTAGAAGGAAATGTCGTTACAGGCCTTAATAAGCGAATTCTTGGAGCATGGGAACTTAGCTGATAATTACGCGACCCGCTTGCATGGGCCCCAAACCAAAAGAGCTACTACAGCTACATGGCTATATGGCTTCGTCACGAAAACTTTCGATCCGAAGCTTTTAGCTTCAAAACAGTGAAAACTCAAAAAATAATGAACATTTATGTACTGTTTTCGTTGCTATTCTTTCTCGCACCCGGCGGCTGTCCCATCTACAGTATCGATCTATCCACACTGGAGGTACCAAACGAGTTTCAGAATGAGTTAACGCTGCAATCGATGTTAAATTCCGAATTGCAACAGTCTAGAAATAATTTAAATCGTAATGCGAAAATCAATGAAGTGTCAGAGGTTCAAACTTTTCAGGCACCCAACCCCTTGGAGGAACAGGACGGCAAAAGTGAGTTGCGCAAAAGCATTGAGGAGAATATCAAGGCTTCCAACTATGAGGCGAACTTCCACGAAATTCCAGAAACAGTGGACACGGAAGAGGCGAAGGAGAGGATCATGTCGTCGATCTATGACTCGAGCCTCCGTGATCCGTTGGAGGAAGGAGATACACAAGATTCGGAAGAGCAGCCACTTGACCCAGACCAATCAGCCAAGGTCTATCGCAGTGCTAAAGATCACGACGATTTTTTAGGCACTAATCTATTTGGAAATTATCCCAAGAAATGTTTTTCCACCGAGGACATTGCACTAATGTCGGCGCGCAAAGACTTCGAAGCGATAATCCCCAAATCTTATCCGCAATGTTTGCTAAGTGACAGCGTCATTTATATGCTGATGAAGTACTTTAATAGCATCAATCAGATTGTGAAACGGATGTCCGATGAAGACACTAGACGACTGCTACAACGCGCCTTCTACGACACGATGGGTGGGTATTTGCGTTACTATCTAATACCCGTTGCCCAGGTGTCTTACTATGCGGGTCGCCTCAAACTATGCACTGTCGAGCGATTGCTAGCGTTGTACGAACAGTGCAAGTTGGTGCTTAATACAAATGGAAATGGTTGGAAGGCCCCCGCTTCCGACATACTCAGCATGCTTAGGAGTGTCAACATTAAGCCTGTCAAGTTGGGCGAGTGCAAGGGCAGCGAAAATGATGCAGCCAGCTGTGCTATGCTCGACCAGATCTGTGGAACAAAGGACGCCCAGGACGATCTAATGATTGTGTCGGTACCGCGACTCGAGCCGGAAGATCGTCACGGCTATCTGAGCAATGTGTTTCTGCCCTTCAAGCAGCGACGTATTTTTAATCTTCAAGCGAAAAATTCCGCATTTATTCTGGTGAAATTCTTTCAAACTGTAACAAACTGCTATCGATTTCAGGGCATGACCCAAAAGGTGTTTAACCTTAGATTTCGAACATGGATCAGGGAGTGCGTTCAGATGCACTACAAGGATGAAATGTTCTATCCAGGTCTCGGAGGGGTGCTGCAAATTAACGAATATCTAAGTTGTCCAAAGAAGAAGCCTCAGAGCATAGATGAGCAGGAGCCTGTATCAACCGAAGAGGACTCGAAGGACTATGAGGCCAGCATGGATGATATTGAAAACGATGGCGAGAAATGTCCGAAAGTGAATAATAAAGCAGACAAAAAGAACGTAAAGAACAACATTGACAAAAAAAATGTGGATGCACAGCAGTCAAAAAAGAAAAGTCGCTCAGCTAAGCTCGATCACGAAGTATACGAAAAAGGCGCGCTTGAGGGCAAAAAAGAAAAACCGAGCGGCAATGCGGAGGAGTGCATTGAGTGTGACGATGAGAATTATGTGGCCTACATAGCTGCGTTTCTGGCACTGCTTCTAGTTCTACTACTCTTTTTGATTTGCTGCTGCATGCGGATGGGGCGCAAGCACAAGGACGATGGAAAACATAAACGTAGAAGAGAGAGAGTGGAACCTATGGCAACTAAGAGTACATATGATGAGGAGTCAGCACCGAAACAACCTCCTCCTCCGGTACGTAGAGAGTCTCCGGCCAGCGAACCAGGTTGCTGTAGCACACTGTTTCGCAGTAGAAGGCATAAAAACTCGGATAGGAATAAGATGCAACGCACAGGAGAAGAAAGGACTCCTACTGGTATGCGTTTTACAGACGAAGCTTATGCTCGTCCTCTGAACGCTAACGAGCGAGAAAAATTCCAAGCCTATGGTAGTGTATACAGAAGGAATTTGCCAGCATTTGTGTTTTTAAATTCCCCCCATTACAGAACGTTACACCGATGGGTCATTCACGTCTTCCTCATCACTAACCTGCCAGTTTCCGAGAAAATGCATTCCCATGCCGTTTCCCCGAGAAAAGCGACCTATGTACTACTCAACGTCAGAGCGAAAGCGTCAAAAACCAAGAGCGCGCAGCAGTGTTTGGGATAGGGATTTAGCGGCGAAAAGGTTCGAGGAAAATGAGAAGATGAAACCATGCCCAGTCAATCAGTCAACCCCACCTGCAAGCCCACAAAAACCACAAAGCGGACAGACAAGTAAAGATTTAGATAAACAACGCTATGAAGAGGCAAAGAAACGCCTGGAAGCGGAAAATAGGCAGAAGAAAGCCGTGGAGAAAAAATCCTTAGCAGCGAAACCCCCAGCGCCAACCAAGCCTAAAGAGGTAAGTAGGCTCGCTTTTTAAATACGCAAATATATCAATTCCATTTTTGGTATTAGGTAAAACAGTGTGATACGACCGATTCGAGCCGGGGAAGAGACAGAAAAGTCGGCGGATGGGACGCACCGCGCGAAAGAGATTTTAGAGGAAGAGGTAGGTCTTGACTCTGGTATGGTATGGTCTACTTTGCGCCCGCAGCAACAGCTGGCATAAAGTTTGATAGCCCCCATAATGTTTCGCAACTAGCTATATGTATTTTCCAGCGGTATAAACTTCAAACCCAATTACAGAGAGTGATAATGATAATGCAGCTGACTCAAGTGTTTCATCTGGACATGGCATACAGCACGGATTGATAGCAATTGCTGCAGGATTAGCTGCTAACTGTCGTTCAATGAGTCAAGAAAAGACAAGCGAAGAGGCAAGCAGCGAACTATCTGAGCTAAAGCTATATTCCAAGCCGATTCCATTAACTTTACAATCAACGAAAAATTCAGCTAGTTGGCAAACCACCTTTGATGATGAAAGCTGAGTAACAAATTTTCACTATTTAATATCTATCTAACATTGTATACTCCTTGAGTTGACGTTCAATATTTACCCCTGTTTAGAACTATATTTCATGCTTAATAAAGTTCATTGTATTTTTGAGTTGAAACATTCCAGCCTATCTCAATTAGTCCAAGTGCCTGTCGCATACTAAAGACAAGAGCTGACCTCGTTCTCTGAATACACTTCAAGTGGTTTGGACAAAACCCCACCGACATCGACTAGCCTGGGCCACAACAGCTCGAGCGGAAGTGCAACAGAAGAGTGTAATAATGCATTAACGTGCCAAATTAGTATAATCAATGTGTATAAAACTAAAGAACATACAAAGAAGAAGAAAAGCAAGGAAGGCTTGCAAATAAACGAGTTAAGAAGCAACCTACAGAGATGCGACCATTCACCGAGTGTACCACCAATTAGGCCGACATTTTTGTGCTGAGACGCGAGTGCATTTGTGCCGACAACGTCGCAGAGGCGACGCCCGATTAGATTTTCAATTGCCAATATACCATTATCCTCGAGTGTGCCGCTGCTATGTGATGTTGTCGACAGGCCCGAGTACCGTTTGTTTCTCTGGCCAAACGTTGAAGAGGATTGTGTGGCACCTTGCTGGCGATGCTGGGCAAAGCCACCAGCTGACCCACCGCCAGTAGCACCCGCATTGGTATTTGTGCCACCTGTGGCATGTGAGCCACCTGCCACATCGATATCCTGCAGCTCCTTCAGGCACAGCCATTCACCGTCAACAGAAACACGAAAATTGCACAAATAAATTGTGTCCTGCACACCACCGGCCAATTCCTCATTCGTATTGGCATGCGAAGCTTTTGGTAATGTAATTGTGTTGGAGTTGTTGTTGTACGGCTGCAGCGACTGCGATTGTTGCTGTTGTTGTTGTTGCTGCTGCTGCTGTGACTGCGACTGCGGCTGTGACTGTGTTTGTTGGGGTGGATTGTGACCCTTTTGTGTTTTTGTACTCGAAGCACTTGAGTTGTTGCTTGTTGTTGTTGCCACTGTGCCTTTTGCAATTGTAGTTGCTGCTGTTTTTGTAGACTTGCCGCCTTGTTGTTGTTGCATATTTTGTGGCGTTTTGCGCGTTGCTGTTGCAGACGATGACGAAGTCGTCGACGTTTTAATGGCGGCTCTTGTTTGCTTGGACGTACTGGCGCTGGCGACTGTTCCGGTTGTTCCTGTGCCCGATTTGGCACGAATACTGCTGCCAAGGTTGTTATTATTATTCTGCGAAACTTTGGACTTTTTTGTATCCTCCACGAGTCCACGCATTTTGAATGCTGTTTTATTTTCTATTCCTTTCTTAATGAACTGACGTTAGCTCCTTTTCCTTGTGGACAGGCACCCTATATGTATGTATGTACATACGTTTACACAGCCATAAATGGTGGTATGTATGTGTGTGTGGCAGCCATAAAAATAGATAGATTCGCAATGAGCGCATTGTACGTTTAAGTATCTGAGACAGCGGTCAAAGGCAACGCATACGTGAATTGTTCATTCGCCTGTACTACTGGCGAAAAATCGAATTCACGTATCTGTGCAAGTGCCTTGCAGTTGGAATTCTTAGCAGGTATTACCTTATTATCCGGTGTAGGTGGTTTACGGTTTTTGAATGCAATTGCTTCGAGGCCACTTGATTTGTACGCGATTAATAATTATATTTTTACTACATATTTATTAAAAATATTTTTTGGACATCTGCTCAGTTATCCTGTTGTGTACGCGTTGAGTAAGACTGACGTGAAAGCTTCTATTGATTTCTCAAGCACGCTTTGGCAACGAAGCTTTTCACAAATTTTCATTAGGGTTGTTCACTGCTGTTGTGTGCTTTTTTTATTCAGATACTACTCACTCACACACATAAATTTCACATTTTGAATATTTATAATTACGATTATTTAATTTAATTTTATTGTAAAAATATATGTTTGATTCTTGAGTTTAAATCAATTTTCCTGCAATTCAAACAAGGAAATTCCAACATTTGCCGAAAATAAATACAACTTTTTTCCATCTAATTACTTAATCATGAAACATTAATCAGCCACATTCAAGAATTGCATTCAGTCGTTCCATTTATTAAGTAATTTTTTTATTTTTTTAATTTTAGTGCACAATTATAAATGGTTTGGGTTAAGAAATCAGTTGAATTGAATACATTGCACTAGCCCTAACGTCGACTTCTCAACTCGTCAAAAAACCTTAAGCTATAAGTTGAAATATTTACATACATACATAATTGCTTTTTGAATTATGGTAGACCACTATAAATATATTCATTGAACTATTAATTTATGTTAAGCAAAGCAGAGTTAAAGTTTGGTTTGCAAACATTACACAAGCTCGATATGTATTCGTTGCCTAGAGTATTACGACTAAAAAATATATATGTACATATAATGCGGGTGAACTCACCGGGTTTCTTCCGTTTGGGTGTGCCTGTTGCTGAAGATGCAGCAGATGCGACTCCATATGGCGTTGTGCCCTGTACAATTTCGGATGCGGATGCAGCTGCCGCATTTGAGAATTGTGTTGAGATTTGATTAAAAATTTGTGACGAAATGCTCTCTGTGCGCCGAAAGGTGTCCCGCAACCGATTCAATGACGACACACTTGGGGAACTTGGCACAACATTTGGCGTTTGTGTTGGAGACGCTGACTCGTCACTTTCCTGGTGGCGTACCAGCAAATCGTTTGTGCTCATTTCTTAGCCCTACAAGCCCACACACACACACACACACTACACGTCGATTGCACTATTTTGTAAGGAAATTGCACAAAATGTTATAAATTGCACGTAAATAAACAAAACAAGCCGAGGGCGAACACAAAAAGCTATACCAGCTGTTGCACGTTATCAGCGCCAGGGCTGCAGTCTGGTTTTCACATCAGTGCTGTAAAAGGTTTTAACTGTATAGGTTCGGTTGTATTGAATGCGCATTATTAATTCAAATGTTAGCCAATAAAATTAAAGAACACAAATGGAAATAAAAAAATCTGTAAAATAAACCCTCTTAATACAAAGACGCAATGCACCAAAAATAATTTAGTAAATGTTTGGTCTGACAGTGTCTGGTCTAATCAAGTGCCGTACATAATGCCATGAATTGTTGTGCACTTCTGTCAGCTGTTCGATCAGCCATACTTGTTTCGCACACGGCACTAGTAAACAAAAAGTACATTCGCTTCGCATATTTTTTTTAATTACTGCGCAAGTGGCCGAACAGAAGTAGGCGGCTAAAGACAAGAAAATTTAAAGCGTTCAGACGTTAGAACTACTTTATACAAGCTAAATATAAACTAAAACAAAGATAAATTCAAAAACGTGAAAACACTGAGAAGTTAGTAAGCATATCATATCAAATAGCTGCATTTGACAGAAGCGACAACAACAAACAAAGAAAACAGCCTCTAGCAACTCGGTCTCAGTGCAGATTAGTGGCCTGGCTGTTGATGTACTGCGCATTAAGCATATTTTTACCTACATATTTTATAAGTAACACGACTGGTCGAAAGCGAGTTCATGCGCATTAACAAAGTGTTTGTGCAAAATTGTTAATTTCAAACCTTTGGCATCCGGTATTATAGTGTAGTGCTCGAATGCAACATAAAATAGTGCAGTGCTGTCAACGTGAACGTTGACGCCCACAGAAGCCGCTACGCGGTGTAGTGCAACAATACGCAAGGTAAGAAGGAAGTGATATAAGTGTGTACAGATGTGTGTATGTACATACATATGTATGTATGTATAACTAACCTAGCATAACTTTCTCGTCCCTAACTGCCGTTATAAAAACAGAGATAAGTCATATAATTGAAGTGGCTTTTGCAAGCAGCACTTAAATTTAATGGTCAGTATATACGGCAGCTAAATAATCAAAGCACCACCATGTTGTTGGCCATAATCAAATCACACATTTAGCGACGATAAGGCCACGCTCATCGTGGATCAGACGGCAACAACAATAGCAAATACACAACTTCGCCCCAAACTGGTTTGTTTTGTTTTTCACTCAGCATTTTTTTTCTTGTTCATAGGCACGCAATTTCTGAGCAGGTTTAATGGCCGCTCATATCAATGCAAAGGTCCCATAAGCGTTGCTGTAAAAAATTGCCTTTCAGTTTAAAAATTCTTTGTTGCCTTTTGTGCTTTTCAACAGTCACAATTTTCTCGCGCTCTCTCTACGTTCTCAATCAGCTGACAATTGAGCGCTTATCATTGCTAAACAAATTTACCGTATGGTACGAGTGTGACGGTACATGTGTATACTCTACAAAAATTTACTTTGTACATACATATGTACTTATGTATATGTATATGTAAATATTTACTTCCATATGTATATCATCCAATTTCTGTAGCACAAAGATATATATATATATAAGATATATATACATATGTATATGTATACATTTAAATGTATGAGAAGTTTGTGAAACTTGTTCCCCTTTTTCAAAGCCCATTTATTTGCAGTTTTGTTTTGTGTTGTATTTAGAATTTCACAATTTTGAAATTGTTTGTACGCAAGGAGTCACCAGAAGCGTAGAAAATGAAGAGTAGCAATGCGACACATTTTTATTTCAGAAACTCCCAAAATTTTTATTTTAACATGTACATATGTGTTCTTAGTTTATACCATAAAATATTTATAAGTACATATGAAAAGTGTATCCAAACTTCGCCACGTCGAAATTAACAATTGAAATGAATTGCCTTTTTATTTTCAATGCTGCTGTTGCTATAGTTATTGTTGTTGTCATATGACAACCAATTTAAAACATTCGCATTACAATCATGACCAAATAGCACGTTTGGATTGATACATATGTATGTATGTACATGTGTATATATGTATGTATTTATATAGAAGTGCGATCGACAAGCAGCCATTGTTTTAGTGCAGAGTGCAAAATAATCTCCGCCATTACAAAAGTGTCTGAATGAAGCACTGAGCAACCACTACTAATTGATGACGTTCTCTGATGTTACAGCGGCCATTATGATTCGATTCCATACCATAGCTTTAAAATACATACATGTATATACTCATACTTATTCGTATTTTCGTGTGCTCGGAAGTATATCGTATTAGGAGAACCGCGCGACGCGTCTTAAAGCTCATTCAGAAAAAAGTTGCCGGCGTGATAAGACGTTCTCGTTAGCTAGGAATTTATGTGCATTTGTATACCTATTTATTACCGGACAAATCTCCCATTGTGTGTTTAGTTAACAAAAGAAAGAAATCAAGTTCAAAGCATCAGCCACCGACGAGGTCAGAGCTCTTGTCAATTTTTTTTATATTAAGAACACAATCCGCGATATGCATGTATTTTCTGCAAATATCTTGATAAATATGTACGAGTATATTGCCATGTGTTGTGTATTTAAATTTCTATAATTGGTGTCTCTACCCACAGTGACGTCACATCCTTGTAACTATCTATTCGCTTGAATGTCCACGTATCTATCAAAGTAATATGTAGCTTAGTTCTCTATGTTTCTTATTATGTTTTATGTCTCGCATTTAGCCTGAAGCTCTGAAACTCTTTATTGATCTAAAACTGGATTTTTAGCTTCGCTCTGCGGTTCGGATGTTTATACAACTGTTACTCAATTCTTATGAAACGTTCTCCTCGGTGTTTGTATTCCATAAATCGTCTGTAGCAAGCAAAATCTAAGGAAAGAACTCCAACATAAAATTGTGGAACAGCTGTATAATATAAAATATACAAAAAAATTTTATATTCTAGTATTTTCAATGAATATATCGCGGAAATGAACGAAAGTTCATATTTTGATGAAAAATAATGTGTAAACAGCATTTAACAAAGCAATGTGGTTGTTTACCTCGAAATTGTTTAGCATAAAGATAAAATAAAAAACAAATAAAAAGGGAAAATAAATATTCATAACAGAAGAACAAACATACATACATATGTTCATGTGTCTTAAAAGAAAGCTGCATTTCAATTTATTGATAAATTATGCAGTAATAAGGAAACTGATACAAGATTTACAACAGTTCTGTTCAGAGTTTTATTTTCCAATTTTGTAAATATTAATCCAGCCGCTGTTTTAATGAATATATACCAGTTGCTTTAAAAAATTTCGCATTGCTTAAAAATCAGTAAAATATACTCTTAAAAGTAGTTTTTACAATCGAAAGCTAAATAATCTATGTATCATTTTTATTGATTGTTACTTGTGGTAATTACAAAAATAGAAAAAGAAATAAAGCTTTACATAATATTAACTTCCAAGTAGAAATCAGTGCACTTCTTTTTCATAAATATCTTTCATTAACTAGAAAATTACAGATTCATTTGCAATATTGAAGAATAGTAAGGAGGGCTGTTAAAGAAAGCCTGTGGATTAAAAAGTTAATCCATCCATTATCTCTGTAAGCGAAAAGTGGTTCTTAAGTCCCAAATGTTGATCAAAACTGACCAAAACATTTTACACCTAGAACTGTTTATAGTAAAGATGAGGCAAGTGGCGTTTCATCCCACCGATCGGCAGCGGTAGCTATAATAGCTATATAGATTAAATGGACGCTGTGAAGTCTGGTTTTTTACCAGCATATTCGGTATTGATAAACAATTGTGAAATAGCTACTTAGTCCATTTCAAATCAATCATGTAATACTGAACAAGATAGAACGCTACAGTCGAGCAAGCCCGACAGTAAAATAGCCTGTACTCTCCACAAAAAAAGAAAAATTAAAAAAAAAATTAAATTATTAAAAAAAAAATTAATGAATTAATTAATTAAATTAAATTAGAATATATGTTTATGTTTAGTTTTAACAGCATACATTTACATCACGTACCTATGCGTGTTTATATGCGTGTATGTATGCAGCACAAAGTTGAACCAAAGCAGCAGCAACAACAACAGCTGCGGGCAGCGCTGCCGACAGAGCTGCAGGCAGCGCATGAGCAGCGATTTTACTTATGGCTATAACTTTCTTCAGAATTGACCTATCCTGATGAAATTTGGCACACGGACACATTAGTACTAACTGGATGTACCTACCAAAATTGATTTCAAAATTCCGAGAATTACGGAAGTTATAAGAAAAAACACGAATTGCGGGGGAGTGGGGGGGGTGCATCGAAAAAAAACTCAAACTCGTACTTTCTCGGTCTTAGGAGAATATGGAAACCAAGTTTGGTTATTCTAGCTCTTATACTTTCTGAGATCCTTGCGTTCATACGGACAGACGGACAGACAGACGGACAGACAGACGGACAGACGGACGGACGGACAAGGCTATATCGACTCGGCTTCTCATCCTGATCAAGAATATATATACTTTGTGGGGTCTGCCACGCCTCCTTCTGTGTGTTACATACATGCGCACAAAACTAGTATAGCCTTTCACCCTTTGGGTACAGGCTATAATTACTTTAGTAATGTAAGGTTTAAAACGTAAAATATATAATCGAAATGAATAAGCCGATGCTCCCGTATTAATTGTTAAGCCTTTCTTTGGTTAAGCTTCCTTGGATAAGCGTATTTGTTTATTAATTATATATATTGTGAATAAAATCCTCACTAAAGAAACATCTCACTTTAAAATAACGTAAACAACAGGAAGAATTTGGAAAAGCATACAATCTATTTAGTACTTCCACATATTTCACATATTTATCTTCTACCACTCCACAAGATAATAATTGTACCGTAGAGTTAGTAACTCTCTGAAAGCAAAACGAGTAGAACGTCAAAGTCGTGTCGGTCTGGCTCTTAAACACCATTGAACTAAAATACACTTTGTTGTAACAATCGTTCCTACGGCAGCCACATACATTTGTATTTGATAAATTTTTACCAATTTTGATAAAAGCAGAATATGAAGTGGCTCTGAAAACTGATAAATAAAAATGTTAGTGACAAAATGGTAATAAACAAAAAATATGTTGGTGCTAAGATTGATTTATGCACCTATCGTTTCCATAATATATTGCATTTTTTGAAATTTTAGTTTTAGTTCATGAACACATAAGTTATGATACTATAAGTCATTTGTGCAACGTTAGGTCCTATTATAAAATAGTTAACTTATAGATTGTTTTTATGCGTGCTATGCGTTGATAACAAAAATATTCACACGGGCGTTCAGGCGAATGGACAGACAGAACGTCAGATCTATTTCGATTCTTCCTGGATATATATGAGTATATGTACATATGTGTCTACAACATGGAGTATGTCACGCCCCCTTAAAACTGTCCCATACATTTCGCATTTAGACGTTCTAGAAAACCCTTTCACTCTTTGGGTATAGGGTATAAAAAACAGCAGCTGCCAGTGAACAAGTGTGGGACACAATAATTTACATGACCGCAAAAGTTGTGCAAATATTGAGTCCATACAGTTGCAGATACTTACCAACATGTTTGTACAACACATGTTTAGTTGAAATAATTTGTAACGTGCGACCGCACGTTGTTGATAAGGAGGATGGTGAAGGCAGAGTGCATGCGCCTCGAACAAAGCCCTAACTAAACCTTCAGTGTCCGAAATCAGTGCATTTGTTATTATTTACTAACAACAAATAAAAGCGCGTCTATACTGATTAGTTTTATAATCAGAAATGCTAAAAAAAACCGCACAGTTGGTGACGATGACGGACTCGTCTTACTTGTACGCTTATCAGCGGACAGAATGCCGCGTAGCTTGTTTGGCTCTGATTTGTATGTATTTCCATAGATGTATGTATATGTACTATTATATGTATATGTATTTACTTTTATGTTGTAGAAACAAAAGTGGAAGCCTCAGTTGGTAGCTGCGATTGTGGCTGATAGTATGCGGAACGCGTGAATAAAAAGCGTTTAAACGTTTTTAACGAAATTTATTTTGCCATGGCCAACTGGCATTGGTGACGTATACGTGATATTTGTTCATACACTGACTACAAATCCGTGAATTCAATTCCAGCTGTGCATATAGTACATATGTATGTATATACCTTACCTTAACCAACCCACACACACACGCATATACCTGCTGATCAATCATAATCGAGGTAAGAGTGCTTGGTAGACATGGCCGGTGCTCACGTTTTTCAATATTCATCCCCTGCCGACATATTAAGCAAACAATTTTAATAGCAGCGGCTTTTTAAATATTAAATTATTGCCATTTCTCTCTATTCAGTTGGCCAAATTTGTTGTCGTCGGTATTGTCGCTAGTGGTATCTTATCGGGGCCGAACTTCAACAATTTAAGCTGCATCAATACGAGAAATGGAACTGAAGCAAATATGTCACAATTTAAACGTGTGGGGAGAGGATTGTGAGGGGGGTCTTCTATAATGTGTACAGGTGTGGGTGTGCGTGCGTGGCTTCAACGGTTCCTTGCAGTTTTCCAGCTCGTCAGTATCTTTCTGACCACCAACGTTTGCGCATAATTGTGCTGTAGTTCGGAACTCATTTCCGTGCCCAAGGGTAGGCTATATAAGCTATATATTTTGACTTGAACTTGCTGCTGTGTGTTTGTGGCAAACAAAAAAAAATTATAAAGCTGGTGGTTTCCCTTGAGCGCAGAGTGCGTTGTCCGCCCACCGGGGACGCCTTGTGGGCGATCGAATTACACAAATTCAGGGCCTTGCACTTGGTGCTTGCTTTGCCTACCCTGCGATCAACATTAATATTTGTCAAGTGGAAACATATATTCTGTATAGTACATAGTAGAGTGATTGTGAAAAAGTTCATTCAAGAGGCGAATTTTTATTTTTCCTATCAACTGTTGAAAAAGGAAACGCAGTGACATGTAAAATTTATTTTAATAGTCATATCGATTGATTAATGTGTATGATTATTATCTCTTGTTTGCCTGGGCCGATTTCTTAAATTGTGTTTTGTTCGCAAAATTTCATTTTTCTTATGTCTTGCCATAAAAGTTGAGTGTGCATAATCGTTGATCACTTTTTACTAATCTGGTGAATTATCCAAGAAGTGAATAGAGAATGTCATTTAATGTGATTCATCAAGAAATGTCTTATAAGTATATACGATCCAATTACATTTGTACCTAGACTACTTGAACTACTGATCAATTCCCAAAACAATTATCAGAGTGTATTTCTTCACACTTTTTAATGTTTATAATACATGATCATGATCACTAAGGATCTCAGTGTATTGGTGAGTGATTCTAGATTCCAGATCCTAATGGCCCATCGGCTGTCTCAATTTGATTGGGATTTGGGTTTTAAGCTGCGTTTGCCAACCATTTTATGTGATCCATAAAAAGGGCCTGGCACAGTTACACAGGACTTCGGGTAATAGGTTAAGAAGCGCAGGGCAGTCGCATTCATTTATTGAAATAAGAGTCGTCTCTTCATCTCGACTAAATGACTAATTGTAGTCTTAAATGTTTATTTGCTGATCAATTTTATTCGTACTTTAATTCTGGTACTAGTTTTTCAAATGCAACTGCTACTACAAGTAGAGCGGATGATTCATTATAATCTTACACAACCCAGAGTAGACTTGATATCAAAAGAGTGTATTCTCTTAGGGAACAGCCCCTATTTAATGGATTATTTAATTAATATAAACGGAAAAATGAAATAAAAGAGATGACTCAACGACTAATGCTTTGTTCTTTACTGCAACTGTGATGCAACAATCATCACAATATGTTTATCTTGCCCAGCCTTCGCAAACATTACACATAGGGGTCCCCAAAAAGTAAAAAATATTCCATATGAATGGGAAAGTTTGAGAATCTATCATTTGCTTTAACGACTGCTAGTCAAAAAGTTATCGGGGCAATAGTTAAGCTACACTGATTTCTTTTTACACAAGCTTACTTATCGTACGGCTCACAGCATGTTGTTGTTGGCAGGTGTGGTGTGAGTGACCGAACCATCAGGTGGATTTGCACATCAGTGCCAGTGGGCCTTAGATGGACTGGTCGGCATAAGTTAGGCATTCAACTCGACTTTGCTCGTTGCTAGGGGGTTTCTTGACAACTTAAAGCCTATTCATTTATCAGGCCACTTTAATACTTAATATGTATATACATATATATCGTAAGAATCGTGAGTTGCAATATTGAGACAAGATTTTTGTGTCAAAAATATTTCAGATGTTTTTGGAATAATCAAGTATTTATTATTTTAAATTACAGTTGATATAAGGGGCGCATAACTTTGGCACAAATATTGGACATGACAAAAGATTAGAGGAATAGACCAGAAGACAGTCCAAGACACAACCCATTCACCGCCATAGGTAGGAAAGATAGCGCACAGCACAGATAACAACCGGAGATATCAGAAGAAGAGGAGGCAGCGACAATGAACGCCAGCAGCAGTTTCCTTGAAGAACACTTCGCCATGATCTATTCAAATCTCATAAATAATTACATGCCCGACTACTTCAAAAGTTTTGAATACACACCATGGGTTTTCTCACTTTTGGGCTCCGTCGTGATCGGATTGAGCGGCATATTCCCATTGTTTATCATACCCACAGATGAGAAAATGAAGAAGGACGGATATAAAGATCGTAAGTTATCAGACAATAGAAATTTTAGACAATGCTTATTTCTTTCTATGTTACATCATAGCTGCTGAATCCAAATTTTTGCGGATATTGCTCAGTTTTGCCGTTGGCGGATTGCTGGGCGATGTTTTTCTGCATTTACTGCCAGAGGCTTGGGAGGGCGACCATCAAGGTAAGCCAATTAAGGATTTCCCATTAGCGCAGTGCTCATAATTGCATTTTGCAGAACCCTCCAGTCATCCTTCATTACGTTCCGGCCTTTGGGTTCTATCGGGCATTCTCATTTTCACCATAGTCGAAAAAATCTTTTCGGGCTATACAAACGCGGACGAGGAGAATCCACAGCCCAAATGTGTAGAGATCGCCAACTGTTTGTTGCGTCGCCATGGTGGCAAGCTGCCCGATGGTCAGACGGCAGATAGTTGTGGTACCTGCGACATTGAGGATGTGGACAAAGTGTGCTTTCTGCGTGAGCGCGAAATCAAAGCCAAGGAGCAAAAGGAGCAGCCCAAAAAGGTGGCCGGCTATTTAAATTTGTTGGCCAATTCGATTGACAATTTTACACATGGCCTGGCGGTCGCCGGATCGTTTTTGGTGTCGTTCAGGCATGGAATTCTGGCCACTTTTGCGATATTGCGTAAGTATAAATAGCTAATTTTAAGAGTTTTATTATTGATCAAAATACGTTTCTTTGCAGTGCATGAAATCCCTCATGAAGTCGGCGACTTTGCCATTTTGCTGCGATCTGGCTTCAGTCGTTGGGATGCGGCGCGTGCTCAGCTCTTAACGGCAGGTGCTGGACTTCTGGGTGCTCTGGTAGCCATTGGTGGCTCAGGCGTGACATCCGCCATGGGTAATTTAATAATTGCAAGCTCTTACCGCCGAAGCAGCCCAAAATTTATTTATTTGTTTCTTCAGAGGCTCGCACATCCTGGATCATGCCCTTCACCGCCGGTGGTTTCCTGCACATTGCGCTAGTCACAGTATTACCTGATCTCTTGAAAGAGGAGGATCGCAAGGAGTCCGTTAAGCAATTATTGGCACTGGTCTTTGGTATAGCGCTAATGGCAATCATGACTACGCTCTTTGAACACTAGATCCTTTTGCGCAGGCAGCGTATATTGAGAAAAAAGCAAAGCACTTTGGCGTCCACAAATTATCAGTTTCATGTTTCGTTTTAATCGAGGCTGAGTAGCTTATGCTATCGAAATTTTCATGTACATTAGCAGTAAAAAAGTTTTTTCATATTTTCAAAAGTTTATAAAATGAAGTATTCGGGTTTTCGTGCCACTCGCTATATTTCATTGCATATTGTTGTACATTATGACGTTCTGATGCGCCCTCTTTGTGTGTTATGTAATTATAGCCAACTAAAACGAATGATATTTGAACTATTGTTATTAATTATTATAATATACCATATAAAGTAATATTGTATAGAAAAAAGTGAAAATATAAGCAAACATACGTACTTCTTTTTTAAGAAAACATTGGTTGTATTTTTTATTTTCTCTTTTAAAAAGGGATTGAGCTTAAAATTCAAATTTGTACGATGTCATTTGCTTCAATAAATCTTTTTGCCTTTCCAGTCTACATGCAGCCCAAATTCATTTTGCCAGCTACTTTACTACAAAGCCAATCACGAATTTATAAACCCTTACCACAATGGTTCACAGTAAAAAGAAATACAAATCGAAAATACATGTGATGGCCATCGGAATCATTCATATTAATGGAGAAAATAATTATAGAACCATATCGACAGATAATTCAGATAAAGAATATATGGTTGTCGCCTCTCAGAAGTTGGTATCAAATATCTTTCGAACCAAGAGGTCCTATATGGGCTATCACACCGAGTTTATTTCCAGCAATATGTACATTTATCCCTTGTCTAATAAACATGAATTGATATAGTAAAATTTAGTTTTTTATTATAAAAAACAAGCCGTTTTTATTTTCTTTTTATCTGCAAATCATCTGCTCTGCATGCCTATCTATTTTTTAGACTTGATTTTCTTAAGGTAGAATTCCAACTCTTTGCCTTCCAGAAGATAGCCGTCCGAACGTCCACATTGTCCAGGGCGGGATGAAATGCAAGCTGCAACCAAAACAAAAAACACATTAAACACAAGCTCAGTAACATTTCTCGCGCTAATTGAATTAAAGACGAGATCAGAGTAACTATGACAGCAAAATCACGCTCAACAGCTTGCATCGCACTTAAAACAAGATTGATACAATAAAAGTAGTCGAATCGCTTAGGTTTTTTCATCAAATCATACTTGTAAAACATTACTCTTAAAGCTAATAAAAATACGCACCTAAGATACGTCCGGATGTGAACTGATCTTCCAAAGCTTGTTCAACTTTGCCGTACTTTTGGCGTTCCAAGTACTTCTTCATAACCTTGTCGCTGCGCTTCTTGGTGAGCACATCGTTCTCATCCTCTTTTTGCGCGTGCTTGGGATTGCGCTTGCGACCCAAAGGTAGCACGTAGTGTGACTCGTACCATTGACGGAATGGCGTAGCATCAATGACCACAATGCTGTTCTTTACCAAAGTCTTGGTACGCACCAGCTCGTTGTTGGACGCATTGTAGACGACATCGGCAATACGGGTCTTGCGTGCAACGCCTTCGGAAGCCCAAGCGAAATTACCGGTTTCCAGACGCAGAGCACGCAATTTAGTGTTGCCACCACGAGTGCGCACTTTATGGACGCGGCCTGTTCCGAGCTACAACAGAAATAGAGTAGCATATTAACACATCGAAGATTTTTATGTAGGTATTTCTAAATGTTTAATTAATCAGAAGTCCGAACATAATGCTTTTTCGTCATCAATGAATTCGCAAATGAGCAAGTCAAGTGCTATTGCAGGTGACACGCGTTAACATCATTTTATAACAATATCAATATATGTTTTTAAGTGCTTCGGGGAACTCACCTTGGTGTTGGCAGCGGGACGACCCAACTCAAACTTGCGCTTCTTGCGCAGCGACTTGCGCTTGCCACCAGTCGCGCGACGCTTGTGTGCACTATCACGGCTTATACCTGGAAGTGAACACCACAAATTAGTTTTATTTTATTGCATATTGGCTAAATGAAGAATATTTAAAATCGCTCAGCATACACACATACATATGTATGTGCACATCAACACGCGGGGGCTGATCAATTTTAGATTGATTAATTTCAGTTAAATGTGCAGTTTCGCATAAAGCCGTCGACGGCTATGGCACAAGCGTTGCATTATTCACAATTTATGATTGTTTGTATGCATTTTGGAAGGGTTTTTCTTAAAAATTTAACACAATTCTCACGAGCGGCACTCACCCATGTTCGAGTAAAAAGCAGAAAGAAAGGAAAAGACACGAACCACCTCGTGTCAAAATTTTGAGGTTAGTTGCTTGGCATTATTTTGACGTTTGCTGCAATTGGCAGCACTTTTACATAGTTGCATTCATATCGATTGCTTGTAATGGCAGTCTTTGTAAGTATTTATATTTTTATGGGCAACACTGTACCGAGAACCAGACCCAAGCCACTTCCAATTTTGCGTTTTTAGAACAAAAATAAAAATAAACAATTTGTACGTGCTAGTTTCGGTAGCATGCATATATTATCGTCACACATGTAATCGATATGGTTGGTAAAAATTGGAAGGCACTTGCGCACTTTCATCGTCTTACAGAATATCTGGTACAGTGCAAACATTGTGACAAAACTCTTTCGTCCAAACATACATCAAGTAATTTAACGCGGCATTTGATTCGGAACCACAAGACTTTAGCGCGCAGCGTTTTTGCTGGCGAGGAGGGAAGGATGCTGGCAGAGTTGAAGGAGGAACTGCATGCAGCTGATGATAACGATATGCAAGTGGAAATGTCTGTGGGAGAAGGCGAAACTAAGAATGCGGTAAGGACCATTATGGGATCGGGATCCGGGACAAACTCGCGCGGGCAAGAGCCCGAAGCCCGCAACAAAGTCATTGGTAAAAATAACAAGCTATGGGCGCACTTTTATCGAATATCTGAATTCGTTGCTAAATGCAAACACTGTAGCAAAACGTTATCGTCTAAGCACTCGTCCTCTAATCTTATGCGTCACATAGTGCGACGACATCATATCTTTTCAAAAACAATAGGGGATCCACAAAATCAGCCTAAAAAGGACTCAATTAACATTAAACAGCAACTAGATCCACTGGAAAAGGTTGATTTCGACGACGTAGACAGCATCATCGAGAAGGTTGGAGATCATTTGGAAGATGAGGTAAATTGACAGGATGATACACTCTGGAGACGATGTGACGTAAACGTGTGATTGTGACTTGAAGGTCGCTTCAATTTCATTTCAGGAACCCTTCTACGAGTATGTTGTAGACAATACCGAAGAGGTTGACGCCAAGAATGGAAGTCAGCCGCCACTAACTGAAGTTCATCCACTGGAGACAGTCGGCGATGCCTTCATGGACCAGACAACTCAGCTAGATGAAAAACTAAAAGCCGAAACGATATATTACAACGAGATGGCTGAACTAGCTAGAGCCAAGCGTCGACTAATTGATCTTCAAACCAAGAAGCTGCTTATTGAATTGAACGCAGTGGATAGAAACTAAAGCTAACTTCAAACGTTAATTATTTATATCTCTCTTTAGTAATAATGAATGGGTCGCATAAATACAAATTACTTTTCAAGCTATACTTTAATAAATATGTAGAGCTAATAACTTATAGATTTTTGTTCACTTTTCAGCATTTCAATTTCCAGTAGCTCCTTTTTCGCCTGGAGTGCACATAAGTACTTTTGCATTCGATAAAACGCCGCCTTCTCATTAAAGTACAATGTTTGCTGACGCACTAGTTCTTCTTTGAGCTCCAATAGACGCGGTGTATCATCAGTTTCAGCCGATATTAAAAGTCCGTTGGGATCATTTTCAAACTTCTTATTATTGCTAAAAAACTTCGTTGCGGAGTCCACGCTTGAGTGCGGGGAGAATGGATTATCTGCAGTGACTTCGTCTTTAACGGCCATAGGGTCGTCAACAAATTGTTCGCCAGCTTCCATATCCACTCCGTTAAGAGCTTCTTCATCTACTGCGTAGAGAACATCTCGGTCCACCTCGATGAATTCATCATAAATTACCTGGAATCGACTATTTTCATCTACTGAAGTACTTTCAGCTTCACCAGGCTCTTCGACGATGATATTATCTATATCAAACTCATTTATTATTGCACCATCTTCTAACGAATCCTATAAATAAAAAGAACCGATAAATCAATTTAGCATCGGTCGAAATTTAACTACTAATCTGTCCTTACATCACCAATACCCTTTTGCTCAGATGTGGAAGTCCTCACACCATGCATAATCACCATGTGTTTACTTATGATTGGCTCCATTTCATCGCATTTCTGAAAAACCTCATCGCACATTTGGCACTTCAAAAGCTGAGGATCGTCAGTGATTTGACAAAATTGAAGCAGAGTATTCGATTCCATTGGATTGTCTAAGTCCGACTGAGAAACTTTTGAAGCACGAATGCTGGCAACAATATTGTGCATGCGATGCAAATGGCGCTGCAGATTACTTGTGCCCTGGTAGGACAAATTCTTTGAGCAAACGAGGCAGCGCACTACATCCTCGTTAATTCGTACACAATACTTCCACACCCCACTGCAAGCGCCATTGCCATTTAGGCGCTGAGAATGGGATATTTCGCTGTCCAACTCCTCATCCGCCGGCGCCTCAGCCAGTTTATTGTCATGTTTATCAATATTTGTATAATCTGCAATTTTGTGCTTGCGTTGAAGGTGTGAAATCACGTTTGCCGTGCCATGAAAACGCATGCTTCTATTGCAAAGCTTGCAACGTACCGTGTACCTGGACACCTTTTCGCAATATTTCCAAACATAGCTAGAACCTTTGCGAAAGAATCTATTGGCCTTATCATTAATTTCGTTCACCTTTATTTTGGCCTTTATACGTTTGAGGTTTTCTCCGCTGCTGTCATCGTGCTCCAACTGTGAATTATGGGTTTATGATGAGTTGTATATGTATGTACATACACACATCTCACGATTTAAATTATTATTGAAAGCTCACCTCATTTTCTTGAATGATATCAGAGTGTTTACGTCGCAAATGTTTCGTTATATTTGAGGTATTTCCACCACCAAAAAATAGCAACTTATCACATAAATGACAAAACGCTTGCTTTTCATTAGCCCGTGTGCAGTACTTCCAAATAAAGCTGCGGCTAGGCCGACTACGTTTATTCCCGTGTGGAACTCCGAGACGGACAATATTGTGTACGCACTCCAAATGTCGCGCCAAGTTTGTTGTTCTAGTGCTCACTAGGGTTTTACACACTCTACACCTCGAGACCTTCGGATTTCCATCGGATTCCAATTCATCAAAGTACTCCCATACGAAGCTGCGACGCTCTCTCTTATTTTTTAATTGTGGAATAGTATTTTGATCGCCTTCATATAAAATATTTGAATCATCGGACTCGGACTCGTTATAAAACTCATCCATTATTATTATTGGTAGTCGGTAACTATAACGCAATTTGGGCCCAAAACGCTATAATGGGTAACGCGAGTACAACTTCAAGAATAAAGTGTGACCAATATGTACGTTTGGTAAAATTCGCCATATATTAATTAAAAAATTACATTTTTGTAAATAAATTGGATTCTAAAGTAGGAGAAACTTTAGTAACTAAAATATACATTCTTTTTGAAGAAAGATACATATAAAAATATGTTTATGTATCTTTTTATATATAAAAACAAACTAAAAAATTGATTTAATTAAACACCAACATTATATGGTTACACTGGCTATGGCAATGCATGGGTAGTGAAATCTTTTTGTGACCGCATACATTTCACCACCTGGCAACGCTGCGCTGCTTATTCTTTTTATTTAGTCGCATTTTGTGTCAACATTTTCAATTTTCAGAGCTCGTGCGAAAATATTTTATTAAAAGTCTCTTAAACATTGATGTAAGGACCGTTTTCAAAATGGCTAGCTTTTCGCCAAAAAACATGCGTCAATGTACGCGATTCACGGGCACGCCATGTACTCCGGAAAAAGAGCAGCAGCTCCGCGAACAAATTCAGAACGAACTACATAAAATCAAGTACTGCGCCAATCCAACATACGAATGTAGTTTGATGCGCATAGGGGAGGGCTACGATTATTGCATTCGCCACATATTGCGTGATCCACGTGCTAATTATCGTCAGTGCTCACACGTTTATCCAAATGGTCGCAAGTGCGTCAATGCTGTGCCCAAATACGATACCAAAAAAGAACCCATTTTGACCACGCTGTGCTTCGAGCACAATCGCCACACGCAGTTGCAGAAAACCCACATAACTGTGGGTAGGCTACGCAATCGTGTGGAGACGAATGAAACGCTTTTGAACAGTTTGGCGCATCATTTGAATGTGGAGGATATAAAACCGGAACCCCCTAAGGCAGAGCCAGAGGAGGAAGAGATTGATGTAGTTTCACCGCATGTGACTCCGTTTGGTATACAATAGCTCTCTAATTATGCTAGTATGTTATTTAAGCATTTGTCTGTTTGGTTTACAGTTAATCAAGATTATCTGAACAATATTGGGCATGTTGTAACTAGCGTACGCAAGCGCCGTCGCATTTTGGACTATGCTTCGGATAGTTCCAGTAACGATGATGATCCACCGTGTTTAAGGAACACTGCAAAAGATCTGGAGCTTAATGAAACTGATTATGAAAGCGCCGACTCTGAAGAAGATGATCCCCTTAAGTAAGTTAACTAACTCCTTATGTATTCATCATTCTGAACAATTCCTTTTGTAGACATGCCGGTGTTTATACTCGAGTCGAGGCTGTGCGTCTGACGGAATCCAAACTGATCAAACTGCAGGGTCTTTACCGGGAACAGATATCACATTTGCAACACGTTTTAAGGCAGCGAAGGCGTATTTATTTACACGACATTCGTCGAGAACGGGAAACTTATTGTAACTAAAATCAATGTAAGTTTGGATGCGTCTGCACTTATAACACCGTTTCTTCCGCTGACTTTCAGGCAGCATTCATGACCAGCTGAAGGATACACCACACGAGCGTAAACTGTACGAACAGCTCAAGGCACTTAATAGTTATCATCGGCGTCAGGGTGTGGAGGCAGTGCTGTATAAAAAGATGAAGGAAAAACGAGCCCGAGCACGCGATTCATTGATTGTTCCTAAGACACCCTCTTTTCCGAAATGCATGTTCACCGAAGGTGGCGTCAAGTGTGGCGAACGGACTTTGCCTTGCTGTAAACATTGCCGCAAACACATTTTGGAAGATAAACGCCAAGTACTGTTCCGTGCTTGCGGTGTGGAAAAGAGTGGCGTTGTGTGCCAAGAGCCGGTTGCAAATATCTTTGATGATTCCACCTGTGTGCTGCATCTGAGCGTGGCCCCTGCCAAGCTTCAGTATATACAAAAGGTGCGTTAACTCAGCAACTACCCATTGAAACAATATAACACAAAATAAATACTGCACGTACACCTGCTTAGCAGCTGCCCTCCACGCATGAGAGCAGGCACAATGTGTACATACTAATGCATTATCCATTTACCCACATTATTGAGAACCAGGCCGTCGATCGGTCTGCCAATTTACATTACTTACACATACTCACTTTATTTTAGTGCTGCTGCATACATTTATACATATGTATATATATATATACAACTATATAGCATACACTATACACTTTAACCTATAAAGAACAAGTTTATTGTGATCGACTCTGAATAAAATACCGACCTCTCATCCACCCAATAGTTTTATGAAGTGCCGCGAACTCCGCCAAAAGAAAGCATTTTTGCAGGCTGCGTCAATCGAGATCATTTTCTTGACGACGATGAAAGGACTGTCGGGTCGCTTAATACTAAATATTCAGTTCAAAATGATCTGTTGGATTTCACAAGTAATCTTTTTGATTTCGATCTCAATGCTGCTGGGGATTTTGCAAATTCATTTGAAGAGGATCCAGATATGTTATTAAAAATGGAAACAGAAATTGTGCCAGAATCAACTGAAAATCAAGAGAGCAATGCAGCGCTTATTAATATCAAGAATGAAGATGGTGTGACCGTTGATGTGAATGAAATTCAAATAGGGAACAGTGTCCACGACGTTTTAAAAATGCTCGAGAGTATTGAAACGATGCCTTGGCTAAATGTTGAAGAACAAACAACAAGTTAAAAACCACTAACCCATGCATGTAAATCCGCCTAACTTTACCCTCATTGTTATTGTTGTAGTTTTTGCTGTAATATGTATCTGTTCTGACACTATAAACAACATGTTAGAATTCTTGCCATACTGATCATGATTTTTGCTTCCGCAGAAATACGAATCAGAAACAGAGGACGAGGAACAGTCTGCTGCCATCGGGATAAAGCGGGAAAAGGGTCTGCTGGACGAGTCGCAGGCAAATAAAAAAATTAATGTCACAATACAACACGGCAAGGACAGCAAGAATGACGCAAAGCTCCTTAAAATTGAGCGCGCCTCTTCGCCGGTTGGCTAATTGCGGGAATAATGAGGAAGTAGCTTTGTGTGGTGTTTAGTTTTGTAACCCCTAATATTTCGTTCAATATAAAAATTTTAATTGTTAGTCATAAATGTCAAGCAGTGATTTGTCTAATAGATGGTCCATTAAAACCCCTATAGGAATTGTTTTTTATGGATTGGTGAATATTTTTAAAGTGCCAGCAATATTTTAGTTTTTACGAACACAACTCGCTAAAAAAGCAATCAATTTATTAAATTAACGGTATAGAATATAAACGTCTGGGATCTTAATTTCTTGTCAGACGCTTGTGTCAAGAAAGTAAGTGAATGAAAACAAAAGTAAAATTTTCATTATATATGTTTGTGTTTGTATATACAAATGTATGTACATCTGAAGTTGCAAACGGAACTTGAAATGAACCAGTTTTAAAGAACAGTTCATCAGCTGGGGTTGTTTTGATACGTTGCGATTTTAATCTTCGGCAGGTAAGAGGCAGTAAGATATGCGAAGACACCTACAGCTGGGCATAAAACAGGTAAAAGCGTAGTAAATCTCTTAAGTAGTAGTGCCTCACCATGTATCCACATTGCAGCTTACTGCAAGCTATGCCGATGGGCACATCTCACCACGTCTAGTGGCAGACACCGCGCTAGACGATGCAGTTAAGTTAAAGACACTAAATGCGTTCGTGCGTCTAACACCTGAGTTGGCTCTTCATCAGGCCAATGAGTCGGCACATCGCTATAAGGAGGGCCAAATACACAGCAATTTGGATGGCGTGCCTATTGCCATTAAGGATAATTTCAGCACGGCCGGTGTGCTGACCACTTGTGCCTCCCGGTTAGTTGCATTAAGTGGCTCATTATTATTCTAAATTTTCTATTATGTATGGAATTTGGGTTCTTTTTAACAGCATGCTAGAGGATTTTGTGCCACCGTATGATGCTACAGTTTATGCGCGCCTTCGCGAAGCGGGAACTGTGCTTCTTGGCAAAACGAATATGGATCAGTTTGCCATGGGTGCCGGCACAGTGGACTCCATATATGGCCCAACGAAAAACGTATGGAGCGATGATCTCAGTAAGGATAATTGGCGCATAGCTGGAGGTAGCTCAGGAGGCTCCGCCTCCGCTGTAGCAGCTGGAATTTGTTATGCGTGAGTATCACACCATAGTTTTTGTTTACATTTTACATAACCTCAATGTGTTATACGCAACGCACTCAACAGCCAATTTTTAAAAAACCTGTATTCTATGTTAGAAGTTTTAATTTCATTAATTTTACAAGCCAAGAATTGCATTTTTATTAATGGCCTGGCATGCGATCGCACAGCAGCTGTTAGCTTCTTTACATTACATAACCAATCGCCTAACAAAACAAACTAAATAGTGCTCTAAGTTGTTTAAATAATAATTTCCGTGTTGGCGAGATCCTCGTCAGAAGGCAGCACTATGCTTGCCGGGTCCACATAGTTAGGGCTAACCAAATCAACTCCTGCTTGCTCGCGACGTCTCAGCTCCAAATAACCCTCACGCTGCGCCCAATCACGAATTTGTGTGTCGGGCAAGTATGCCCAGAAGAAAGTTCCCCACACCAGGCATAGTGTGACGGACACGAAGAATGTAGATTTCGCTGCGTTACGATCCTCCTTCTCAGACTTGTAATCAAAGCCATAGCTGACCCAGTTCTTGGGGCTGGGATTGGCAAAATCTTCGGCTGTAACGCTAGCTGGTGCTGCAACTGTCTCATCCTTCTTGGGCGACGTTTTAATCGTGCGACAGGCAGACAATGTCGCCGTCTGATTAAGCGCCATGGAGCGCTGTAGCGCCAGGGCGCGGCTGGTAAGGCGAATGAGGGCAGACATCACTTCCAGACGCGAAAACTTTGCAATTTTCGTAAATATTTGCAGTTTTATCGCTCGTTTTCGTTAATTACGCCTTGACAGCTGGGCAGTGTGACCGTTCGCAATGTTGGCTGTTGGTCAGCTGCTCAGTGTTGTCAACTGAAAAGGAAATAATGCAGTATTTTATTCGTTATATTTTGTATTACAGCGCTATTGGGTCTGATACGGGTGGATCCACACGTAATCCGGCTTCATATTGCGGTGTTGTGGGCCTTAAACCAACATATGGTCTTGTCTCACGTTACGGTCTTATACCCCTTGTAAATTCGATGGATGTTCCGGGAATATTTACTCGATCGATTGCTGATTGTGTTGAGGTCCTAAACACAGTTGCAGGCCCGGATGTAAAAGATTCTACTACCATACGGAGACCATTCAAGAGGCTGCAGTTGCCAAAGTTAGAGGAAATAGACTTACGAAGTGTGCGCATTGGCATACCCAAGGAATACCACTGTGAAGGACTGTCCACCGAAATGCTTGAGACTTGGACTAAAGTCGCTGATTTGCTCGAGAGTGGGGGTGCGACTGTGCGTCAGGTGTCCTTGCCAAATACAGCGGCCAGCATTTTTGTTTATACCATATTAAATCAATGCGAGGTGGCTAGCAATATGGCTCGTTATGACGGCATTGAGTATGGCCATAGGGCCACCGATGATCGAAGTACAGAACAATTATATGCCCATTCTCGGGCCGAGGGCTTTAATCATGTGGTAAAAACGCGCATTTTGACAGGCAACTTTCTGTTGTTGCGGAAAAATTACGATCACTATTTTGAGAAGGCGTTACGTGTTCGTCGTCTAATTGCTCAGGACTTTGCAAAGGTTTTTGAAGCAGGGTCTGTAGAGGAAAACGTCGACATTTTATTGACGCCGACTACATTGAGCGATGCCCCGCTCTACAAAGACTTTGCGGCCCAGAGTAATCGCGACCAATGTGCCGTGCAGGACTTCTGTACGCAGCCAGCAAACATGGCTGGCATTCCGGCTGTTTCCATACCAGTTCGATTGTCTAAGGCTGGCCTCCCACTGAGCTTACAGCTTATGAGTAATACCTTAAATGAAGAATTACTGCTCACAGTAGCCAGCTGGATAGAGAACCAGGTTGGCTTTGATTGCCTCCAAAATAAACATGTGTATGAGGCGAGGTCTTAATAAGGTTAATAAGTAAAAATACAAATATATATAAAAAGAATGTTTATTGCAACCATTTTTAAGTCTCGGTAAATTGTTCATCGATTGTATTGCATTAAAATAAAATACATATGTATGTACATTGATGACATACACCTGGACAGGTAATAAATGCTTTTTTTGTGGTCAAAACAACGTCAACTGATATACAAACATATGTACATACATACATATGTATACACATATTTTTTATGGTATTGGGAGCGTCAAATACAAAAATTTTAAATTAAGTGGGGCTCATAATGTGCACTGAACTTTTAAACCATTAATATCTGATAAAATCACGTACATATATTAATTCAATAAATATATTTTTGCGATTAAATTTAATATGAAAAACTTGGTTGTAGTCAAATTAATACATATATGAAACAGTCATATTTTCATAACATTTAATTATGTTACCAAATATTCTGATGCCAATAATTAAAGCGGCCCTATCGTTTCCAATTTTAATAATTAGTACATATTTATATAAACAATAAAGCTTGAAAAGGAAAAGGATTATATGGTGTAGCTATTGGTAAAATGGCAGCATCAACAAATAGTAATACTGAAAAATACTGTATTCAGTAAGAGTAGGTGGTGAATTTTTGTAATAAAGCGAACTGGTAACCCTATGTTGGCCGGTAACAAAGATTTAATGGGTAATTTATAAAAGTAATTGTATTTAATCAAAGGTTTGACTTTAAATATAGTGCCGTCACTGACTATTTAATTATGTACAATATGTATAATGTATGTAACATAGTGCAGTAAGAACTACAAAACGAAATGATCCCAGTCTGAACGGACCTTAATGGATAACGACAAAGAGATTCCCGGTGTTTCAAAACTTCAGCTCAGTCAACGGCATACTTTACGTGGTCTAAGGCGATGTGGGACCTGTGGACAAATCAATGGCAACCGCGCCCAGCTGTGTCGCAATTCCATCTGTCCACAACATAAAAATGCGTTCGATGTTGTACAGCTCGAATCTAAATGCCAGGCATTCTATTCGTTGCGCGTCAAGGAGCGGGAACAGTTGCGAAACTTTGTGTGCATCGAGGATGTGACGTTGTCGCTGGAGCCTAATGCGGCTGTCGTATCAAGCAAAGCAGTCTGCTATGTCGATGCCTGCAAGAGCGACAGCAATTGTCGCCACATCAAGGCGTGCCGCGAGACCAGCACCGCCCACGTGTCCAAGGCGCAGGTATATACGGTGTCACGGGAGGTGCTTTCGAATCTGAATATTAGTCTGGAGCAAAAAAAGCATCTGTGGAAGCTATACAAGTCTGCCGAGGAGCAGGAGAAGATGCCCGCAGTGCAACGTTTAAGTGCTACTACGTTTGTTGTTAAATGCGAACCTGCTGAAACATTTCCAGTGGGTAGGCTGCATGTCACAGCTTTGGCTAATGGCCTTTCCATTAAAAAGGGTATACATGTGTGCGCGTGCAAGAAACTCAAGATCATTGTGGAGGATAACTCGCTGGTAATGCAGGAGGAGATCTGTGACCATTTATTGCTGGTCCTGGCGGGTATACTCAGCTCACCACATGGTAAGACAGTCTACGGAAATTTCACTAATAGCTTGCAATCCTTTTGGATGCCTGTAAGACTGGAAACGCCACTAGGGGAAACCACAGCCGACGACTTATGCCTGGGCATGAGCATAAACATAGGTGATGGCGTTGGTGACCATTCCTCTGATGGGCAAGAGGATATATTGATATTTGGCGATGAGTATTTTGCAGCGGATCAGCTCCCGGACTTGGATGTTATTCTCAATGTGGACAACATGCTGGCGGCAGCCCCAACACATAACAACAGCAATAACAACTGCAGCAGTCCGACGGAAGTTCGATATGCGAGCGATGCGCATTTATTGTCCAGTTGTGACATATACACAGAGCCCAAAGAACAGATGCAGGATGAGGCAACGCATCTGGAGCTTACCGATTGCAATATAGAGCTAATGGATCAGTATCAGCTCACGGATCAAATTGATTTATGCAGCGACGACATTGCATTGCCTGTGGGTAGTGAGCCTTACAATATACTAGCAGCATCTCCAATCTACACTGAGGCTACGTCCTCGGTGGCCAACCAACTGCCCCCCATAGAGCTGCCAACTATAGCAGTTGTTAAGAAGCCGCCCATAGCCATTAAGGCTACCGAAATTGTTACCGAGGTCAAAAGTCGCAAGCAACCGCATTTGCCGGCCAAGCGGGCGCTCATTGTTAATTGTCCATCGGCAGCAACAGCAGCCGCCGCAGTAGAAACTGTCGGTGTGGCTGTGGAGCCAGCGCTTGCTTATTCAGCCTGGTTAGAACATGTGATAGAGCTACTTAATGAGCTCGTTGAACCTGCCGATTTGGAAGCGGCACCAGCCACGTTAGTCACGCGTCAAGTGCAGCAAAGTTTTTATGTTCACAAGGTAAGAAGGGAGGGAACCCGAACAAGCTTTCTTTCGTAAAAGTATTGATAGACGAAGAAAGGAAAACTAGAGTGTCCGAGACTCTTCCTTAAGATAAAGAGACTGATCTAAGTTCTCTGTTAGTAAGGAATGACTGGAGGATAATTAATTGGGTTGATTTACAAATAAATAAAAGAAGTTTTAGGAGAAGACTGGTTACTGGTTTTCTCTTGAAAAATTTCCTCAACTAAGTGGGCCAAGGATGTGTCCAGCTATCTTTGGAGCTTCGACAAATATGTATACCTATCTTCTACTTTCAGGAAACCTTTTCGCATTTTAGTAAAAGCTTCAGTGTTGGCGTTAAGCGTCGACCGCTGCATCAAGTCTCGGTAATTGGCGTTGGCAAGCACAAAGGACTTACCCAATATGTTTGGCACTTCGGAGCTTCGCACACGGCGAAGCGCATTTTTAGCAGGGGAAATGTAGGTATTTACTTCCATTGTGTTATTTTTTTGTAAACCCCTTTTTACACAGTTTTCCCTGCAACTGCATCGCGCTTTTGAACATCGTGCTGGACATTTCGTTCCCTATGTGCGTCAAACGGTAGTTGCGACTCCGTCTAATAATAAGCGACGTCCCATTTATGCTAAATTAAAACTTTACATGGTCAAAATACTGTTCAGTATTGCGAATGAGGTGATAGTTAACGCATTTTTAAATTCATGACCCCTAGTTAATTTTTCGCTTTGCTTGCAGAATAAAGGGGGTGTGCGTTTGTATTGGACTCCAGGTGTCTTACCACAAACCAATTTTGGCTTAATGAAGGTGGAATTCAGCATACAAATACAAACACCATCTTAAAATTGGTTCTGATAGTCGTATTTGGTATTTTATAAGACTACTTTAAATAATTTTAAGTAATACTATAATTTTTATTTAAATCATTTTAATGTATACAAATTACAATCAAAAATACAAAAAATATTTGCTCCACATTTAATTAATTTTTTCAGATTTTTTTTGTTTCATTGTAGTTTGGCAAATTCAGAGTTTGTCAAACTAATTGCAAGAATCAACAGGTAACTGATCAAAATGTATCAAAGTGGCAACGCCGCACTGCGGTACACGCGGTGAGGTGAAATTGCAGCGTTAATCCACTGTTTTGTTTACATATTTATTAAATTGGAAACATTTTTCATTCACTGGTTTGCACCTGCTCTCGACTTTCAAATGAACGATCTAAACTTACGTGTGGCAGCAATGAAGCTGTGTGCACATCCCAAACGTTTTGCCAAGTTGCGGGATGCGCCAGTTAAATTACCGCCGAAATGGTGCGAATGTAAGGTCCTACTCAGTTTTACAATCCATCTCATAAATATACATACATACATATGTATGTTGTATATATGAATGTAATTAATTTATATTTCTTGAATTCTTTAGCGCAAGCTGATTTTGTGAAAAAACTAGCGGTCAGTTCTAGCGCCGAGCAGGTTGCCATCGTCAAGGAGGTATGGAGTTGCTTTTTACATGTGTAGGCATATTCTGTACAATTTTCTGCTTTCTTTAAAGCTCTTTAAGGTGCCCAAAGCAATGGACTTCCTGGCTGATGTGCTGTTCGCCTGTCCACTCAAGCATGCCGTACGGAATCAATTGGTCAGGCAAGTAATTGGCCATGTTTTAGTATTAATTGCAAACAAATAAATTGATTTTTTCCAGGCTCTTTTCATACAACTCAACTGTCCATAAAAGGGACAGATTAGAAGCTGCTCTGGTGCAATCCCTACAAGACATTGCCGTTGCCATAGAGGTTAATAGTTATGATGTTGACGGAATGAACGATTTGTTTGTTTCGGTCAGTGGCTGTCTGCAGAATTTCCCTTGTGGACGCAAAGCCTTAAGTGAGCAAATCGATTCATTTGTTCCATTAATACCCATGGCGTTGCAAAGATACTGGACAGGCATTAGGTAAGATTCTGTAGCTCACAATTATGCCATGGAACACACTAATATTCACCCATTTGACAGTCAGCCAGCCGTGGATCAATCGCCTACCAGGCGCAACGAGTACTATTTATTTATACAGAACCTCTTGCGTTTCTATGTAAACTTTCTGGTTGAATTCAGAGCAGAACTTGTGCCGGCGCGCTGCTCGCAACTGCAGCAAGTTTCAGTACTGGCCGAAATTGTATCCAGGCACATTGATACTCCTTGGGATGTGCGATCAATTGCTGGCATGGCAATTGGACACAATGCGCGCTTCTTCGATGAGTTCGACAAGTACATGGTTAGTTGTCAGGCGATGAAGGACGCGGAGGAGCTGCCCATAAAGGGAGCGTGTTTGCTGGTGCTTCAAAAGCAAGAATACGACACTTACTCTTCAACTGCCTTGAAAATACTGCAGCAGTTAATTGAAATGACTTCTGGCAATAATGCCACCAATCAACTGGTTTATATGTCAAAGCATCTGTTTGTTTACTCGAAGGCTTTGAGAAATGTTAACCTCACAGATCGCAGCCTTTCCGCATATCACTCTATTCTTTGTGAACTGCTTGGCTTTGCATTGACCAACCTCTCGAGTAGCACAGATTCGGTGCGCCACATGAGCCGGGACCTTTTGCGTAATGTTCTGCAGCATGCCAGCACTGTTGGCCAGAACGCTATCTTCAACACAGTCTTCGACCATTTTGAGAAACAGTGCTGCTCTCTTAGTTCCTCATGCCTCATGCTGGAACAGGTGGTAACCGTTGTTGGCGTCCAACAAGTTCTAGACAATTGCCCAAGCCTTTTCGAGACGGTGTTCAAATGCTATCTGGGACGCGATGATAGTGTGGATGCTTTGTATAAATGTAAGTTTTATGCTTAAGCTGTGCTCGATATGTTTCTATAGCCGATAACCTTTCACATTACTTTCAATTGTTAATTGCAAGAGTGTAGAAAATGAAGAAAAATTAGGTCTGCATGGTTTATGGTTTTAATGTTCAACACAGAAAAATCTAACCAAATTCTCTTTATACCCTGGGGAATCTTGCTTTTGGCCCGACCGACAGTTGTAGGTTGAATAGTTGTAGGTTTTTTGCGCTATAATTATGGACTATATGGTGGTTACTCTGGAATAATGATTTATTTCTAAAGCTACTGCTGTGTAATGTTATATATACTTGAATTCTAACCATTTATCTGCTCCAGCAACAATCTGGCATGTAATTTATTAACATAAAGAAAATTCTGGAACTCACTTCGAGATTGGAATGTTTCTTAAAATATTCAATGATCTAGTTAAATTAAGATGTATGTCAGAGCCCGTTTTAAGCAGCATTTTTTCCGTTTGTATGAACAGCAAAAAGGTTTAAACTAAATAGATATACCAACTACATATTTAGTTACACAAATATTGATATAATCAGAAATTTCATAAAAGTCGGTCGACTTGATAACTTGATAAAAGTTAATTTTAGTTAGAGGACTTGCAGAGACAGAGATGCAGGTACAGGATATACAATAGTCGCGACTCTAACGCTCTATTCACTTAAACATATTTTATTATTTTATTTTAAGGCATGATGAGCACGGCTCGTAGAGGCGAATCCTTTCAGCATTGGCATAGCTTATGGGGCAGGACCCTGCTGGAGGCTGCCAGTGCCCAGGACGATCGCTTGCAGCTTATCGAGCGTCTTATTACCGAAGCTGTGCAACTCTGGCCGAACGAATTGGATGAGCTGCTAAGCGAGCCGAAGTTGGCTTTTAGCACCAAATTGACGGCCATGGCTACAGTGCGCCGATCTGGTCGGCAGGATCAGAATTTTAGCAATTTGCTGGTTAAATATCAACAGCAAATTTATGATGCTATCACTGGGCTGGACGATCACACGCGTTTGCTGGCACTTCGATTTGTCGTGGAGACACCCAAGCTCAGTGAACCACTCACTAGGCAGGAACGCGAGGCTTTACTCAACTATGTACACTACAATGCCAATAATCCGAGCGCTCATATGCGTCAAATTGGCTACGGGCTGTTGCAGAAGGCACTCAAACGAATTGAGTTGACGCTAGCGCAGGAATTGCGGGCACAACCGAATGGAAGCACTGAATTACTGCAATTCCTTACCTCCTTTATGAACAAGTTGGCGTTGAATCTTTTTCCCACAGCCAACTATGGACGGCGGTGGCTGTCCTTGCGACTGCTTCGCGATTGCATTGAAATTTGCAAGAAACTGTCGTTGTCGGTGGAACAGCAGCTGCCGACACAGACGTTGCCCTTTTTGGAAAATTGCCTGGGCGATTCGTACGAAGAAAACAAGACGTTGGCGGCGTTGCTGCTGCGCCAATTGCAGCCTGCCGAGGCGGCTCAAATGCGGCTTAATGCCGGCAATATCATGGAATTGCTTGTGTCGCTCCGTCCGCCAGATTCGGCTACTGGCGCCTATCAATTGGAATACTACTGTCAGCGTGTAAGTGAAAAGCAATTAGAGCTGGACTTGGCTCTCCCGCCGGATATGGGGGAGCCGAGCTACGAGCCGAAACGCTACCGAGCGCTTCAATGGTGCCTGATTGAACTGAAACTTGGCCTGCAAATGGCAAAGTGTGATTTGGCACAAGCGGCTAAATATAATCCCCTTTATGGACTACTTGGTGCGAGCAGGCACTTTCTACAGCATCTGGACATGCAGTGCCTGGCCGAGGAACCGCTGTGGGCTGCCTATATCAAGCGCCTAGTAGAGGTGTGCATGGATGTCAGCAATGTAGTACTGCCAGTGGTGAGTAGCGCCTCCCCAGAGGGACATCTGCCCAGTACCAGTGCCGACGAAAAGGCGATAGTCACAGATCGGGAGCAAACTGTCAATGTGCTGCGGAATCGTTTGAATAGCAAGGCACTGCAGCAGCTACCTACCACTCCACAGATGGTTTTGTTATGCGCCTGGCGCAGCATTAAGGAGGTTTCTCTCATCCTCGGCGAGCTGGTAGAACGTGCTCAGTTGCAGAGTGATGCACAGTCCCAAGGGACACATCTGCTAAGTCACCAGCAGGCGGTAGCCATTGGCGAACATTTCAAGCTACTGTTGTGCGAAATTAAACATCGTGGTGCCTTCGAGCAGGCCTATGTAGGCTTCACGCTGGTCTGCAAACGCTTTTGGCAATGTGATGAGCTCTCCCTCAATGCTCTGCCCACAGCCTGGTTGCGCGAGGCTATCGAATTAGTGTGCAACAATGGAGAGACAGCTGGGGAGCCTTCTAAGATCTGTCCGACGCGACGTAGTGCTGGCGTACCATACATGCTGCAGGCTCTCATCTGCACTGAACTAAAGCTGGGCACGCATGGCACCTTCCAGAATACTGTTCGTGTGCTGCTGGACGTGTGTGAGCGGCGGAGGGAGGGAGAGAGTGCAGCACGCACCCATGCCTTGAACATTCTACGTGCTCTCTTTCGCTGCAGCGAGTTGGCCGAGCTGGTCGGCGAGTATGTTCCACGAGCCATTGTCTGTGCCTTAGAGAGCTTTGTGGCGCTCAATTGGCCGGAACAGAACTCGGCCACGTTGCTCTTTGCGGCGCTGCTGGTGCGCATATTTGGCGTGGAACGGGCCCGCGCAGGCGATGGCGAATTACATGTGCGGAATCGGATGACGGGACGCATTTTCTTCACACGCTATCCGGAGCTCTTCGACTACTTTCATGATCGTTTACGGGACGCAGGTGAAACGATTGCCGATCAAGGGCAGCCTAAGGGCCAGTCGCTGCAGCTGGAGACCATGCTGCTAATGCTCAGTCGCTTGTATCCATCAGCGTTGGAAGGCACAGAGTCCAGTTTAAATGTAATTGTGCCTCAGACTATTCCTGCCGGCTAACTTGCAACTTACTCTTTGCAGCTTATTGATTTCGTACCATTTCTGTTGCAAATTTGTCGTTCCCACGATTCCATGACGCGTGAGCGTGCAGCGCAAGTGCTGGGGAACTTTGTGGATACGAAAAATGCTCTCGCTTTAGTGCGAAAAATAGTCAAGAATCTTTGTATACTGCATGCGCTGATCAATCACGTAAGTAGTGCTTATAAATGGACAAAACAAATCCTAATGATCTCCTTTAATTGCAGAATCCAACGATGCGCTTAGATTTGAATGATCTTCATGGCCAGCTTTTGCAATTGCTTTACATCTACAAGCGCCTGAACTGTTCTGAACCACTTCTGATTCGAATGCTCGTTCATACGCTGGCACTCTTAGCTATCGATCTGCAGCGGAGAGACATATTTGTGTTCAATGCCATACTGGATGTATTAATTGCCATAATGGAAGAGTTAGTTACTAGCTTGTCGCTTTCAACTTCCAAAATTTACGTTCTTTTTTTATTTCAGCGCTCATAATGATGCCTACTTTGACAAGTCACTGCTAGAAGTGCTGCAGAAAGTTTATTTCGTCGATCATGCCGAGGTCTACGAAAGTTGCGCAGCGTATGCCATCTCTCCAAGATTCGTTCAAATTTACGGTCTGCATCTGCATCGCCTATCACACGATTCAAACAATATGGTGCAGCACATTTTACAGGATCTGGTGACGAAAAGGGACCTTCCCACGGCTGTGCAACAATTGAAAGTTCAAATAATTCTGTACCTGCTCTTTCATTACAAGGGGGTGACCAAAGGTCTGATCGACTCCTTGGATATTGAAGAATATCAGTTCGGTAGCGACGTGAAGCGCTACACTAAAGCACTTTCTGCAGACACAATTGCCGAGGTGGCCAAGGCTCTTCATATGTCGGAGGCTGTGCGTTTAGACATCAAGAGAATGGCGGATGAAGCATTGTCCGGTCATTGCTGGCAGCCGGAACTATTCTGTCAAGTGCATGCGTTACTGGCGGTTTTACACGAGTTTAAGCTTTCAATGGACGACCTCATGCAGCGCAGCGTTACGGCTAACAGCGAACTGAAGCCTGGTCTAAGCTTGTGCATAATGCGGGCAGTTCTACAGCAGGACTTGGAGCAGCGTATGTGGTTGCCTGTGCTGCGCTTTGCGTTGGATATCTGCGCACCAACGCAGTCCTTTTATTTGCGCTACAAAGCAGCTCAGCTCTGCGAGCTTCTAATGATGTCTGTGGAAGAACAAATTAGTGTCGGTGATGCGGACATCTTGGGGCATTATATGCAGCTAGTGATAAGGTTACTGGTGGACGAACACAGCCAGGTGCGGAACTACATTGCCGAAAAGGTTGCAGCCAGCATAAGCATATCAAACCACAGCGAGCAGGCAAATATTCTGCCCACGGCTGCGTTACCAAAATTTCTACATAACATGCTAAAAAAGCTGCAGAAATTCCAACACAACAGATTATTTCTCTCGCGCATCTTCAGTGTCATAGTGGAGAGCTTCAGACTAACCCTTCAACAAGAACAAAATGGCGACGTGGTACTGGAAACTGCCAATGAGGACTTTGAGGTTTTCGATCGTCACGAGACAAATATCTACTGTGAAGCTGTGCGTGTGGTCTCAGACGTGGTCGAAAGTTTTAAAGTCGTATTCCCAAATTGCACAGAGCTAATGGATTCATTCGTAACTCTGGACGCACTGACCTCTTGTACATCGAATGTTGAATCCATCGGAGCATAACAATAGATATCGCGTTATTGTGATAATAGTTAGTACATATGTATAAGCAGAAAGTGTAAAATATTTAAGCCAAAGGATTTTCTTCTTTACTGAACAATGAATTTGAATCCTAAATTAAATGCGAGCGAGTACTCACATACTTGTATGTATCTAAAAATACAATATGTAGAAGTTTTTCTTCCTTTGTGTTATCTTTTACGGGGAATGATTAGGTATCATTAGTATTCAAGAAAATAATTATTAATAATTTATCAGTGATTGGGGAGTAGTGTTCTGCCAAAGCGGAAAGGGCTCCAGACAAGCTAAGCAATAAAACACGTGGAACCGGAACTAATTGCTTTAGTGTATGTACAAGGAATCTGAGTTTTTGGACTCAACTTCATTCGTCTAAATTTCTACCTTAGCTTCTTTTAAATTTTTGATTGGATCGCATCATTAGAAAAAAGATAAATTCGAGCGTTCAATGTTAAATTCAATTTGTATTTTCTTTATTTTGATGCCGCCACGCTTTTTTGTTGCTTTTGCAATTATTTCAATACATATTTCATTTTTTATTTTCTTACTTTTAACTTAGATATATGTATACATATATATGTTTGTAAATTACGATGCTGCTTCTTATGCCACACTTTTGCTTCCATTGGGCAATCAATTATTTGTTGCTTAGATCGTGTGGCTATAACTTTTACCGTGTCTTGCCTGATCTAGCACTCATCCGTTTGTCCCTATTCGCTTAACTACGTACTTTTAAAACTATGCACTGCTTTCTTCTTTTCAATTTGCATTTCTTTTTAGGCTTAAGTCTAAAATCGTGGATAATGCTTACTTATGATTTCGCTAGGTTCAGCTGTTTTGTTTTGTTTTTATTTCTTAATTTTTCAGATGTTTGTTTTGAAGTTTTTGCTTGCTTTAAAGTTTAAACGTTGACATCCATCACATTTATAAATTTCATAACAACATCAATTAAATAGTTGTGTTTTGCATCTTGTTTTCATTTATAATGTGTCGGGGCATAATAAGTCTTGGAAAGAGTTGTGTCGGTTGATTCTCTCAAGGTTTTTGGCGGTTAATTTAGCTTTACGAGTACTATATTTAGTTTAAACGGTTAAAATACGCCTTTAGGCTGTAAATAATATGAATATTATCTTACAGATGCAACATTGTACATAATTTCTTGTTTGTTTCACTATGAGAATTTACAAGCTTTATAAGTCGAGTTCACGTATCGGTTAATTTACAGAGAGTGTCATAGCGTACATAGGTTTTCTTCGTGTAAACACAATTATAAAATTGGTCGTTAGGTTTAAGAATGTACAATAATAAATAGTGGCATAGAAACAAAATGATGGGCATCTTAAATGCCAAAAAAAAAAAAACTAACAAATCTGTATTAATTCGAATCATCTGGATGCCAATGGCATGCCCGAACTAAAATGTAACTGAAAGGTGTAACATTCTTTTTTAGATATTCAGTATACACGCTTATTAAAGATAAAGTGTACAAAAACCAGTCTTTAAAACAATTTGTTTTGTTTTTCTTTCATTTCTTCCTTTTTTTTTGTTAATTATAATACACTAGTGTGTAAAAAGATTTTACTTTCTACATATACATACTTATATGGATTTCCCACTTCAGACTGAGCCAATTGGGGAACTGGGAGCAAACGGAACTTGTGCGGCCTACGGGAACACATTAACGTTCCCAATCAATTCAATCTAATCCAGTCATCCATTTATGCATAAATTTCATTCAAGCATACACGCAACAAATGCAATTCAAAGTGCAACACTAACTCTTTTGTTGTAATATTTAATTCGTTATGGTATTAATAAACTGTACATGACAATTCTTGCAGATCTATGTTCTTATATTTATGTATTAACATCGAAACACCCTGTGCCTTTGGTTAAAGTTGTAGTTGTTGACCCTTCCTCCCTGGCCAACGTGAACTAACAAACAATTCGTGAGAATGCTTGAAGAAAAACAATTTACATTTTCGCTTTTACATAATGCATATTTTTTAATAATACTTTGTTTTGTTTTACACTTATCCGTATTTAGTTCCTTATTAAGAATTTGCTGTTGTATTTTTGCTTTCCTTAGATATTTATACAATATTTATAGCTTTCAGAGCCCGCTATAAGGCTCGCATTCTAATATTATAATTAATTATACTTATTTTCCTCCTCCTTACCTTACTTCTTTATGCGTTTAGTATGCTGTTCAGTTTTATGCTTTCTATATACAGTGGTGATGTGCGGTGTCTATATCTTTTAGGATTTACAGTGATGTGCCCGTGCATGTGCTTAGTTAAATTTTAAAATATTTCGTCGTATTCCCATTTGTGCATTCGAAAATATTTGTCATACATTTATTTTACTTTAGTTTTCCTATTAAATTCGCATAATTTTAGCTAGTTTTTATCAACTTTTTCAATTTGTTCTTTTTGTTTTCGTATTTATTTCAATACTACATCTTGCAAGTAGTTTGCTTTGTAGAAAATTAGTGAAAACATACAATATTAATATGGTAACAAATGCTAGGACGGACGTGGAAACAATTTACTTTTGAAATCAAACAAAACTTGCATAAAGATTGACAATTTAATTAGTATTTGTAACTGATTGTTGTGCTTGTGAATTATTAATTGTTTTAATATCTAATTAGCTATTACTAGTATTTTATAGGAAAAATGGCACAAATGCGCAATAATTTAGCAACACCTTGGCGAACAACAGTGTTCGGGGACTTGATAGGAAATAATTAAAAATATAGTTAAAAACCAAGTAATAACCATACATATATTTAAAATCCTTCGAAATAGATATCCCTTTGATACCTCTTGCATTTCCATAAGTGGAACCTTGTGGACTACCCTTTATTTTGAGAACTGTCTGCCAGTTGCTCTATAAATTATTTGCAGACCACAATATCTTAAGCCTTAATCATTATAAATGCGCCCTTTTTCCCTCCCTACAATGTTTGGGTCTACAGCTCAAGTCGAAATCATATCTTGTTTTAGAAGTTGGCTTTAAACAGTATTGGTTTGAGAAGAATACAATGAATGGAATCTCTAAAATGGGTCTCAAAACTTGTGATTTATCGTAATTTAAACAAAGCAATTATTTTTGTGAGGGTACTTTCTTTCCATTATTCTATTCATCTTTTTAAAATTGAATTTAAATCCAAGAGGCGCATTTATCTGAGTTCGCAAAAATGTTGCTAATACTGCTGACATTTTAATTAATGTAATTATGTGTAAAATTATAGGGCAACTATTTGGTAAACTATTTATATAACTTGTGCAATTGCTACAGCGTTTTCATTTCTAGCAATAGTATATCCTATGTGCCTATGTATATGTTGCTCATTTCCCTCAATTAGTTGACTATTTTGCTGTTGTATGTGTATTTTTATAATAGTATATGTATAATTGTTTTGTGACTATAATGTAAAAAACAAATATTTAAACATACCGCTTGACATTATTATTGTGTAAATTAGGTTTTGAGTAAAGCAACCTATAAATTATAGATACAGAAACAAGGCGCAATAAATAAACGTAGGGCCGTATAAAATACGTACACGTACATACAATCATCATTTAAAATTACACTCTAAACCACTAACTCACTTATTGCTTAATAAATAAATATTACTAGAATTATTTGCAATCATTATTTATATATATATACTATATATTTGTATATATTTTTGTATATCTTTTGTTTTTCGTTTATTTAGATAAGTAAGCATTTATAAAATGATTTCTCTTGTTTGCTTTAAACTAACCTACAATATCTAAGCTTTGAGCATCCGTAACCGCTGTGGTGGCGGCATTTAATTGCAGGTTGTTGTTGTTAATGTTGTTGGAAGTAGGTGTTGTTGTTGCAGCGAGCAGTTCATCCACAGAAGCAGTCGTTGCCGCAGTTGGCATCAAACAATTAAGATTGACATTCGCATTTTCCAATTGAAGTGCGTTGTGATGCGTGTTGTATTGTTGTTGCAGTTGTGTTTGTTGTTGTATCAGCGCCAGCATTTGTTGTTGTGTGGTGTTGTCAACATCGCAGGAGGCACCAACAATCGCCGGCACATCCGCAACAGCAGTTGGAGAAGGAGCAGCAGCAGCAGTAGCAGTCAGGTTAGCAGCATTATTAGTAGTAGTAGTGAAATTAACATTAGTATTAGTAAAATTAGTTGTTGTTGGTGTGGTTGGTGTTGTAGCTGTATGGTTGTTGGTGGAGAGGAGTGGTGGTGGTGTATTGGCTGAACCGTCGGTAGACGTTGTTGATGTTGTTGTAGGTGTTGATGTGGGTGTGATGGGAGCAACTGTGGGTAACAATGATGAAATGGGCAATAATGGAGAAGCATTAGTATTTTCTGGTAGATCTGTAGTGTGAGTTATTGTTGTAGTTGTTGCTGTAGCTGTTGCTGTCTCAGATGCATGAGCAATGTTAGGAATATGACAAAGATTATGCTGAATATTGTTGCTAGCGTTTAATTGTGTTTGTTCTGATTGTTGCTGTTGTAGTGTTGTTTGCAATTGCTGCTGTTGTTGCTGTTGTTGATGTTGTAGTTGCAATTGTAGCAGCTGTTGCTGTTGTAGTATAAGTTGTTGTTGATGTAGTTGAACATTACCATTGCTACATATTTTGCTGTAGAGATCCGGCGTGGCCGTTGTCACATCCTCGAATTCGGTGCGCAGCGCCGTGCGCTTCAATAAATGCAAATTGCCCGGCAAATATGAAAGAATTTCGTAAATAAGACGTATGTCCTCACTGGAGGTCCACACTCCCGGTCGCTTGTTGTGATATAACTTGGCATACTGATAGATGTTCGCTGTGCTGCAGTATTCCATCTCAATGGCCAGCGAAGAAATAGCGCAAAAGGTGCACGCCTGCGCGCCTCCGTATCTGAAAGACAGCGAGAGATTCAATTCGTATAATCTTTGATCCATTAGGGCTGTTGGGCGCTGCAACACTCACCTGTCGACAACGACAATTGGTCCGTTGCGATAATCATTGCAACGCTCGTGCACATCCACAATAAAATCGTAGATGCTGTTGGGATTCGACATCTCCGGCCAGCTGGGACAGTGGAGCATCTTTACGTTCAGCTCATAGTCGTCCTGTATGGACTGTATAACGAAGTCACGACTCACATAGTCGCTCTTGTTTGTCTTGCTGAGAAATTTGACGCGATAGTAGTCGCTTGTGGTGGGCGTTTCATCTGGCCAGAACTGAGCAAAGTTCTTTGAGAGTGAGCGAATTTAAAAAAAAAATCTGCTTTAGTATTTAATCAAGGACGGAAGCAATCAAATAATATACGCTAATAGCGTATAATAATTTTAATGAGGCCACAGTTGTGTTTAAAAACGAAATGGGAGTGTACTGTTAGTTGTTGGTGGGAAACACGTAGATAACGCAAAAGTCATAGATAAGGTATAATCAACTAAACTATGGTAAGAATAGACATCTCAAGAATTACAATCTGCGGAAGGCGCCGCCTTTTGGTCGCAGTTCTCCCGGACCTATCTTAAATATATTCGACCAACTTTCTTGTTGACTTTTAAAGTCAAAGTGCTCGACCTCCAATTTCATTTAATCCATAATTTCACTTACAATGTCATCCAGAGAGGAAAGCAGCACAATTGTCTGCGCATTATGATCCCAGACCATTTGCCAGAAATCCTTGATCGTGTGCGTCATGGGATGCTGCGTCACAATGAAGTCACGCAGACGCCTAAATCCGTGCAGCCAGGACGCATTGATGTAGTCGCTGCCCTCCTCGCCCGGCTTGGGCGTCAAATGGACACGGCTACCCTCAATGGGAAAGATGGCACCACGATTCTTGATCGAGTTCACCTGCTTCATGGCCGAGGCGATGTGTATGTCTTTGGTCTGGAACTGTATGATGTTCTTATATTGTTGCTCCAGATAGGGCGTGGAATTCTTTAGCTCCACAATCTGCTCGGCACGCAGATTGGTCTCCCCCGATGCGATGGCTTCGACGAGGGCATCGTGCAGGAAGATGTATTGCTCCTCAGTCTGAACGAGGAAATTTCGCTGAGCGCGTATGTGTCGCAAAAAGCCGAATACATTGACAATCGACTTTTGCTGGATTTGTTTGAGCATGGCGTCTAGAACGATGTAGGTGCCTGTGCGACCAACGCCAGCGCTATAGGAAGATCATTATAAGTGCGATTAGACTTCAAGTTGATTGAAGATCCTTAAATTTACTCACCTGCAGTGCACGACAATGGGACCAGCCTCGGCGGGATTGGCGGCTGACGATTTCTTAACGAAATTCAAGACCGGCAACGGATGATCGGGTGTGCCATGATCGGGCCAATTTGTATAGTGATATTGATAGACAATTTTTTCAGTATTACATTGCTTCTTCTTCTTAAGCTGCAAAAATCAAGAAAGCCATAGGGCTTAGGCAAGGGATTACACGGTAACAGTTGGCTCATTTACCTTCAAGTGCTTGATCTGCAGTGTGCGCACGGTATAGGTGGACATGACCTCCTCCTCGACTAACTTGACCTGTATGACTCCATAGGTCTCAACACCATCCTTTGGCCAGTACATGTCGCATTTGCGACGTCCACGCTCCACCAAATTCGTGATCATCACAATGATGGCCACCCGCTGCTCCCAGATCATGCGCCAGAAACAATCGAAGGTGTCTGGCAAGGGACCTTGGGTGCCAATAAAGGCATGAGACTTCTGATAGCCGTCAATGAAATTGGCATTGATGTAGTCCAGGTTCTTCTTTTGGCCCGGTGTCGGATGCAAATGCACGCGGCTGTGATCGTCTGTGGGTGGGTGAAAAGGTGAATATAAGCTTGGGCTGTAGTATCCCCAATTCCCCCACTTACAAGCTGTGATGTTCAGATAACGATTCTTGCGCTTGTTCTCCGGATGCTGGGAATGTTCGCAGGGCAGATCATCGGTGATGCACTCGTTCTGTATGGCCTCATATTCGCGACTGAAACCAATGTCCCCATCGGCATGCAGGGAGGCCACGTGTTTGGCAAACTCATTGACGGGCACAGCAGCGCGTATTTCGTCACCAATCTTGACGGGCACTTCCCAGTCCACCTGCGGCACATTGGGATGATGCGGCGGATCATCCAGATAGTAGTAGGCGGCATGGAAGCACTTTCTGCTGAAAGTAGTAAGGCAATATTTCAAATGTTAATTAAGCACTGCAACTCCATACAAAGGAAACCACCGGCAGACATAAATAGCATCAGAAGGCGCTGCATTATTAACAGCAGTAACTTTCTAATGCTGAGCGATTTAAATGGTTTCTAAAATTTCTTGTCCGACGAACAAATAAATGCGCAGTTTTAATGAGAGTTTTTACAAACTCCTGCGTATTTGAATGTAAAGTCTTGGAAAACCTTCTTATTTGTCCCTCTCCTCCTCTCTATCACGGCTAGTTGTCGATAAAGTTTGAGTATTTATAAACATTGGCCAATGATTTACACTTGGCAACACCTTTGCAACTACTTCAAAACTTTTTTTTTGCAGGGTTGCCGCTTGATTGCCACTTGCGAGTCCTGCTTAATGTTAACAGACAAACAAAATAATAACATCGGCGGCAGCAGCAACAATAAAGGGGTACATTTAAAATATATAAATTTTAGAGAGAGAGCCAGAGCGGAAATTCTGAAACAGCTGCAATCAACTTTGAACAAAAGTGTCAGGTGCAGCCAGGTGGAGGTGGGGGAGGCCTGGCAGCATGACAGGAGCACTGACCAAGCTTGTACAAAAAATCAAAACCCATAAATAGGAAGCCAACAGCTTCTAGAGAGTGTTGAAGGAAAGGCAAAGAACTCGTGGTCGTGCTTATTGAAGAGTGCGAACATAAAATTACACTGAGGTGTGCGGGTGGACTGAGTAGGTCAGGGCGGGGGTGGTCAGCATTAGCTGTGTTTAGTTGCAGCCAAGCATGAATAACTTTTTTCCATTATTTATTCCCCTTAAAATACTTAAGGGAACGAAGCAAAGGAAGACTTAGTACACTTCTTGCATTTCTATAAATTTCAATGGAATATTACTATACATAGCTCTACTTTCAAGTTGTTTGAATATTTTCAAAAAGCTGCTTTAACACGGACCAAGAAGGACGAAGGAACGACTCTGGCTGTGCTGACAGCTGTCCAGGGTGTCCAGAATGCCTAGAATGGCACTCGAGAAACTGCACCTTGCTTCTGCTGCCTGCCTCCTTTCCGAAAAGTTCCAGCAAGTGCGTGTGAATGAATTGCGCCGGTGTTTGAGTGGCGCCCCCTGTTGACTGCGTACAAATTGAGGTTAAGTTTTGTAATTGGCTTAAGCGATTACAAGGAGCGCAAACTTTGTGCCAAGTTTCATTTACGGAGACTCGTCTCGACTCTATGTGAATGAGCGTGCGGGGGCAGGGAGAGCGCTGCTGAGTGGGCGCCATTGCACTACACTTACACATGTATGTATGTGTGTTACTTTGTGTGTGTGGGTGTATGGGCAAGTGTGTTTAAAGTTTTGATTTTACTTACATATTTCTGTTGCTAGCTAAAAGTGAGATTTTGTGTAGGTGCCCGTTTATAAGTGCGAACAAATATTTTCCACTCTCTTGTGAATCATTAAACTTATTTACTATAATTCTACACCTTCCAGCTCTGATTTCAGTAAAGCTCATATTACAGCTGCGCCTAAACAAGTTTATAAACAAAGCCCTATTGGAGAGTCAAGTAGGACATCACAAATCAGTGGGTAATGTACAAACAGAAATTGTAGACGCGTTAGTGCGAAAGATGAGTTATGAGAACAGTCAAATATAAATATCAAATTAAAACTGTATGCCGTTTCAGAGGAAAACACATAAATTCACTAACAGCTACAAAGATTTTTAAAGGGCAATTATAGTTTAAAGTATTGTTCTGCTTTTGTTCATAAATAATTAATTTTTAAGTGTTGCAACTAAATTATACAACTTTTCCAAGAGGGCTAAATACAAGAACTTTTCTTATTTATCGAACAACGTAGTATTTGATATGAAAAAGAAAAGAGAGTAGCGGCATTTGCTTTACTTATTTTGAAAGACATAGAGAGAGGTCCCGCATTCGTTTGGATTCCTTTTTGTATCGGCAAGTTGCTTATCAACAAACAAACGACAAACAACAACAACCAGAACAAAAACGAATGACTCGAAAGCAGCGGTTAACAGTTTTGTTATTAGCTTTACAAACTGAAGTGTTTTATTTAATTTTACTTATATTTATTTGTGTTATTTTTTTCGAGTCATTTGGTTGTTGTTGTTATCCGACTACTACGCACCAAATTTTTTTCTAACCACTTAGCATAAATATAAATTTGTGTTGTTTTGTGACAGTTCGCGTTTGTTTATTTACGGTTATGCGCAGTTTTGTTATTGTTATTGAATTCGGGCGGCAGTCGCTGTTTCGGCTCATTTGCTATGCATTTTGTTTCATTGAGCAAAACAAAAATAAAACACAAAATTAAAAAAAGACGTGATCAAAATTCGCATAAATTTCCTCGAATTTTGTTTACGTTTTGATAAGTGCACCGCATCCCACAACACGTGGGTGGTCAATTTTTATTGGCGCGCCTGCACTGCCTGCCACTCGTTTGGCTGCGAAACACTTACGTAAACCAATTTCCACGTTTCAGCTTGGTCCGACTGCCACTATTGTCGCTATTGCTGCTGCTACCGTCTCCGTTGGCACTGCCATTTTCGCGTTTTTCCCCAGCTGACATGTTTGAGTGCGCTTCCACAATTCTCTAGAATTTCATTGGTGCGGCCTATTTGTGCATAATATACGTGTGTATGTTTATATGTACCTTTGTATGCATTTGTATTGTTATTACTGCCTCTTGATTATTAATAACACAAAATTACGTCATGATTTCACAAATGCAACACAAGCTAAGCTGAGCAGAGCAAAGCGCACAAGGTGTGTATGTATGTTCATATATTTGACGAGCGCAATTTTTGCGTTACAACAACAACAGCTGATAACCGGCGGGGTTGCGTGCAATGCAAAAAAAGTACGCAATAGACAAGAGGCGCCCACACTAGCTCGCTCACTCTTGCTCACGCACAACACTGTTAATGACGCGCAATTATCTGTTTGTCACAGAGTACACAAAAAAAAACAACGTGTGCTTGCCGTCTATTGTCACTCGCCTTTAATTCCTCTATATTTTACGATTGTTTTAATTGTTTTATTGCACTGGGTCGGGCACAGTGATAAGCAGAAATTGTGCGACGTCTCTTTTCTCGCTCGGCGAATTGAGTATTGCTCTCACGCGCGTGCCGTTAACTACTAAATCCGAAACTCGTCTGATCGGAAACTTTTGTCTGATCTTTGCACCAGCTGGCAGCTGCTGTTATAGCGAGACTGCCAAACGAGACTAAAATCAAATAGGCCGCATTCGAAGCTTTTCGAGCTTTTGACAATGTCTCTGCTGGCGGCGAAGTCGTCGGCACCGTCAACGTCGCTGTCAACGTCATAATCAAATGTCAAGCGAACACGAACAGCTGTTTGATAACACGCACCTCTAACTTCATTTGCTTATTGTATTCTCAGTGGCGCCTTAACCATACAGTTAATTTATAAATGGACATCGGGTGGGTTTAACTTTTAAAGATATACCGCACCGTGGTAGAACTACTAAGTGTTTAGGAAAGAAAATTATATTTCATATTTTGCCACTTAAAAATCGTACAATTTTCAACGGCTTGGTGGGTGCTCTATGTTTTGAGTGCTCAAATAGTTTCGAAACCAATGTTCTGCATTCTTCCAAAGGTACAATTTAAATATTTTCAGTTTTCAGAAGAAACAGTCGATTATTAGCTTGGAAGTGTTTCGACCGCGAACAATTTTCGTTAATTTTGATTAGAGTTGGGTTGTTTCTATCCCATGAATAGGGATCTGTTACTTTGTCATAGGTGTTTTGAACAACCGCGGAAGTACTTATTTGTTCTTGACAGCCAAATGTGCATTAAATTTTAAATGTACACTGGTGGAACTAATATATGATAGACAATGTCAGTTGGTTGTTACAAGTAGAAGAGCTGGAAATGCTAATCTTGATTAATATAAGTTTTCTAAAGGCATTAAATTGTCTCTTTATTGGCTTATAATGAAGCAAAAAGCACTTCTGTCTTACGTCACATTGGCAAACCATTTCTGTATGCACGCTTGTCTGTATATTGTATGTAGATATGGCTGTGTTGCCTAAGCTTTTTATTTACGACATCAACGTATTTGCTTATAACTTTTATTTACTGATTATTGCTTTAGCACACTTGCGCACTCAAGTTGCCTAATTAATTTCGCAAGCACTGCCATCAGCCAGAGCGATTATCCAATTAACAATTGTATCGAACGTATTGTACATATGTATGTACATACATACATACATATATATGTATATAGAAAATATTTGTTATGCATTTAATTGATGTGGTTGTTATTGAACAACTAAAGTGTGCCAGGCAATAAAGTTTTTCGATAACATCACGGCACTTTAGTAGCAAAATGTAACACAGATCTCAAAACGAGGTAGATTTCTGTAAAAGCAAAGGAAGTAATAGAGAGAAACAGTCAAGGCTTGGCCAACTTTTTAGTTTTTGGAGAAGCCTGTATCAAATTCGATCTGGCCAAAAAACGCCGATGTATGTGTACACACGTCATGGTACGTGAGCACACACACATCCACGTACGTAAGTATGTTTATTTGTTTGTATTGCATATCAGTAACAGGCACGATACCGTTGGCAAAGTTCTGTAGCTGCCAGCTTGTTGGACACAACTAGGGGGACGTGTGTCTGGAAACTCGTTGGAAAAATGGAGCGAGGAGGCGCCAAACTGATGAAGTGAAATCTTAGATTTGCTTTTGAGCAGAGTAAACAAAAGTTGCTGCCTGGCGTTTTTCTATATTCAAACATTCATATGTATGTATGTATGTTTTTTTGCACACACACACACTAACTTACATACATATGTACATTTACCCATGCATCTAAAATTACTACCACAGATGCCGCAGCAGCCGACTCCGCTACTGCCATGCAACCAACAAACAATATAACTTTGTGAAAAGTTGCGCACACGAAGCCAAACCAATTTCTTGCCAGCAAGGCTATTTTTATTTTAGGAAGAGCAAAAATTCGTGATTTGCAAGTCCCTCCACACCAGGGATGCCAACGTTTAAGAAGGTTTTTGACGGGAAGGAGATTAAAAGCTAATGAAATTTAAAAAAGAAAACTGTAAAAAAGCTAAATTTGTAAAAAATATTCTATGCAAAAGAGGTGATTAAAAAGAGTCCCTTTGTATTTATGGAACTTATATAACTTCATCTACAAGTTGTACCAAAGGCGTACGCAATATGAAGTCGACCAAACATTCCTTATTATGGCGCACTATTTCGCTTTAATATGGAACTGAGTTGGATTTGTTGAAGTTTTTTTTATTAATCATATGCATAAAATATTTTTTATACGCATCGTGCCTTATTTAATCAAAATTTTAATTTCAATTTTTGGTTTTCACCTTTGGAAAAAGCTGCGTATGCCCTTGCCTGGTACCAATCACATTTAAATATTAAGAAGGAACGTCATAGAACAAAACATTTTTCATTGTATTTGTGCGCAATTTGTCAATTTGTGGCATTTTTCCATAGTTTTCACTTAAATGTTGGCAATATTAAAAACAGCGGAAAAAAGCTAAATATATTTTGAAAAAGTCTGAATTCTTGCTTTTCGCAATTCTGTTTTGAAAAAACAGCCAGATATTTTGGGTAAAAAGTCAAGCTGCCATCTCAGCTCCACACACACGCACCGTCTCATATTTATGCACCAACACACACTCATGGGCCAGTAAATGCAAATAAAGCCATGGCCTCGAACAATGTTGCCAAGCTGCATAAAATATGGAATGTCTAACAGCTACAGCAAGACTAACAACACTTATGGTGTTGCAAAAGTAGAAAAGTTGTATTGTTTGCCACTTTTTCTGATATTTATTTCAGTTTGGTGTCAAAATGTAAATAAGAATTCGCGTTATGGTTGACATATGTATATTATATGTAGCCAAGAATCTATAGCAATGGAAATGCTTTTCAAAGGTAGAAGCATTTTCCCAGAAGTAAAATTGAACAATGATTGATCAGAACTACTAGGAATATTATAAGCCAGACAGTTACGTTTGTCGTGTAATCTAAATACACTTTATTTCAAACTTTTTATTGCATTCTAACAGTTCCCAGTTCCCAGTTAAAAATGAAGTGAATGGGTGTTAGCTATAAATTTTGTATGAATGCAAAACCACAATAATTTAAATTAATTTTAAGTTATTGATTGACAAAGTTCTTTTTTTGAATAAGCTACATCGCGAAGACACTAACTTGTGAAATTGACTGACGTTTTCGAATTCGTTAATACATTTTGGGGCGCTCCCAACACAAATATTGAAAGAAATTAGAGTGAAACAATTTCAATATCTGTCACTGTGCTTTGCTTAAGTTTATTATTTATGTCTTCGAAAATGAACGTTTCTTTCCGCTCCGCGTTTCTTGTTCCCCCTAGATGCAACAAATAGAAACCACTAAACGTTGATTAGCGAGCTTTTGTTGTATTAGGGTAGTTCCGCTCCCCCATTTTCCATTATTGCAGCCCTTTCGCAAATGTGCTCAAGTAGCGCGGTTTTTTTTTACCCAAGCCGTTCCACTTTACTTAGTGAATGCATTTGGTTTTTATTTGTTTTCCATTGAAAAGGAAATTGTAGAATTTAGCTTTGTTTGTTTAATAAAATATAATTTTTTCCGCTCTAAAACTTGGCGTGTTGAGAAATGGACTGCGGGCACACACTTTACTTTCCAGCGTATTTGTGAAAAATAAATAAAATGGCATTAATTTGTTAGAAGCATGGGCCAGCCGGCTGGGGAAAGAAGGGTGGCGCGGTTGGGCTGTTGTGGGTCTAGATTTTGTTTGGTATATTTGCAGCAGCGGAAAAAATTGCATGGGAATAATGTAAAAATTTTTCATTGAAGTTAAAACCGTTTTTCATTTTCATTTTGATTTTATTTTTCTTTGCTTCGGCTTCGCTTTTTTTCGTAGAACAAGGACAACAACAACGCAGCAAGAGTTGCTTGACGTGGCTCCACTCCGAGTACAGAAAGGTGAATAAAGGGGGTTGAGGGGGCGTCTGTGGCTGTGTGGGAGGCTTGGTGCGGGTAAGGGGTTAACCACTTTTACATTTAATAAAGATTTTAAGTAACTTAAAACTGTTTGCTTGTCTTTGGGTCGGTCTGTGGGCTTGCAAACATATAAATGGATACATATAAATGTATTTATTTATGTATATATCAAGCGTTTTCCTCAACGACTCTTCGGCTGGCTCGCACTTGTTTTTGTGATTTGAATTTTAATTAACATTTCTAATGAATATGCGGGCGTAGAGACAACGAGCTCGTTCTCAACACTCAGTTCCCGGATTCCGGATCTCAGACCTTACAACAACGTCCGACACTCGTAAACTCTCTTCGCGCTCGGCAGTTGGTTTGTTTTTTGTTGGGGGCCATTAAAATGTAAAAGATGCAAAAGTTGCCTTTAATTATTGAATCGAGTGGACAGTCGGTAAGGAACAATTTTTTTCTCATTTCCTTTCATGCTTTTTACGCTTTTCAGGAGCGAGCACAGGCGGTGGAATGGTTAGGAATTTGATTTGATGTTGGAACAAATTTTCTAAGTGCGGCTAGCTGGCTTGCAGCGTTAATTTGTGAAGTTGAATAAGTAGGTAAGTGGCATAGAAATCATAAACAGTTAATATAATTTCCGCAACGTGCTTTTCTTCTTTTTTCCCGCAGAGTAAACACCAGCACAGCATAGCCAGGGTTTTAATTGCGAATCAGTCATAATTGCGGGAAAAACTTTGGTAACAACTTTTGATGAGTGAATGAAATATATTGCTGAGTACATTTTTCACAAATTACATAAGCGTGCCAAAAGCTAGACCTTAGTTAATTGGTGAAATGCGAGACTCATTTAATAAGCTTAAGTTTGTTACAAATATTTCGCAACACTCCCTTCACAGTCTATACCAAATTTATATATATTTATAATGAATTTTTATTGGATTTTCGGAAAAATAGTAATGGCTCGCAAATTAATAACAGCAAGAGATTTTATTCTGAAAATTGATAAACCTATTTGCTTAGTAGTACATGGCACTTGAGCAGTTTGGAGTGCAAGGGATTTTTTAAAGTTCTAAATGATCATTGGATATGAAATTGTCGATGGTAATTGATAAATAATTTGTAATTGGTAATTGATAATAATTTTGTGTAATTGAATAAAACTTTCTTAAAAAAAAAACACTTGATCGATTCTTCTGCATTTTTCATTAGAACCTTATACTTTTTGGGCTTCTGTTTTCGATCACTATGAATATAGTGAAAAGAACAAAAAATACACACTAAGATTTTAAAGATTGTATTGCTTTGATTGTTGGTTGATTAAAAACGTATCTAAAATATAATATGCAGTTGTAGAATCGTGAATTAATTTTATAGATGCTGTTATACATACAAGTATACTACACGTTCATTAAGAGGGACATTCATAAATAAACTTGAGCTACACTGTTCCTATTCTCTCTGATATGTTTTGAACATACACTCCAGCAGCTTTGGCTATTTTTAATTAATTTTTCGAATAACAGAGCTTGTAAAACTAATTATATTTCGCCTTTCAAAATATTTAAACAAACTCACATTTGTGTATGTCTATCCTCTAAACACGATACGCTACATTTATGTGGGTACCGTCCCCATTCGAATGATCAGCGCCCATAAAACACGCAATAAAACATTTCCAAAGAACAGAAGCATGGAGCGCATGGTTAATGCAGAGGCACTAAAGTCGTAGGAGAAGCAGGCTGCACATTGATTTGTTGTTTTTTTTGTCTATTTATAGGTAGATATGCAGAGACGAAGATGCGCCGACACTTCCACAACACTCTGGGTGTTTATTTACGGGCGAGCCAAAAATAAATGGAGCAAGAACCAGCCCGAGACCAAAGAGTGGAAACAGCTGTGCAAGGCGAGCACAGCACTTGCTGGTTGACCGCTTGGTCAGGGTCATAAAGATATACTCGTACATGGAACGCCACTTACCTCCATAAGAAGAAGGCCATGACAATGAGCACAATGCCGAAGCAACTGAAGATAATGCCGACTAGCACGGCCAGGTTATAGTCGTTATGAGATTGACGCAGCTGTGGTTGAATCTTTTCGCAATTCGGTTGCAGTTGTATCTGGAAAGAAGGCAAGGTTGTTAGATTTTATAGAGTGGGTTGAGTGCGTGTGTGTCTTTCTTTAATAGTGGGGGTGGTTGTGCACAGATTTATGCCATTTACAGCACCTGATGTAGCCGTGGCATACATGTGTGTCTGTCAGTGTGGGTGTGTGGTATGTAAATATCATTAAGTTTTCGCATTGTTTTTGCTTCGCCTCAACGTATGCTGCTACACTTTAGTCTGCAACTGTCGTTCATTTTATTTATTGTTGTTCCTGTTAGTGTTGTTGCTGCCCCTGTTTGTTATTCTATCATTTTTCATTGTTTGCATTGGGCGTGGCATTTTGGGGTGCTACAAAAACATGCATTTCACTGCGACTCCTACGATTCTGTGGTCTTTCGTTGTAGAAAAAAGGAAAAAGGAAAATTATGGACGAAAAAGAAAACGGCAGAGCGTAAAAATTACATATTTTCATGCGCATTTTGTGGCAATTGTTGTTGCTATTGTAGATTGTCAGTGTTGTACGCCCGCCCTTGTGTATGTATGTACATATATTGCATATATTAAATAAAAGGATTTAAATGAGCGCCATTTTCTACGTGTTTGCTTTGCGCTTCCTGCATGTGCGCAGAAAACGGAAGCGGACCATGTAAATGTGGCCAAAAGGTGCAGCCACTTAAAATTCAAGCGGAAAAAACATACAAACACACAAAAATACACACACACACACACACACACAACAATAAATTATAAATGAGCGAATGGGAGCAGGCAGCACAAGTCAGGGGCTCTGTGCAAAATATTGCTGCATACTTATGAGGGCGTGCGACAGCAACGAGGTCAACTAAATTGCTATATTTTGTCTCGGCTTACAGATTGTGTATGTTTTATGCATGCAATAAACTTTGTCCTTTATATGAGCGTATGTGTGCTTGCCAGCAAATGTCATTTAGGATGTTGTTATGACAAGTTGCGAGCTTTTAAAACTCAATAAATGCGCCCAAAAGGTACAAAACCATATGCCATTGGCTCGATATCGAACACACAAACATCTATGTATATGGGTGTGTATGTGTGTACACAGTTTAACTTGTTTACTAAATTATAGTTAGAGCTCCCGAAAAGGCCATTAAATGTGCATAAAGCGCGCATTAAACATACGCCATGTGGCACACAGAAATGAAAGCCGGAAGTCATTATGCATAATGTATGAGGCTGGGAAACACGCAGTCAGGCAAGCGTACATTTAGACAGATTACTATTGGTAGACCTGCCCGCATACGCAGTAATCAGCTGAAGAGCTCCTGCAAGACCTGGGTCGAGTAATACATGCATGCTCGTATAAAGTACAAGGCACAGGCATCTGTGCGAAAGGCGCGTGCCAACTGCCACAAGCTCGCGACATTTGTTTGCAAAAAAATATATTCTGCGTTGTTACTTAAGAACAACAACAAGTCAAGGTAAACAAGTCCATACAACTGTCACATAGATAGACACTCAGACAGACAGGTAATCAGATATTGCAACTGACAACGCCGCCATTTTGTAATATATACATTTTTTGCCAAGTTTATGGCATGCCACACCCACAGAGTTTGCAATTTTTCTCACATTTGATTTGTTTGCGAGTAAACCACACACAGGCACAGACACATAACAAGGTGCTGTTGCAGTTGCCTTTTCCATAACCAATTTTAAATAAACTGCCAAGTTTCTTTTTCTCATTTCTTTATACATATGCACACTTGTGTATACTTTACTTAGCCATGCAGCTTGTTTGCTTTGCAGCAGGTAAGCGAATGTGGCGCATGTGACTTCGAGTTGATTTTTTTATGTGCTACTTACAGTTCTCGCCTCCGAATATTTGCCCAACACGATTTTCTTTGGATTTATAAAGCTGAAGGTTGCTGCGGCCACTTTGACTTCGTAGTAGGAATTTGTTGTTAGATTTTGTAATATCATCTGCAAAGTAGAAAGTAGAAAAATGGAAATGAATACAAATCTGTGTATGGCTGGTAATGTTTCATAATTAAGTTAAACGTATTACAGAATAATTATATTTTAAATTGTTACTTTAATACAAAAAGGATATGCATTAAATAGGTTTTAGAAATGAGTTGATTTAAATAAATAAATATATTTATATAAATAAATATTTAATAGTTAATGAGTTAATAGTTGGTTACTTTAATCTATTTAATTGCATATTTAACAAAACTATTTTCAATCAGTTCATAGGTTCGTAAACAAACCATTATTTCTTTTAAATATAAGCAGAAAAGAAAATACAATTAGAACTTAACAATTGTAAAGCAAACAATCAACAGACCCTTTAATATAAGACTTAATGTGAAGAATAGACTCAATTAATAATTTAAGCAGGGAAAGACAAATATTCCATCAACAGCTGGAAGCATAACGCCTTGATAAAGACTTGTAAGCAATAAACACTGTCAACTACAATTTCGCCCGAACTATGTGCGAACGAAGGGATAAAAACGCGCCTAAGTCAACCCAACTGGCACTCTAACAGGACACTGCTGAGTAGCCATTCACGCAGAGAAGCTTGGCATTACAACAGATGGCAGGTAAAAAGAATGCAAGGAACCAGAAGTGATCCAAATGCTGGAGCAACTCCTATGCCATTGTCCAGAACTCACAACAAACAGGACAAAATATCTCAAAGTGCATAGGAAGCGGAGGCGGCAAATTTCTCCCTCGACACACTGCTGGCGTTTTTAAAGCATAGCAAGATTCTGGCGGATCCATAAAGCGTTCACCAAACTAAATTCACCCGGCAACAATAAGAACAAACTATTTTACTTAACGTCTTGAATTAAATTACTCGCCATCTACAAAAAGCTATATAGGAACTCAATTGTTGGATAGTTTTAAAACAGGGTTTTTAATACAAAGATTAACTGAAATTAAGGTTTTTAATGGCATTTGCAGAAGTTGGATTTAAAACAGATTAAAAAATCGCTTTCATCTCGTAAAAATACGCTTCTAATCGAACTCCCTCTAGCCTACATTGCTTTGCTAACTTTTCATGGTTTGGTCAATTCGCAGACGTGGCCAAATATTGAAATGGGAATTGCAAAAAATCCACCCAATGCATAAAACTATTTCTATATTCTTTGGCACAAGATATGACAGTGCTATTTGTTTAACAAAAAACACCAAAAGAAACTTCTTTTCAACGTAAAATATTTCAATTATAAAATATTTTAGTGAACGCAAAAATAGGGAGAAAATAAAAAAGCAGCAGATACTTGTAGTTGTTGCTGTTTTTTTTGCGTCTATAGTTGTTATAATGCCAAACAACTTTCAGTCAGATATGAAAAAGTCAGTTACTACATGTATGATAAAATTTTATTGTTGCGAAATTTTTGCACCGTCGACTGCCTGGATTTTAACTCCTTTTATTTTTGTTATGACGCTAAATAAAATAAAAACGAGGGCCAGAAAGAAGTTGAGGGAAAAGAGAAGTGGGCACAAAGGGCGGTTTTAGCAGGAAAAACAGCATAAATTTAATTCATTTTCTTTTTGGTGCAGCTTCGCAAAATAAAGCGCAGGTGTGGCAAAGTCTGTGTGCGTGCTCGCACAGTTCGTTATTGCCAAAAAGACGGCGATAGCGCAACAAAAAATGCAAAAAGATGCAACAAAAAATGAAAAAAGGGCGCTGCCGAATGCAAGGGCGCGAATGGGCAGGGGGCGTGTCAGTGGCCAAAAGCCCAAGTGGGCACAGGCCGTCGCTATAGCAGATAAACTTTTATAAAATATTTACATGTAGCTGCTGTTGCCGGTTTTTAGGCGTCACCGCCCCTACGCTGTTGCACTCGTTATTTATGCCCTTTGTCCGTTCTCTCTTAGTGTTTGTGGGCCGTCTATGTGTGTCTGTGTGAGTGTGTATGTGCGCGACATCAAAATGCAATTATTATTTGCTTTGTTTTTTACTTTCCGCTTTCGCGCGAGCGCCGACTTTTGTCTATATTAGTGCACTGTGCCATATATCAAAGCAGACGTTTTGTTTTTGTTGTATTGTGCACACGATAAGCCAAACGATTGACATATCACACACAACTACTACAACAACAACAACAACAACGACAACGATAGCAGCAATAACAACAATAAAGAGAGAGGAACGTACACCGTTCGCAATGCTAAATTGCTTTTGCTAACTTGACGACAATAAAATTGTTGTTAGCGAGTTGTGCGCGCCAAAAAGTATGCAACAAAGCATTCACATGACACGGCAGATGAAAAACACGACGCATTCTACAGAAGTAGCAATACGAACAGCAACAGAAACAGAACACATAAACAAACAATACAACGAAAATCAGACAAATAACAAACATAGCAACTGCGAAATGAATAAATGCCGAGCAGTAAGGCAGCACGCATCCGATTCTGATGAACCCTATGTTTGGAGGAATAAAATATCAGCAGAGCATAGGGACGACGAGGCTAGTATTTCCAAATTTAATGGCATATAGGCATCTATGGCTATATCAAACTTGTAAAGCCTACCAGGGAAGGCAGAACATACGCATGTGGTAATAATGTTGAAAGAAACTTAACAGACAAAAATTAAGAACCAAAGCCTAGAACTGCATTTTAAAATGTTATGGAATATAAGGATCTATAGATTTTTTTGTCCAGGTGCTGTACAAATCGCTTCCCGTAAAATTTGTTTAGTGGCATAGCCATGTATGCCTAGTAAGTAATTATAATAAGGAGAACTTAAAAAACTTTAAAAAGTCACTTTAATAAAAACTGGATTTTCTTTTGTAATCTGAATCATCATTGCTAAATTTTCAAATTAAAAAGGCGTTTCGGTAGACGATGCTTTTTTTGCAGAACAAAAAACCATTATAGTAGTAGGTAGTAGAAAGTTGTCTCTGTTGCTGTCGTTTATTTGGCATAACTGGAGTTGACATTTAAACAAAGGTATTTTGCAAAAAATATAAAAAAAGGGACGGTTAAAAAGTTTGAAAGTTCAATTCCATTAATTGACAGATAAAAAATGTGAAATTGTTTAATGTAAGCCCAACTGAATTGCTCTTAATTCTTGTACGAAACGTTTTGATGAAAGAGACTTGGTAAAATTGTTGATATTATATATTGTTATTACTTGTATATATTTGCAAGGCTTTGGCAAAATGTGCCCCGATAAATGAATGCTATGCATTAATCTGAAAATTCTGCACAGCCCGTTTCAGAGCAGCTGAACAAACGTACCAACTCATATAGCTAAAGTTTTGTACAATAGCCTGCTATCTCTTAAGCACAAGGCATTAACATTATGATTCGAAAAAAAGCAAACAAGTAAAAAATAAACAGAGAGCAATTTATGTTGTAAAATTATTGTAAGCAGGCAACGAAATTTTTGTGTGGAAGCACAAACAAACTGACGGCCGGTTGTCCTTTACTTTCGGCTTGGAGAGCGTCAGCAACTAATGCGCTATTGTTGCCAATAAAAAGCTTTCCGCCGATATGACAAAATGTTTGCCATGCTTTATGCGCGAATTTTTAAAAACAATGCTCCCACTCGCATTAATCCCTTCCCATGGAACTTACCGCCGTCTCCAGCTCTTTGGCCGATGCATTGATGCGTATATCCCGATGGTTATCCTGGCCGGCCAGTCGAGTTTTTATGATGTAAAAGTCAATGCTTTTGTAGAACTCATGGGGACGCTTCCAGCGTATCGTAATCGACTCCTGCGAGTGACACGTCAGATTCACAATAAGCGGCGCACTGGGCCCGGCCACATCAGTACGCTGGGCAATCTGATCGGAGGGCTCGCCCTCGTTCTTTGTTGTGAACGCTTTGACAATGACGCGGTAATCGGTAAAGGGCTCTGCAAATGAAATGGCAAAGAGAAGACAAAAAATTGGGCGGTTATTTTTATGATTCACCTTTCATTGTTTCTGCAGCGTATGATTAAATGTTACGGCAACTCTTTGTGCCTGTGCCTGTGCGCGTGTGTGTGTGTGTGTGTGTGTCAGTATTTTAATTGTCCTTAAAATACTATCAAGCACCAAAAATGCCCAAAAGAATATTGTATGTGTGCGTTTGACCTGCATTCAGGGTATTTCAATTCCCATTCAGCTACGAAGGCCCGTGCTTTTCATACAAATTTGATCGTTCGCTTCTTTTTAAACGTGCTGTGTACTTCATAGAGCTCTTTGATGAATACTTAAATAATTGAAGAGCTTCACGAAGTATAGCTTTGTTCAGAGCAGAGCCGTGTTATAAAAATGAACTGTTTATTATAGTTCTTAAACGCAGAACAACAGCCTTACATTGAGGTCTACTCCATAGGTAAAGAACGATGATTTAATTGCAGTTCTTATAAAAATGTATGAAAAAGTTTTGTTCGATTTATTAAGAACATACAAGTAATGTCTGACCGTATAAGCAAATGGCCCCATCGGTTTTTTTTCAAATACCATTACATTTATTGCAATATTTTTAAATATACAAGATAATTGTTTTTAGACTAGCCCTCCACATTAATATGAATCTTAGAAAACACGAACACTTTATTGTTATTAAGTGTTGATCTTGGGAGCAACATGGATTTGTATCTATAACCCATAAATACCGAATTCGGTGCATTAACAACTCATTCCTCTACTCAACGAAAGCATCTATCTGAATAGCCATATAATTGATGTTGTTTTGCAGTTATCTTTATTGACAACTGAATATAGGTATATTCTGCCGAACGATTACATAAATAATACATAATAAATAAATAGCCACCCGTCAAATATTACAGTTTGTCTTTCAGATGTTGTTACGCACAATAACATTATTAAGATAATTAGAAATTAATCTTGGGAATTGCAGGTGTTTTAAAATAAATATAATAGTGTTGGCTGGAATTTATCTAAAAGTTATAAGCTTTCAATTTGCATTATAAATCTATTTATTTCTTATTAGTTATTTCAAACGTTTACTACCATGGGCATAAGTACTGTATCATATATGTATATTACTTACTTTATATTTAAGGCCGCAAAAAAAATGCACATGAAATTTTAAATTTAAAGCAAATGCTGTGAACTTTCTATAACTGGCGCAAAAGATGTCAAAACTACACACTAACTAGCTTAGTACTTTCATTAGTACTTACATTTAAAAATCATTTCCATTAAAACTAATTTATAACAATCAAAGCATATGATGACACTGCTGCCATTTGCAGCTACCCGGTGTTGGCATTTCATTTGTTTACCGTTGCCACAAAGCTGCAGGACTTTGTGTGGCATTGGTGTTAGCTTATTGCTCGAAATGTGCAACCTCAAAAGTCAGTTGCACGGCACGCCATGAAAAAAAGATGAGGGGAAAATGAAAAACCACCGAGTGGCTGCTTTCAGGTGGCAACGCTTTCAGTGCTCATTAAAAATCATGTCACCGCATGTCACAACATGGCCGGCGGTCGTGGTCGCGCTCGTGCTCGTGCTCGTGCCCGCCTGTCATGATCGAGAGCAACAAAATGGCAGCGATGGCGCTGACAAAATGCACAACAGCGCCGAACAACAAAATGGCAAACAATGAACGTAATTAAATTTCATTGAAATAAAAAAGGAAAATACAATAACAACAACTTTAACACAATGAGCAGCAGCAGCGCGGCAACAACAAAAGACGACAAAAGCGCTAGTGGTGTCGACATTAATAACTGTTTATGTTAAGTAGCGCAGTTGCGTTGCCTGAAACACAGCAGGAGAAGGAAGCGGGACGTACGATGCTAAAAAGGCAGAGAGATAGGGGTCTAGAGCAGTGCACGCTTTAAAAACAGCAACAACAGCCACAACTACTATATATAGTATAGACGAATGAATTGATTTTATGCAGTGTTAAAAAGAAAAATGGCTCACTGAGTGCGCCATGGGCCATCAACAACAGCAACAACAATGGCCATTGGCCAAAGGACACCAAAGCTCACAGCCCGCCACACTGACATGCACTCTCCCTTTCTGCAGGCAAACAAGAATTAAACTTTACATTATTTAATGTAGCCATGGCAAAGGCTTCTTTCTCTCGCCTTGTGGCAGGTGGCAGCAAAGGCTGTAGAGCTGAGAAGACAGTCAGAAATTATTTTGTGGCCTTTGAAGTATGAAGAACTTTTGCATCAACTGCACCCACAAAGAGAACTGCATAAGCCTGGTATGCGTTGATTAAACAATGTGGGAAATTAACGAGGTTGCGTGCGTATTTGGGGTAGAGTTGTGGCAATACAATACAATTAAGTTGATCTTTTATTACAAGTAATTTAGTTGATCTTCTCGCGATCTCTTTAACGAAAACTGTACGCACTGTTGGTGTTTTACATTGAAAAGGCAAGCAGCTTAATTTCCAATTGACAGTCTTAACATCAAAGCAGAGTTGGTAAAAAAAAGGAGAAGAAATTACATTATAAGGCAAAAGTTGTCTATAAAACACCTTTTGATTGATAGCTTGGAATTTGGCTCTTAAACGAGATACAGAAAAGCCATAAAGCACACATTTTGTATAATTCATAATTACAAGACCTCTGGACTGAAAAGAACACACGAAGAGCTCACCCTAAGTTTAACGAAATAGCCGAATATTGAGAAGACCTTGGACAAAGGCGAACATTTTTATACTCAACTGCCGCATTTTACTTTACTAAATAAAAAAGTATTGAATTTCATGTGACGTGTCTCTGTACCTTTTCTAAACACAATTGTCAATGCAAGAAAAATTAAATTAGTTGTTCTAATACAGTCGCAATTGAATTGTGTTTTTGCAGAATCGCATTTGTGTAAAATCACATTTCTTTGGCTTAGCCAGAAATTATATTTTAAAAGCAATCCATAAAATGAAAAGATTTAGAAAGAAAGCATCTATGTGATATCAGTTGTAAATTCTTCTATTTGCACTTTAGTGGCTAAAAACATAGAAAACGTTTATATTTGTTAATAAATGTAGTCGTTCATTTAAAGATTTGATTACAAATTCTTCCACATTTTGCATTGCTAAATATTGAGAAGACCTTGAACAAAGGCGAACATTTTTATACGCAACTAATGCCTCACTTAACATTACTAAATAAAATACTTGTAGTATTGAATTTCACGGGACGTGTGTCTGATACACTTTTTTAGGTTTATTTAAAGTGTTTTTGTACCTTGCCTCAATGCAAGAACATTGAAATTAGTTGTTCTAATACAATCGGAATTGAATTGTGTTTTTGACGAATCACATTTCTTTAGCTTAGTCAGAAACTATATTTTAAAAGCAATCTATAAACTGAGAAGAAAACTTAATTCATAATGGAACTGAGAGCTATAGTATGGTATATAGGAAGATAAAACTGCAACATATTTATGTTCCACATTTAAAGATAAAACGCTAAGACTCTTTTGTAACATTGCTGTGATGTTAAATGCGGGTGTCGAGCTCTCATGTGTGGAGTGCAAGCGCTAATTAACAGCAACAACAATGTCAACTTTGTTGCAAGTTAATTGTGAAAGCAAAAGCTGGTTAACCCTACACAGCTTCTAATGTCTGCCTTTAAGTTCATTTTCTGCTTGCCAGGAATATTATGCGGCTGTGCACCGCAAACTGTGCTCAACTATTTTTTTGGTATTGCCGCCACCGTGCTCCCAAGTCTAATGATGTTGTGGCTTGCATGGGGCTGTTTATCTATGAGTCGAGTTGACAAACAATTTTGGCGCTGCCAGAAAGTATGCAACGACAAACGCGCGTTGCTCACTGTGTATGTATATGCGAGTATATGCGAGTATATATGTATATATGTATCTATGTGTGCAGGTGTGTATTTTAATTAAACACTTGCAGAAGCGACGCGGCCGCTGGCAAATTTCCGGCAAAGGCAACAATCAAGTGCCACTTGCACAAACAGTTAGAGCGCGTTTGTGTATGTCAGTGTGCGGGTGTGTGTGTGTGTGTGTGTATGTGGTGAAGGGCATAATTACAAGCATCAAATTGTTAACAAAAAGTGGCCAAACACTTGCAACTAATTACAAAGTACGAAGCTACCATCGGGGAAGCGGGTGGGCAGCTGGCAAGACGGGCTGACAGGTGTCTAGGTAAGCAAACAATTGACTTGAGCCACAATTAGGGCTAATAAAGCGGTGCGGCAGGGTGAGTGGAGACTGTTGACAGTTTGTCTTGAGCCAAGTTATTGACATTTTGATGCCATGTCGCGCACAAAAGCAATTAAATAGCGTACCAATCTCTTGGACAGAACTGTACTTGGCCACCAGCTTAAGGGCTTAGCGACTAAGCATTGTTTGTGAAAATCGTTGAGCGATGACAAGTGTAAGTGGAACATGGGTTTTAGAGCTCATTGTTTAAGCAATGTGGCAACAGACTGACAAATATAGGTAAGCCTTCTCAGCAGCATGACCTTAAAATAGATAGTCGGGGCACTCTGGCTGAAAGTTGACTAAAATAGCACGAAAAATAATTCAATTGCGACGCCACGCCCAAACACTTGTCTACAAAATTGAAGTACTTGAGATTCTAAGTTTAAAACGCCAATACTTGAAATAGCCAAGGAATCCGAAATCTCAATAGCCATCGAGTGAACGTTGTGTTAATGAAGTGTTCGCACCTTTTTTTTTACAATATTAGATACTATAAGCAGCTTGCAGACATTGAAATACCATAAAAAATGTGCTTATAATAAATATATTTGGAAAATATAATTTAATGTAGACCTTTTACTTTCAATATAAAGTGCAGTCTTCTATACAATTCGGAAGTGTAAACAAATGTGAAAAGATATTTCGTACGAAAAAACACATTTGTTGAAAACAAGTCGGTAGCGAACTTATTTGCCAACTCAAATAGCCATTATGGGTTCCAAAGTATTTTCTCCCTTCTCTTGATGTTTTCAAAATGTTTGTATGTATGTGAGACAGCAAACTGAGCCCATCCCGCTCCCACATGCAAAGGACATAGGACTGCCATTAGCTCATAGGAAAGTATATGTTGTAAGAACATACTTGAATTCATTTATTATTTTACTTTTTTGGACAGCTAAACACTTTTAATGGGTGCCCCTTTACAGCACTTTTATATCTAGCGTTGTCAATTATTTTCTCTCTTGGGCATAGCCCTCCCCTTTTTATTAACGAAATTATTGACTTCTGGTGCATTAATACGAATGCATAACATTTTTACACAAAATTATTTGTATCATAAAACCGACAAATGAGTTTGTCAATCTCAATAAAATTGCTCAATTTCTATATGACATTAGGCTTGCAGCAAAGGCCGATTAATAGTTGTTGGCTATGTCGGATTTTAACAAGATTACTTTACGTTCCGACAACGAATGATTTGCACAGAATATCACTCAATTTTACAAATGATTAATGATAAGTAAATCCCTAATTATACTCTTTAATAGATTTTATTTTGTTTTTATTATTTGTATTGCAAGCATTCCTTTTCGATAAAAAATATATTATTAGATTTTATTGAAAGAGAATTATATGAATGGCAAATTATTTGTCTCCCTGACAAAAAATCAAGATTCTTTTAAAGCTTAACATGACTCCGTATTGTATAAAAAAATACGGAATAGAATGTGAAGAACAAAGAGTTTTTTCAAGGTAAGTAACTTTTTGATGCTTTGAATTTATTTTACTAACGCTCAGAGTTGCGGCATAAAAATGTATTGTACATTTGACAATTTAGCTAGAATGAGCCCATATCATACATAATATTATATATATTTATTATAAATTTGCTTTTAGTGATTGATTACTTACTCAGACTCTGCAGCTCAAAGTGTATTAAGGGCTCCACAGTGTTGCGGGAGTTCTTCACGATTTCCACACCCGTCTGATTGTCGTGTATGTGAAATACATGATAGCCGGCGATGGCGCCATTTTGATTCTTCGGTGGATGCCAGGACATGGTAATGCTGTTGGCCGATACATCCAGGACGGTGAGATTCAAAGGTTTGCTTGGCACTGCAAGTAGAGTAAAAGAAAGTTGTCCAAAAATGAATAAAGAGCTGACAAAGTCCAAAGATAAATATATGCTTAAGTGATAAGGCTATGTACATACATACAAACATACATATGTATGCAAAAATAAGTAGCTTAAGTTGTAGCATACTTTGTGGCGGCTTTGAGGACAGCAACCGCAACATTCGCCTTGGCATGTCGTTTACATTTTGAAACATGTGCCTTGGGCTAAAAGTTGAAAAATACCTACACAAACAGTGCGGGTGTGTGTCTTTTGATTTATATGCGCGCACACACACACAACAGTTTGTCGGGAAACGTAAAGTAACCCTTCCAAGAGAAAAAAGTATCTTCTTTCTAAAGCTCTAACAAGTTGACTTAAAGTCCAAGGACCCGCATGGAAATGTTTGAAATGGAGCCGGAAGCAAAACCATAGTTGAGCGGACAATTACAATGCAAAAGCACAGCAATCGTCAAATGTTTATAAATAATTTATTAAATAAGAGCAGACAGAGGTAAAGAAAAACTACCAGCAGCAAAGAACTGAAATAAATGGAAATGAATATTTTGCGCGTAGACAAAACAATTTATATTCAAATGCTCAGCAGACTGACAGCCATGTGTGTGTGTGTGTATGAGTGTGTGTGTGAGTGGCAAAACAACGAAAAAATTATATATTCAATTACGAGCACTTCGAATAAAGCTGCAAAAGAAAAATAAAGGATGAAAGAAAAAAAACGAGCACAACGTAATCGAAGCGCATAAAGAAACGGAAATGCGATTGCGAGCAATTTATTATGGTGCACTTAGAAAACAGAATGGGTACGTACACACACACACATACGTACATGCACACATATGTTCGCCCGCATATTCATGTTTATAATCCAACAAAGAAAAGGATGCAAAGCAGCGGCAGCAGGAGCAGTAGTTGCTTGGCACAATAATTTCATTTGCAGACCAAAGGACAACAGTCGACCGTGTGTGACAGCCAAGCAGGATGTGTGTCTTTCTGTATATATATATATGTGTGTGTGTGTGTGTGTGGCAAACGGCAAAAAGCACTAAATGGTAATTTATTTTACTAATACAACAAAAGCAAAGGCAGGCAAAGCAAATGGCAGCAAAACGTTTTGCTTCAACAGCAATCAAAAGAACAAATGAGTGACCCAAGGGCAGGCAGGCGGACATGAAAAACACTTGACCAGCTCTGTGTGTGGGCAGCTGAGTATGTAAATGCGCTTAAGCTTAACAGACCCCCACCCATCCAAACACTTCTACATGCATATATATAGTATACAAAGTCTCTTCCCCATCCTCCTTACTTGCTTTGCAATATAAACAGTCGCTGTCAATGTGCAGAAATTTATACGAATCAATAAATGGTATTTCTCTATTCTACATCTTTTCGTTTCGTTTCGTTTCGTTGCGCTTCTCGTCCTTTATGTTTTCTTTTTTTGTAGTTTTGATTTTATTTTATTTTATTATTTTTGTGCAATTGCAAACGGAAATGAAAATGGGAAATGGCAGTCCTGCCAAGTGCCGGCAAAGGGAAAAGCCAATTTATAACCAACTATGAAAGCAAACGACGCTGGCAAATTGTAGGCCACCAACATATTGAGAAAAGCGAGCAAGCGCGCGGAGAATTCAAATCAATTAAGCAACAAAGTGCTGCATACACACAGGCGCCAACGGTAAATGTCGTCGAGCTGTGTGGGTGTGTGTGTGTGTGCGTGTGTGTATGTGTCGGAGGAACTGCAACTGCCTGCAAATTCATTTGCCTTGTCAGGTGCAAAAGTTAATAGTTTTGCCAGCCATCAAGACAGGCCGTACATTTCCTTGGCCCTCCCGCCCCCATCCCCCTCACACATACATATTTATAAAGGACTATATATGGCAGGCAAGCCTGTGTGCTTGTCTGGGAGTAGGTGTCAGCGTTAAGTGCTCGTGATTGCTTTTTGTTTTTTGCCCTCCTTTTGCCGTCGCTTTGTGTTTCTTTCAAATAGATTTACATACATACACATTATACATTTGTACATATAACGGTGCTCAATTTGCTTGTATGTATTGCATGTGTGTGAGTGTGAGTGGTAGTGTGTGTGTGTGTGTGTCAGCGTGCTTGTGTCGTTCTGTGGCTGCCGGCCATTTGTTTTTGCGCCGTCTTTGATAAAACTTTATGATTGCCTGTAAGTGATTTATTTACCCTCTGGGCATCAGTGGAGGCTACCACCTAATTATGTTTCTTATTTGCGCCTAATGAAGTTAAATTTATATGCACGCATACACATACACATACACACTCCACCACATACACACATGCATATATTCGAACTGAGGGAGCTTGCCCCAAGCAAGTGAATTGCCAAGGGAAGCATAGGAATTAGATGGGACAGATATATTGTATGTACTCGTATGTGTGTGTGTTTTGTTATTGAACAAGTGTGGGAGTATTTCTGAAAATTGTATTTTTTTTATATCCTGTTACTGAGGGTAAAAAGGGAATTGTAGAGATCCTATACTCTATAAAGAACATAATTCAATATTTGAGAATATGTGCTGTATTTTATTCGACTTATAAGTGTTCTAAATAATTGAATGCTTATTGTATTGTTTACTGTTGAATATTAATAATTATTAAGCAATTATTGACTTTAAATTTAAAATTTGGGAAATGAAAGCCTTTTATACCAAAGCTCTTTATTCTTAAAAAGTTCCAATAATTCAAGAACAAGTTTCCTCCTATTGTTTGTTGGCTTTAGAAAGAAACAAGGTAGCCTGAGCAGAAATCTTTTCCTAAAGCCAACAAACTTTGCTAAATTCATTCAAAATATTAACATCCTGCTCCACGTAAAAATCATTTAAACAATAATAAATTCTTTTTGATGATAAGGGACTTATTCTTCTTTATCGCGTGTTTCTTTCTTAACAAATCTTCAGGTAGAAACAAGTTTCTCATAAAATATTATGTAAATCCATTCCTATTGCTTTTATAGCCGCCGTTAAAACGGACAGATGGCCATCGCAAATATACCTTATTGACACTTTGCTAGCAGCTCTGGTCATCACATCTTTTTAAAATATTGATATACACTAGAATCGAGGCTGAAGCTCTAAGGGAAAAGTTTGATGCAAGTCAGAGTGTGAAGAGGTTGTCGTCAAAGCCATAAAGAGTTTAGTTGTTTGTGAGAATGCTGCATCAAACTTATTTTAATTGTATGTCAACTTTAAAAGACATACTAAATAAGCGTTCCCATTAAATACACTCATTTGTAAACTTTTCAGTGAAGGGTATACAAAAAACAGATTATATACAAACTTATGGACAGTGAGCCAAAAATATCTCTTTATAAAAAATAGACAGCAACTACATGCAGTTAAATTTTTAGTCGTATTCTTAGAAGTGAGTTTATTTTAGAAATGTTGAAGATTTTACGGTCGAGGCTTAAAGTATTTGAGCCAAGAGAGCAAATAGCCAAGTTCGATGCAGCAGCAGAAGCAGGAGACAAGCCCGCAAATTGAAAGAAAACAATGGGAAGACGAACTATTTGCACACAGTGTCAAGTGGTTGGAGAAGACGGGGAGCGGGCAAGTGACAGGCACAGACCGGAAGTAGCCAAGTGTGAAAAGAATGAAATAGGAAAAACAACAAAAGCCAAACCCAAAGCAAAGCAAGGCATACAGCAACAGCAACAGCAAAAAAAGAAATAATAAAACGCGCGTGATTATTTTCACAAAGCAAAGGCGAAGTGGAAAGCAGAAAAAAGAGTAGCGCCCGAAAACCAATATGGACGACGTGCTTAAGTTGTTAAAAACGGCAGCGGGGAGTGCGGGGGTGCGAGCAAGGTGCGCGCAACAGTCAAGAGACTTATGGGGTGCATGTGAGGGTGTGTGTGTGTGTGTTAAGCAAATAGCATTAAGTTGTCTGAGCCTTGGCAAGTGCGCGTGTGAATAGAAATCCTGAGATGAGGGGGAAAACTACGCAAGGAAATATAAAAATGAAATAAAAAAAATTTTTCCCTTTCTTGCTGTTGCCTTAGTTGGGCGCACTTCCTTATTTGCGCGCCTGCATTGTTATGCCTTATTTAGCTGTTGTTGTTTTTGTTGTTGAGTTGTGGAGTTGTTGATGCCTTACGAGCTGCTTAGAACTGAGCAGACATGCGATGTCTCTCTTATAGAGCTTAAGCAGCGAAAACTAAACAAGAGCAACAAACAACGAGCGAATGGGAAAAAAGTAAATAAAAGCATAGACACAGAGGTGTACAAACGAACAACAATTAGAGTGTGTAGGCAGAGGTGTAAAACATAGCGTTTGAATAAAACTAACACACACACACACACACACATGCAGACACTCGTGTGTGTGTGCATTTGTCCTTTTGGAGGAAGCGCGCGTGCCTCACTGCCTTTGAATGCCGAACGCCATGCGTCAAAGGCTCAGGCTCGCACTCCTTTGTGCGCTACACCAAAAAAAAAGGGAGAAAAATTATAAAAAATAAAACAAAAATAAAGAAAATATTTGTCTACATAAAGGGAAGCAGCGCTGCTGCAGAGGGAAAGCGACTGTACGTGCAAGAGCAAACAATAAGAGTCGGCGAAGGCAAAGATGGCGGCATTTAGCGGAAGTCAAGCGGCAGCCATTTTGAGTGCGTGTATGTGTGCGAATGTATGTGTGATGCTGGGTGTATGTGCCGTGCCTTTGAACTCAATGGCTTTTGCCTTCACATGTAAGTATGCGAGTATGTGTATCTGTGTAAAGTAATTATGAAATCTTTTCTCTTTTTTTTTTTTTTTGATTTGTAAAATAAACATTGCTGTAAAGCAAGGATGAACAAAGATGCTCAAGAAATTACGAAAAAATACCAAGTGGAATTGTTGTGGGATAAGAAAATCATTTGAAGCGAACAAGAATTTTGGCTGGAAATACGAGTAGGAAGTATACAACGGCATTAAATTTATTGCTTTAATATTCGTGCAAGGACGATCATATGTTGCATAACAGTTGA